TGCTCAGGAGTGATCCCTGGTGGTGCTTGGGGTGCCATGTGATGCCAGAGATCAAACCAGGTTCCATGGTATGCAAGGTATACTCCTTACCTCTGATACCATCTCTCTAGCCCTCTAATAACCAATGTTTTAAGGCAGGCGTGGGAATACATATTTGATGTATCTGTAGCAACTGATAGGTGGTAAAAAGCACGGCTTTTACTAATTCTGTGTTTTAGTTACACGTGCATGTGAGTGTATACGAATGCATATCACAGTTGGGTGCTTTCCCCAGCAGTGCTCAGGGGCCTGCACTGGTGCCGGCCTGCTTGAAGCTTGGGTGAGTGATGTGCTGCCGAGGCCACCAGGGTCCCCCAGAAGCTGTGGGGAGCTGGGGGTCATACTAAAGACCTTGCGAGTTCCAGGCTTGTGCTCCATCCCTTTGAACTCTCTCCTCAGCCCTTGCAGATGTTTTTGACAGAAGGAAATATTTAGTTCCTAGCATTTTAGGACTATAAAACCCAGCTCCCGGAAGACGTCTTATTATCTCATTCTTGCTTTGGACAACCTGGCAGGCTACTGAATGTAACCTGCCCACACAGCGGAGTCTGGCAAACTCCCTGTGGTGTACCCACTATGCCAGATACCAGTAACAATGATGGGTCTCATTCTCCTAACCCTGAATGAAAGAGCCTTAAATGTGGCACTTTTTAGAATCTCAGGGCTAGGACGAAGGAGACATTACTGGTGCCTGCTTGAGGCAATCGACGAACAACAGGATGATCGTGATGGTGTTCCTGAGCATTTTAGGAAAACTAAAGATGTGCTTCTCAGCCCATCTGACTTCACGGATCCCCTGAATTCTGCAGACTGCTGAGGCCCTAGGCTGAGGTCCCTGCAGTCTGAGCTGAGGAAGCCTGGTTTCCAGCTGTGGGGGGCTGGTGGGGGGGGGGTCTCTTCTGGGCACGTGTGCCCTTACACCTGCTGCTGTGGGGGTGGCGCCCACGTGAACTTGGCTAACCAGGCTGCATGGCTTAAATTTCCACCAGCCGGAACTGGCCAGAACTCAGTTGAAAGGTTCCAGTTGTCTGCAGCCTGGAAGAGGGTTAATTACCCACGGATGGGGGTGCTCTGTGGGGCTGCTGGGAGCTCGCCTTTGTTTTCAGTCCAGTGTTGCATTGTCTTTGGCTGCTATTGACCAGGAATAGGTGGCAGGTGTGTGAGTTTCTGCGAATACCTGAACCTACTTAGTACCAGGGCCTAAACATTTCATTAGACTGGAAAGTCTACAGCTGGGATCTCTTCACCTTCTTGGTGGGAGTCCTCCCCAGCTGTGTTGGCGGCCCGAGGACTCTAGTCGATGGTGCTCACAGAGGGATGTAGAGCTGAGGATCGGATTCTGTGGAATTAAGGAGTAAAAATGAAAACCACTTATCTGAGGCCGTGATGGGATTCTCAGGCCTAGGTCTGAGGTGCTGGTAGCACAGTCTCCAACAGGGCTCTCAGTGGCCACTGTGGCTCGCACCCACTTTGGTATGTCCGGGAATTCCTGCTCCCTGGGGGCTGCCCGTCCTTGCTCCCGCTTCTGCCAGGAACAGGCCCTTGGAGACCACGTGGGTCCCCTAGGGCCACAGTGTTGTGGGCAGGGGTCTGAGCAGGGCCTGGATGAAGCAGGCGAAGATCTGGGAAGCAGCAGCAGTGAGGAGATGGATGGGGCAGACGGGTGCAAACAGACCAGTACTGGTGCAGGGCCCATGTGCAAATACAATTAGAGACTAGACCGGTGGGATAGGGCAGGGGTGGGTGAGGGCTGGAGAGGGCATCTGGGCAGTGCCTTGGACTGTGTCTGATGGTTCAGACGGACAAAGGGAAATGCCCCGGCTTCCCAGCTCCTCGGTCATTTTCTGTAGTCCTCGCTGTCCTCCCTTCCCCTGTCACCCCCTCCCCCCCATGGGCCGGCTGCCCACTCTGCAGGTCCAGTCCCTTCTGCAGGGATGCTGTGTGTGTGTGTGTGTGTGTGTGTGTGTGTATGTGTGTGTGTGTCCAGTCCACTGTGTGTGTCCTATGGCGCCCGCTCCCGCCTTTCCTCATCTCATCCCGCCAAGGCCCTCCTCACCTGGACCCCCCCCCCCCGGCTCTGTCCGTGGTGCTGAGCCGAGCAGCCCTCCGTCCCCCGTTTCCCGGGAGGTCTTCATTTACAAACTCTCTCGGTCACCGCTTGCTCCGACACAGGCTTGTTGTGCTACACCCTCGTCAGTGATTTCTGTGGGGACGATGGTGTTGCAAATACAATTAGAGACGAGACCGACGCAGACAGGCCGGAAAGAGGAGATTGATGAGCCCATTAGAGAACAGAATATACTCTCCTGACACACCGAGTTCCTCAGATGGCTTGTCGCTGTGGGGGAGGTGGGGGGGGGGGGGCGCTTAATGAGGTGTCCCAAGACCGCCTCAGACCCTCTCCCCAGGCTGCCCCACCCTTCCTTTTGCCTTTTTTCCAGCTGTGTGTGTGTGGGGAGTGGGGAGGAGGGCACACCTGCTATATCTGCCACCTCCCATCCCACCTCATCAGGAAAGTAGAGCTGAACCCGTCTGAGGCTCAAGCCCCTCCCAGCATATAAGCACAGGACAAGAGCATATGCAGAAAATCACCCCAGGCCTGGGCTCACCTGGAGGGTCCATTCCACATGACGGCTGGGCAGGGTATGGGTGCTTAACTCCGGAGGCAGACCATCAGGGGACCTAGTCAGTCCGAGCAGGGCATAGCTTGGGGAGGCAAGAAGTGAGTAGTCTAAGGCGGGTGTATCAGGGAGGGGATGGCGAAGATGGTATTTTAGCTGAGGAGGCTGCCTGGGTATGTGCAGACTCTTCCGGTGAGATCCTCACCCAAGGGGGGGTGTTCATAGGAGGGTACAGCCCAGATCAGCAGAAGGCAGTGTGGAGAGGTCGATGCCCATGTTGAGTCTGGCCTGGTGGGACCTGGTGACAGCCCCTGAGTCTGGTCGTTTACACAGTGAAGGCATGACCCCCTCCCCCCAAGAGTCCCGTGAACCCTGAGCCTAGGGGACATTGTCAGCACTCCATTGACCATTCAAGCATACAGCAAAGAGCTGGTTGGTCCATTGCGCTGCCAAGGGCTGAGGCATGAGTGCCAGAGGCAGTGTGAGTGTGGGAGCACTGTGAAATGAGAGGAGGAGAGAGGGTTTGAACTGGAGCAGCTCCGGGCACGTGGGGTGTTCGGCAGAAGCAGGATGTGGCTGGGGCAGGGTCAGCCCCCCCCCACGAGTTTGCTCATTCCCTGAAGTGGGGAAGAGAGGCACTGCTCCCAGTGGACCAGGCTGCAGAGGAGGTGAGGGCCTCACTGGGGATATGGGAGAGACAGAGCACGTGGAAATCAGGCCGGCCCATGGGCGGCTGAGAGTGGAGGTGCAGAGGTGCTGGTGCAGGACCATGGGGGACGGGGATAGGGGCAGGGAACAGTTGCTCTGGGACCAGAGGGCTGGAGAGGGACGAGCAATGCCTGGCGTCTGGCTGGTGTCTGGGAGAGAGGGCTGGTACCCCGGCCTGCAGGGGTGTGGGGAGGGTGTGAGGAGAGAGGCAGAGTCTGGGTGGGCCAGGCGAATGCAGGTTCTTGTGCTGTTTGGGCTTCAGGTCTGCTAGAACGGGGGAACTGGGGCTGCAGACAGGGGCTGCAGGACCCGGGGCTGAGGACCCTGACCTCAGTTCCCCAGTCTGTGTGTTTGTGGGGCAGGGCTAAATAGGAACAAGTCAGGGTGCTATGTATATAGAGAACTTTGGAGAGGGGCCAGAGAGATAGCACAGTGGGTAGGGCACTTGCCTTGCACGTGCCGACCCAAGTTCTATTCCAGGCATCCCGTATGGCTCCCTCAGCACCATCAGGAGTATTCTTTTTTTTTTTTTTCTGCTTTTTGAGTCACACTCAGTGATGCTCAGGGATTACTCTTGGCTCTGAACTCCGGAATTACTCCTGGCAGTGCTTGGGGGATTGTGCCGGGATGTCCTTGCTCCCAAGACCTGAGATGCTGCCCCGCCACCCCTTGACTGACCTCCCACTCCAGGCTCTGAAGGGAAGAGCAGAAACAGGCCAGTGTCCACTCGCCACTGACACCCCTGTCTCTGGGAAAAATGCTTGTTCAGGAACCAAGTGGCACGAGGCCTACGTAGAAAAGAAACAACGGTGAGATTGCCACCTTGTCAGTGTTTGAAAGATCTCCAAGGACATACATGTGTGTGTCCTCTCATACATGTACGTGAATATGCATTTGTATATATGCACATGGACCTGTGTGATCTCGATGCATGTGTGTGGCATGTATGATACATACTTAGTTGTGTGTCTACATGCATGTGTTTACATGCATGGGTATGTGTGTTTATAAATAGGAACAAGTCAGGATGCTGTATCTACGGAGAACTTAGGAGAGGAGCCAGAGAGATAGCACAGTGGGTAGGGCACTTGCCTTGCACGTGCCGACCCAAGTTCTATCCCAGGCATCCCATATGGCCCCCCCAGCACCATCAGGAGTATTTTTTTTTTTTATTTTTTGGGTCATACCAAGTGATGCTCAGGGGTTGGTTACTCCGGGCTCTGCATTCAGGAATTACTCCTGGTGGTGCTTGGGGGTCCATATGGGATGCCGGGGATCAAACCCAGGTTGGCCGCATGCAACGCAAACGCCCTACCTGCTGTGCTATCTCTCTGGCCCCATCCATCAGGAGTATTCTTGAGCACACAGCCCTGAGCATTGCCCCCATCCCCACCAAAGAGAGTGATGGTTGGAGAGTCATGATTGGGCTTCACCCCCCCATCCACAGGTCAGGAGTGCCGCCACCAGCCCCTGTGAGACCCAGTAGAGGCCTGTGAGGGCAGACGGTCTTCCTGGTGTCCCTCACATGTCCCTCTCTGAGGGGGACAGATGTTCCTGGTGGAGGGTTCAGCTCAGTCAGGGGGGAGGTGGCCAGTGGCTCCCGCCACACTGACTGGTGCTGTTGCCTTGCAGAGATGAGAAGAACCAGTCCATCATCGTCAGCGGCGAGTCAGGGGCCGGCAAGACCGTGTCGGCCAAGTATGCCATGCGCTACTTTGCCACGGTGGGTGGCTCAGCCAGCGACACCAACATCGAAGAGAAGGTGCTGGCATCCAGCCCCATCATGGAGGTGAGCCGGCCGGGGGCTTCACCCCTGCCCTGGACCCCCCTGTTCTCTGTGGAGGGAGGTCACGACGGTGCCTGCAGACCCAGAGGTGGGAGTAACTGAACCTGGCAGTACCTGGGTCTCAGGGTTCCCAGCTGGGCCCTTCAGAAGGTCTCCTGTACCCCAGTCCGGCCCCTCCCTTGTAGGTAGGATAAGCCCAAAGGTTTTGTGCTGACTGAGCATCTGTGAGTCCTTGGGAAGCTGGGGTGGGCCTGTGTGAGAGCCCAGCCTGCAGGACCTCATAGTTGCGAGGGTTGGCGTGGCTCTTGCCTGCCCCTTAACCCCACCCTGCTGTGACTGAGTTCCTGTCCAGCCAGGGCTCTGCCCTCTCCATCCCCCTAACGGGTCAGTGCCTGTCTGGCCAGGGCTCTGCGCCTCCCCTCTGTCTTGCTGATGGGTTGGAACTAAATGACTGGCCAGCGCTGAACTCCTGCCCAGGCAGCCAGAGTGTCTCGGTACGGTCTGGGTCACAGTTGCGTGAGATGCACCCCAACATCCCCTCTTTTAGGTCTGGGGGTGCTACGGAGGCCCTCAGTCTTTCACATGGTAGAGCAGCCGCCAGGCTCCCTGCTGGCCCAGCCCCAGGTCCCCCTCGCCGGAGGGGAAAGCTCTGTCCTTACAGCGGCTCCAGACCAGCCCAGAGCCACCTATGGGGCACAGTGCAGCCCGATACGGGCCAGCCAGGGTTTCTGGGGCATGTGGGCAGGGGCCCCAGCAGGGCGGCTCGCACCGCCTCCTGTGGGTGCCGCTCTGTGAGACCATCGTCCTCCTAAGATGGGAAGAGCTGTGTGGGCCAGGCGGGGTGGAAGGAGACAGCCCCCTTCCCCGCAGAGCGTCTGGCATACGGGTCTCCAGCTCCCCGCCACAGGTGAGGGCAAGCCCTGTCTCCGTCCTGCTATGCCCTCCACGCCTGCCTTACTGGCTGGACACGGCATATCACACACATGACCAGCGCGAGCTTGACCCACTTTGGCCACTTTAGTCTGCAGCCTGTTTGCTCAGTTTGGGTTCAAGCCCCGGGTGGGGTCCGGTGTGATCCCTGCCCAGGAGATGGCTGTGCGGCTTGACCTTGGGCTCCCTGGACCCTTTGCTGCACCGAAGGTGGCCCTGTTCATGCAAGAATGTGCACTCCACACTAGGATGTGTACCCCACATACCCCACAGTAGGATGTGTACCCCAAACACTCACTCCACATTAGGGTAAGCCCTACACATTCAACCCCCTGACACTTATCCCTCACTCACCCCACACCCCCCTACTAGGATGAACCCCATATACACACCCATCACTAGGCTGAGCTCCACATACTCACCCCCATTAGGGTAAGCCCCCTCCCCCCACTCAGCCCTCATCAGCCCCTGTTCACTCTCCTGCTTCAACAGGCCAAGGCCCCCACCCCACAGGCCTGTCCAGTCCCCACCTGACTTCACAGCTAGTGCCCCTCCTCCTTCCCACTGGCCAGGCCCTCCCTTGCCCCCCCACCCGACTGAGGCTCACAGGGGCTCCCTCGGGGCGCCTCCCGCACCACCCAGGCCGCACCTTCTCATCCTGCAGTCCCAGGAGATGGGCATGCTAGGGTGTGTCTACTCGCCCACTCTGAGCACGCACCTGTGCTCACGCTGAAGTCACAGCACAGCTCATCAGCTCTGCAACGGGCGTCTCACGGGGCTTACAGACAGTGTTTTCTTTTGGAGACGCACCTGGATGCTCAGGCCTGCTCCCAGCTCTGTGCTCGGAGCTCGCGCCTGTCGTGGGACATTTTAATTTTAAACTGGTTCGTGAAATTGTACTCTAGTTTCTTTAGCAGCGCTTAGTAGCCTGCGGTGTAGAGAAATCACAGCTTACGTATCTCTCGCCTTGCACGTCTCTGGTAAATGAAGTTAAGTGTTTTTATTTTGTTTTAGCTTTGAAGTATAATTTTTTATTAAAATCAAAGCAGTCTTTTTTTCTGACTCTAAGAGTACTTTATAAGTATCTTAAATATCTTAAAATGTTTAATCAATAGCTGAACAAATAGCAGTACTCCTACGTTATTTTTTTTTAAAAAGTACTATAAGATTATATTATGTAATTACACATTATAAAATTACACATAAACCTACTATCCAAAGATAATGTTAATCCTTCATACTGTTATCCAAAATGTAAAGAAAATGAAAACAACACATTCTTATAATAGTTTAGAAATGAAAGCAATAAGTCTCTTATGGCTAATGGAATATATTTCACCCCAAGTAATAACTATGATGATTTCCTCTTACAAATTCCTCTAGCTTCTAACAGTGCAGGGAGACTGAACAAAGCAATGGTCAGCATAAAATGATTAATGAACAAACCTGGGAGAAATAAAGTGAAAAAGATTGTTTGAAGGTATCACAAATGTTTATTCATCATAAAGAGATTAACAAAGGGCGAATTCATTTTGCATATTAAGCTGGAAGTTGTTTTAAACTCAGAGTAGGTTTTATTTTTATTTTGTTTTTGGCTCACACCCAGTGATGCTCAGGGCTTTCTCCTGGCTCTGCAACTTACCTACTGTTGTATCTTTCTGGCCCCCTCAGAGAGTATTTTTTTTTTAATTAGTGAAACACCATGAGGTACAGTTAGTGGTAGACTTACAAATTTCTTTCTTTTTTTTTACTTTTAATTTTTTATTATAGACTTACACATTTTTGTGCTTGGGTTTCAGTTATACAATGATGGAGTACCCATCCCTCCACCAGTGCCCATTCTTCACCACAATGATCCCAGTATCCCTTCCACCCTCCATCCCCCCCATCGCACCCCGCCTCTGTGGCAGGGCATTCCCTTTTGTTCAAAGAGTAATTTTTAAATCTCTTCTGCCATCTTAGGTGAAGATAAGATGAAGAGAGAAAATGGGGGTATAGTGTGATGACACAGGAAAGAAAAATGCCCAGGAAATCCTGCAGCTCTCTTAAGCACCATAGAAGATTCATTTTAGGGGACAAACATTAAGTCTCAGGATTGCACAAATGTTTAAAGAAGTAGCAAGTGAGATGAGATACAGTGAACTGAGATTTAGTAGTAGCGTTGATGATGACAACTGTGAACTCAAAAGTATGATTTTATAACGCTTTCCCCCCAAAAAAAGTAGACTGTTTGGAAAACCTATTCCATGCCTTTGTCTGAAACCCCAGAAACGCAAACGTGTCTGTTTCAGAAATCGCCTGGAACTGCATGTGGGCTTGTAGCCGATGCTTGCGTCAGGTCATAAGGAAGGGCCCGTAGCTTCTGCTCTGGAGCTGTCACAGAAAGGTGGGACAGCTCTTCAGTGACAGAAACTCCACTGTCTGTGCAGTGCCCCCTGAGCAGCCGGCCTGCCTCTGCCAGAAAGTTCCGGCCAGCCAGAAGGTTCTCAGCGGAAATGCTGAGGTCGAGTTACAGGCGACTCAGCCACTCAGTGTGCCCAATTGTTCTGTTTGTATCTGGGGCCCTGGGCACTATGCGGGGGCTCCTTTTTCCTCTCACCTGTCTCTTTTCACGAGCCACTTAGTAGTTGCTGTCCCCAACTGTGTTTCTGATTACCGTGAGGCTTGCCACTTAGGATTTCTGGTTCTCAGCCTTTGCTTTGTGAGCTTCTCGCCCCGTCATCAAACTGGAACTCTTGAGATCAGCCTCTTCATGGGCTGTGGACGTGACAGTCAGTCTGGGTTGTCATCCTCTGCCACAACTGGACTTGGTTTTCTTGTGCATTAAAATGTGTGTCCTGGAGGCCAGGGTGTGGCTCGGTACTAGAGCACATGCCCAGCATCTTCCTGGCTTTGAGTTCATCCCTGGATCCTGGAGACCGCCATCTCCCCTACCACCACCAGGTCTGGCCCCAATGGCCCCAAGCACTGCCAGGAGAAACACTGCAAGAGTCACCCCTATATGTGAGAAAAAAAAAAAAAAGGAACTGGAGTCATACTGCAGTGGGTGGGGCACTTGCCTTGCATGTGGCCAATCCAGGTTTGATCCTCGGCATCCCATATGGGCTTCCAGGCACCACCAGTAGTGATCCCTGAGCACCACTGGGTGTGGCCCCAAAACCAAAACAATTTTTAAAAAGTGTCCTAAATCAGGAGAGTCTAGTAAGCGTTTTAAAGATCAAGAACTACTTGCAGCTCTTACTTACACACACACACACACACACACACACACACACACTCACACAGGTTGATGGTTCTTTGGTTCGAGAGTCATGCAAACCAGCCTCTTGCCTTTGCGGCTACAACTCCATGCTTTGCAGTACTCGGTTACCCACCACAGCACCAGTCAACGCAGCAGCTAGATGGGGAGGAGCCCACCACTTGGTCTTCCCGTCTCCCTCCTGAGTTCAGGGCCTCTCTGTGCAGGAAGGAGCCGTTATGAGACGTGGGGCCATACTGACTAGCCCCAAAAGGGGCCTAGGGACTATGCTCCTTGTCAGGGCCTCATTTTCCCTGGAGTGGCAGCCTCAAGGAAGGTCTCAGCTTCCATCCTGTCGGCCTTGCCCTCACTGGGCACCTGTGAAGGTCAGGTGGGTTAAGTGTTCGAGAGTGGGATTCTGGGACTCCAAGTTGGCGAGCAGGGGTGCTATTAGATGCTGGGGTTCTGGAGCTCAGGTTGGGGGCCGGGCTTGGGACTCAGAGCCTTAAGGATGCCGGGTGTGTGCTCTGCCACCGACCATGGCCCTGGGCTCCAAGACACACATTTTCAAGCACAAGCAAACCAAGTCTAGAACTGGGACTAGAACGTTCGGGACGTTCTCTCTTTGTCCCTAAGATTTCTGAGACCATTGAAAAATGATGGTGGGTTTTAAAAAGTGTTTTTAGGTAGCTGAAAACGGAAACCTCTCACAGTCAGAGAGATAGTACAGCAGGTAAGGTTCTTGCCCTGCCTGCTGTACTGTCTCTCTAACCCTCTTAATCCCCAGCTATGGGGTGCTTAATCCCCAGCGCCACATAGGGCCCCCCACATACCCAAGCAGTGTTCCCTGAGCACAGAGCTGGGAGTAAGCCCTGAGCATGGCCAGGTTTGTCCCCTTGCCCTGTATAAACTTATAAAAAGGATCAGCACCGCTGAAAAGATGCTTTATTCACCAACGGACTTCTCTTATTTCTTGGGTCCCTGGTGGTGCTTTCCAAGAATTCGGGCTAAGTGAAGACTTCATGCATGCATGGAGGACTCACTAGCAGTTCACTGGTGATGGGATGTTTTATAGCTGGTGGCAGTTCAGGCAGCAGTGCCTGTCACTTGTCCTCTCGTCATAGAGGTGATTGTCCAGGGTTTTGAAGTGTGTCCTGTGGGCATGTCCAAAATGGGACCAATTCCGCCGACACCACACACCAGGCAGGGCTTCCTGCACTGTCCTGGTGGTGAGGGTGATGGTGTGGATAACGGTGAGGGTGAAGGTGAGGGTGACGTGCAGGTGACCCTCCCCACCGTAAGGGTGTGGGTGACATGCAGGTGACAATGCAGGCAAGGGTGAGGGTGTGGGTCATATGTGGGTGACGGTGCAGATGATGGGGAGGGGGACAATGCAGGTGAGGGTGCATCTTTGCCCTCTTTCTCCTAAGTGCTGCTTTCCAGATGAGCATGCTATTGGCTGCTTTGACGTGAGCCTGATCCATGTAGATGAAGCCCAGGAGGGTGGTGTGGTGTCTCAGAAACCTTCTAGGGCTGTTGGATGGGTGCTGGCTCACGGCTATCGGAGCAGTGGTCTCTGATGTTTGTCTCTGACACAATGGCTGGAAACATCTGCTCTTGTGGTTTCCTCATGACCCCAAGATGGCTGCTGCTGCCATCACATGTGTGTTCCAGGCAGGAAGGAGGAAAGAGAAAGGAAGGGCCTGGGGACACTCATGGCCAGTCAGTCCCCTCTGACGAGCTCAGCAGTCACTCCTATCCCTTTCCCTATCCTTTGGAGGACAGCAAGGGTGGCCTTATTTCCGCGTGGCCAAAGGCCCCCGTGAGAACAGGGTTCTGTGAAGACAGAGGGTGGCATGGCGGAGGTGCTGTCCCTCTGCTCCCAAGCCCAGAAATCACATTCTGTGCTTGTTCCATGCAGGCCATTGGAAATGCCAAAACCACACGCAATGACAACAGCAGCCGCTTTGGGAAGTACATTCAGATTGGCTTCGACAAGAGGTACCACATCATCGGGGCCAACATGAGAACCTACCTGTTGGAGAAGTCCAGAGTGGTCTTCCAGGTGAGGGGGCTTCTTGTCAGTGTCTTGCCAGGTGAGGGGCTTCCTATCAGTCTTCCTGCCAGACTTCCTGTCAGTGTCTCCACCAGGTGAGGGTCTTCCTGTCAGTGTCCTTCCAAGTGAGGGACTTCCTGTCAGTATCCCCGCCAGGTGAGGGACTTCTGTCAGTGTCCCCGCCTGGTGAAGGACTTCCTGTCAGGGTCCCCACTAGGTGAGCGACTTCCTGTCAGTGTCCTCTTCAGGTGAGGAACTTCCTGTCAGTATCCCCGCCAGGTGAGGGACTTCTGTCAGTGTCCCTGTGCTTCTCACTGTTTCCTGCTGACTCCTTGTGCCTGAGAGGCTCATCTTTTTGTTAATATTTTGGGGCCACACCCAACAGTGCTCAGGGCTTACTCTTAGCCCTTACTCAGGGGTCACTCCTCCTAGTGGGACTTGGGGGACCCTCTGGGGCATTGGGACTTGAACCTGGGTTGGCTGCAGATAAGACAAACCCCTCCCCACTGTACTATCGCTCCAGCTTGTCCATCCTTTGAGCCCAGAGTTACACATACATGTTCTTTCGGTTTTCTCTTCCCTTCATCTCTTTTGGCGGAAATGGGTGGTGAGAGCCACACTCGGCGATGCTCAGGGGAGGGCCCTGTCTTGGGGCTCACTGGCCTGAAACTGCAGCCCTCCTTCCTCCCCTATAGGCTGCTGACGAGAGGAACTACCACATCTTCTACCAGCTGTGCGCAGTGGCCAGCCTCCCCGAGTTCAAAGAGCTGGAGCTCAGTGAGTACTCGGGGACTGGTGCTCAGGGTGGGGTGAGGGGGCGGCTGCCACAGGGCTCAGCCTTGTCTCTAATGTGAGTTAAACTCTCCCCCTCACTCTCCCTCTGGAGCATCCCCTCCTGGTGGCTGGTGTGAGCTGAGCCGGGCTGCCTGTCAAGAGCTGTTGGAGGAGTCAGAGTGGGCAGTGGGAAAGGGATTTTGCGGTGGCGAGAGGCAGGTCCTCACACACTGTTTTTCTGAAAATGGTTCCCACTTGAGGGTCAGCAGGGGTGGAGCCAGGCCCTGGCACTGAGTGCCCCGCCCCCCACGCCACCTGATCTCACAGGAAACTGGGAATGCGTCCCACAGGACCAGGGCTGGACATGGGCTTATGCCAGTCACAGCCAGACAGTGGTGGTGGTGGTTGGGTGCAGGGTTGGAGCCAGGGACAGAGCCCAGGGAGGGGGTCGGGGATGGAGCCCGAATGGGGCCCTGGGAGGGGGCCCGAGGTGGGGCGGGGCAGACCTCCCACACTGTAGGCCTGTCCTCTGTGGCTGAGCCACAGCCCAGGTCCCGGGTCTGCCTGTTGGGTGAGACAAACGGAAGAAAAGAATGAGGAGAGCAGGGATCAGAGGGGTGGAGGGGGAATCTCACCACCGGTAAGAGGTGGTTCTGATGTCCCTGAGAACAGAAACATAGCAGTTCTCAGCCTATGGGCTGGCACTCCCGCCCAAGGCCAGGAAACGGGGAGGGAGTGCCCAGGGTGCCCACCTGGGCCGTCTCTGCCCTGCACAACCTTTCTGAACCCCACTGGGCCTCCAGGGCCCGGCCCTCCCCACTCTGCACTGGATGCCATGGTGGTCACTCCTGGGTGCTGAGCTGACCCCATCTACCTTCTGTATTGGGGGGCTGGGGAAACGTCAGGGCCTGTGAGTGGCATGGCCAGACAGGCTGGGGCAGGGGTCTTTGTACCAGTGTGGGAAAAGGAGCCCCCCCCTCAGACTCTGCTACCCCAGAATCCAGCCAGGACCCACGCACGGTCCACCTCCGGGCTCCTGGAGACCACGAAAACACGCCAGGCAGCTGTCCCAGCCTTGTTAGAGCGCGGCCCTCAGTAGGCGCTTGGGCAATGGCGGTGTCACCTCGGCTGCAGGGCAGGCCACCTTGTGTGGCTATTGTCCACCTCTCTCTTCCCTGCCGCCTGGTGGGCCTCTCGGGCCCAGCTGTGAGTCTGTGTGGGGCTTCCCTGTGTACCAAGTGAGACCTGACCTCTCCGGTCCGCCCCCAGTGGCTTGTGCCCTCAGGAGGAGCACGAGCTCCCTCAAGAGCCCTTGGCACCCTCTTGTGCTCTGGGCGAGGTTGTTTCCGGCCTTGTGGATGGGTTGGCTGTGGGTCCTGCTGGGTTCTGAGCCTGCTGATCACCAAGGGCTCAAAACCTCCGGTGACCAAGGGCCTGGCAGCTGCTCCTAGGAGAACCCACCTACCTTCCGCACTTCCCTTCCCTGAACCCACAATGCAGGGGTGTTTCTGCGGAACCTGCGCCCACATAAAAAAATAATAATAATAAATGGTGAAAGGGAGGAGGGGAGAAAAAACAAATAAACAGGGGCCAGAGTGGTAGCGGAGCAGGTGGGCTTTTTGCCCTGGGCGTGGCCGAGCCAGATTCGATCCCCAGTATCCCTCAGGGTCTCCTGATCACCACCAGGAGTGATTCCTACGTGCAGAGCCAGGAGTGACACTGAGCACCACCGGTGTGCTCCCCCCCCCCCAAGCAAAAAATAAACAAACAGAAAGAAATATTAATGTGGCAAAGCCTTCCATCTGCTGAACTTCTCCTGAGTTTTATTCCAGTTTGACCTCTCTAGTATTGCCTGTGGTGGGTTCCGTCTCTTCCTGATTTCCATTCCTGGTGGCCACAGCCTATAAGGAGAGCCTTGCTTTGTTGACGCCCTCCCTGGGTTCCACGTGGTGCCCATGAAGGAACCCGGGCCTCCTGCGGGTGAAACCTGTGTGGCAGCCCTTTCCCGCGCTCTCGCTCGGCCCGGCCCTAAGGACCGTCTGTGGGAGGCTTCCTCTGTTCGCTGGGAGTCAGATCTGCTCTCCAGGAGGAATCCCTGGGGGTCTCGCTCTCATTCGACCTCACAGGGCGGAGCTTTCTCGGATGCTGAAACCTCCCCCTTCTGCCCCCACAGCCTGTGCAGAGGACTTCTTCTACACGTCGCAGGGAGGGGACACGTCCATCGAGGGTGTGGATGATGCAAAGGACTTTGAGAAAACACGCCAGGCCTTCACCCTCCTTGGTATGTATGGAGCTTGTGTGTGGGAGGCGCAGGCCCTGAGGGCCTCCTCCCTGCAGTGGGGGGACATGCCAGCCCGGTCGGGGGGAAACCTGACCCCCACATGCATAGAGCAGCTCCCCCGCCCTCATCTTCTCACTCTTGGGCCCAGAACATCACAGCTGGAACTGGGGTAACCTTTCTTGAAGACCTGATCTGACCATTTCTCTGCAGATGTCCCTACAGATGTCACTCTCAGGACCAAGGGGGGGAACGAGTCTTTTGGGGACCCAGGTCCAGGTTTAGATGCAGCGTATTCTACAGGAAAGCCCCACGCCTATGGCCCTGCGCACCCCAAACTCAGGAGCAGGCAGGATGGAACTGCAGCTGATGCATCCTGGTATAGCCCGATCCCCCAGCTCCCTTACTGAGCCCCCAGAAGATCCAAAACCAAGAGCCCCATCCATCCAGGCAAAGAGGGCCCTGGAGCAGGGAAGCACATCCCGCCTTGCCTTTTGCGGTGGGGAGAACCATCTAGTGGTAAGATAGGAGGCAGGTGTTTTAGTTTTTAGGGGGGTACACCCTCAGGACTCAGGAGAGCATGTGGTGCCAGGGACCATGCTCTGGGCTCCCACGTGCTAAGTCTGCTCTCAGCCCTTTGGGCTGTCCCTAGCAGTGGAAAGTTCTGGGACTTACAGCAGAAGCCAAGGCGGGGAGTCTGCCTGCTCCCCAGGAAGGGACCCGAGAGTCCATCCTCCCCCATCAGCTACCCACATTGGACATCATCTGCATCCGAGCGGCGATTCTGGGATGCTTTGCTGAAAAGTTATGCTCATGGCCCCGCCACCCTCCGTGGAACAGCCCCCTCTCTCAGACAGGGGGAGAGCAAGTCAGAGCCCACCTGCCCAGCAGAGCAACACAAAATCAGCGTTCACAAGGACGGTCATCCTCTGTGCTGTCCTGGTTCGTGAGAGGACAGGCACAAAGGGACATCTGTGTTCCCGGGCCTCATTGGGCAGCCCCACCGGGAGCTCTGCTCAGGAGACGCCCTATCCGTCTCTCCCCTACCCCCATGCTCCACCTCATACTGGGGCTGCCATAATATCTGGAAGCCATTCCCCATGGTGAAGAAGATGCTCTGGCCTGCGGGTGTGGATATTGTCTGTCTGAGCAGCTTGCCGCTGCCCAGTGCTGGGCCTGGGGTGGGTAGGGTCTATCCAGGGGAGGTGCTGCAGCTGCTTCCTGCTGTTGCTGCCACTGCCAGCGTGGCTGTCACAGTGCCCTCTGCTGACCAAGCGCTGCTGTCCAGTCCCAGAGCAAAGGGAGAGGGCAGATCATCAGCTGACACTCCCCACTTCATCCCAGCACCACAGGGTTGATTCATTTCCCATTTCCCCTTTGTGTGTGTGTGTGTGTGTGTGTGTGTAAAAGACTGTGTGTGTGTGTGTATGTGTGTGTCCCAAGCAGTGTCCCTGGTTTTCTTTTGGCCATACCCAGCAAATGGTGCTGGGCGGTTCTGTGTTTGGGCTCTGCTGTGTCCAGGATCATAGAGCGCTGGGGATTGGACTCTGATCCTTGGCATTGAGGCCATGCTGAGCCATCTCCTCAGTGGACAGGTGAGCAGGGTTTGTCAGCCCCTGGAGAAGGGCCAGGAAGGAGCTAGGGTCAGGACAGGCTCAGAGAGGCACAGAGAAGCAGAGAGAAGTATGCTTTCAGGAGACCATGCATCTTTATTCTCAGACCATATGGCATGTGTAAAATACATGTAGGGGGCCACACTTGCCTACTAGGAACATGGTTTTTTTTTTTTTTAAGTTTCTAGGTTTTTGTAACTGTTTTCTCGAAGACAAAATAGTAACTCCTTGGGGCCTGTGGTCCATGCAGTTTTTGTCACACCTACTCAGCTTCCCCCTTGCAGGGTGAAAGTCCCACTAATAGAGTATAAACAAATGGGCAGGACTCTGTTCTAATAAAACTTTATTTATAAAAGCAGGCCGTGGACTGTAAGTTGCTAATCCCTATTTCGCTTTTTTGGAGTGAGGGTTCAAGTTTGGTTTGGGTTTTTGTTCCCACTCTGTGGAGCTCCTTGTGTAAAGAGAGGGTTCTCCCCTCAATCCAGTGCAGAGTGATTCATTAGATTCCTGCCAGGACCTGCTGGCGGGTCTTTGGAAAGCACAAAGCTCTGAACAGTGATAGAGAAAGAAGGGAGAGATACCTGTCGTCTTGTCAAGGTCCCCGCACCCACTGCCCGGCTTGTCCTGCTAAAGGACTTAGCAGACTTCAGGAAAGGCCCAGAGAGACTGTGCTGGGGTGAGGACACTGGCCCTGTCTACGGCCAACCCCAGTTCCATCCCTGGCATTGTGTGGCTCCCTGAGCACAGAGCCAGGAGTAGCCCCTGAGAGCTGTCGGCTGTGGCTCAGGACCCCACCCCTAATAATGATCACAAGCTCCATGCTTTACTCCCTCCTGGGGAATGACCCTTCAGGCTCTCGGCTTATCAGCCTGTGGCTTTAGCCTGCTTTCTTTTATTTATCTTAATTCAATTACCCCCTAACTGGACATAGGCCTAAAGTACTCAACCTCTGGCTGCTGTTGGCCTTAAAAAAATTAAAATCATGTTTCTATGGAATAATTCTACATTTCTATAGAAGTACATGAATACTTGAGTTTGTATGCTAAGCAGTAAGGAGGCAAGAGCAAGAATTGCTTTGTAAAATTTTGTATTTATTTTTTGAATTTTTTTACATAATTTAAAAGTAAATCCCCAGTCCCGGGGCCTTCGATAGCCATAGTTACACAGCGCTTACAAAGTCTGCCTTCATCTTGTCCAGGACACTTGGGTGGCTTACCTGATTGATTGATCCAAGCACCCAGTTCCCCTGTACGTGGTGTCACTGCCTTTGTAGTGCGTAAAGAATTACTTACAAATAAGTGACAGTACAGTGGCCCTGGCTTTGCACACACTGACCCGGGTTAGATCCCTGGCATGCCATATGATCCCTGAGCACCACAGGTGTGTGCCCCCAACCCAAAAGTGCCCTTGGGGAAGAAGCTGGAGGACAGTTGTATTATTCCCGGAGGCCAGTGGTTACTCTTTATTCTGTGACCTGTTTTTAAGCATGAAATGTTTTATAGTAAATGTTTTATACTAATACCCCCTTAAAGCAAAATCAGATTCTAAGAGGGCACCCAAGCCTTGGATCTGTGGAACTTTGCTGCCAGCACAGTGGGTCCCCCATTATTCCAGGTGGGAACATCCGTCCCTTACTGAAGGGTCATGAAGCAGGACGGGAACAGTCATGCGCCAGTTGGCCCTCCTGGCCCTGAGAGTCCCCCAAGGGGATGTGTCTGCTCCTGGTCCCCTGCGGGCACTTTGGATTTGTGGCACAGATGTTTGTAGGTGCTGATGTAGGGGGGGAATGACAGCAGATAAGTGACTATTCTCTAAAAACGAAAGAGGCAAGAACGCCCGCCCTCGAAGCATCTTGTCGCAAGTCCAGCGTGAGACTGTGATTATGGCCTCTCTGCCGTGGGGAGAGTTAGGAGGGACAGCAGCGTGACCCATCTGGTTTGATCAAGACAATCACAGCCAGGAGATTTCCTGCCTCGTGCAGGAAGCCCCTTTGCCCTAAGAACTGTTGCTGTGAGTGGCAATTACTCGGTAAGGAGCCTGGATCATTTTAGGAGTTACTGATCCAGAAAAAGGGGGAAAAAAAAAACCAACCTAACCTCTTTTTTTTTTTAAGTCCTTTAAAGGAGGATGAAATGTCCTTTCTCTCTTGTCATGGATACTGAGTGTTATTCATCCCTTTCTCCCTGCAGGAGTGCGAGAGTCCCATCAGATAAGCATTTTTAAGATAATTGCTTCTATCCTGCACCTCGGAAACGTGGAAATCCAGGCAGAGCGTGATGGCGAGTCCTGCAGCATCTCGGTAAGGCCCAGATAAAAGGGCCGTTTACACGGCTCGTCCGGTTCCGTGCGACAAATGGGCCTGTGCCCTTGGAGGACACTCCTGGGTTATTTATTCTTCACTGTTATGGCTCCTGTTTCCTTGCTGATAATAATTTTTTTTAAAGAATGCGTTCATCCTCTTTTTTCAAATCTGCTGCCATCCAATTTCTATCTTGCGGGGCAGGGAATTTAGTGGCTGTTCAAGACATTCTTTTTGATGGATTGGGAAAACCAGTGAGGTTCATGGACTTCTACAAAGGATGACCAGTGGCCGAGTCCTTGCTGAGCTCTGTGATGAGGTCCCGGCTGCAGGGAGCTGGTTGCAGGGTCAGCCGCAGCCCTGTTGGGTGGACAGGATGGGCTGTGGCAGCAATCATGCTAATGCAGAATTGGGCAGGACTTGACTAAGACTCTGTGCTTGTGATTCACACATGGTCAGTGCTGGATTCTGCTCCCTGTTCACTTTCTGCCGCCCCCTGACTGAGACAGGTGCCAGATGGCAGCATCCAGTGGGAAGATGTCGGGGTCAGCACTGGGATGGAGGTATAGACGACCACCACCTGCGGATGTGGGGGAGTCCAGCTGGGCTGGCCATGTTATTCCAGCCTCGAATAGAGGAATCTGCTTTATTACAGACGTCTATGATGGCAGAGGCTCGGGAAGGTACAAAGGTTGAGCTTTGCTAGGACAGCTTTGCATCGAAGTGACCAAGGACGGGGGACGGGGGCGCAGTGGGGAGATTGACCATGTAGCACAGATGCTGAATCCTTGAGAATGTGTGTCCTCACCCCCTAACACAGAGAGGCAATACTGTGTTGGCTGCCAGGGGCAGAGCCCATGAGGACAGGCCTTGTCCCTGTGAGGTAGGAACCCTCCAAGCTCTGGGGCTGGCTTCTGCACCAGGAACCACCCTCTCGTCATTGGCCCAGACTAAGCCCGGACTGGACCAGCCTTTGGGCAGAGGAAGGCGAGGTCAGGGTTGACACCAGCACTTCCCTAGCCCCACCTGCTCTCCCTGAGAGAAGTGGCCTGGCATTTGGGGAGACTCTATAGCCTCATGAGGTTGCCCCACCTGGGTCCTGTGTAGGAGAGGGGCATGGTGGGGCTGGACATGGATGTTAGTGTCCAGGGTGTGTGTGGCGGGGCTAGGGGTGGGTTTGGCATGATGGAATAGGAGAGTGGGTGCCTAGGGGGCAGGGCAGGGCCATTCTTGCTGGCCAAAGACTTGCTTCATCTGAGTCTCATCCGAGACATGTCCTAAGAGCCTGGGCCTCCTTCTGTGTGACACCCCATATACCACCTGTTTGTGAGGGCAGCGTTCCTGCCTGGGGTCGGCTTGGAGGCAAGGAACAGCTGCGGTGCCACATGGGTCGAATTTATGGCAGCAGGAAGAGAGAGAAACACACACTTGGAGACATGTGAGAAAACCCATTTATTTAGCCCTGGTTTGCTGGGCTGTGTAATCTCAAAGGCTGAGCAAATGACCCCATGTTCATGCCACAGTTATTCAGGCTCTTCCCCTGGCTGCGGGGGTGGGGTGGGGGGTAGGCAGGTGATATAAGACAGGGTGTCGAAGGACACGGAAATCCCAGGGCAATCGAGTACCCAGAACTGACTCAAAAGCTGTTCTGAGTCAGAAGGGACTCAGGCTTCTGCTGAGGGTGTGATGAACCAAATGCAGGGGCAAGACCCAGACGCCCCCCATCAGGGAGGGCCCAGGCCTCACAGGTGGGTGTTTCATGAAGTGATCTATCAGTCGGTCAGAGGCACGAAGATAGAATATGCAAGAGGAATGTAGAGAGCACGGAGGGCCACAGCTCGTTCTGGCTCAAGGCGAAGAGCGACTGCCAGAGAGGCCACCTTTTATTCTGTTTTTTTATCAGTTACATCCTAATGATTTCACAGTGAAAACTCACTAGTGAGAGTACAAACAGTTAAAGGCTGAGCATTCTCAAAGTAACATCAGGGTATATATTGTCTTGTCAAAGCTATGCTGTCAGAGCTATGCTGTTCTGATTAAAAATGTCAGAGGAAGATGTGGAACTGGACAGTAGGCTCTACAGGTTGACGTAATCCCACATCCTTGTGGTTGGTTACACAGAGGGCAAAGAGAAGGCTCATGCTGGTACTTGAAGGTCAATCCAGATTAAGGATGTGTAAGAGAGGGGGAAACTGCTGCCTTGTACTGCCAAGATAATGTATGACTAGGAGGGTGTGTGAGGGCTTGCCCACTCAGTGAGAAGTGGGGCCTTGGTTCTGCTTCCTGCTTGCAGGGTAGCATCCAGAGACTCATCCTAATGTCTTGGTTTAGCACCAAAACATGGGTTCTGGAATCCGGCTTCCCTGCCATGCCCGCCGCCTCCTGCAGTGCTGCCCGCCTGCTCACCCTCATCCTCATCTATCCTGTTCCCCCCCATTGGGGGTCCTTAGAGGGTGGGCTCCCTGCCCTACTCTGCTCTGCTCTGCTCAGTCCTGCCTGGAGGGCCACTGTGCTGGGCTGGCCTGGTCCTACGCTGACTGGCCCTCTGTTGCCTTGGCCACCCAGGTTTCCAGGGATGTTGCTGACCATACTGCATGTGGGCAGTGCCCTGGCTGTTGATGGCCGGAGAAGGGCTGAGCTCTTTCGGCCCAATGCAGATGTGAGACCTGGGAGAGGGACAGATCTGGGGCCAGGGGGGTCCTGGGTGTCTGTTCTGTGGAGGGGATCAGAGCCTGTCTGATAAGGACTGACAGTGCTCCCCTAGGCTGGGCTGCTCCTCCATACTAGCTTCTTGGGGGATTGAGGTGAGAAGGAAGTAGGAGGTCAGAGGTGAGAAGGAAGGAGGTCAGAGGTGAGAAGAAGTAGAAGGTCAAAGGTGTGATTCTCTGCATACGTGTGTCCCTCACACAGCTTCCTGGGGGGTTGGCTCAGGGCTGTAGGCAGCTGGGAGCAGGGCATGGCGGGGAACACTGCGGAGAGGGGACAGGACAGGCATTGAATGGCAGCTCCTGCTGGTCCAGGATCAGCACCTAGTGGCACCACGGGCCCTTAGTTTCATGTTTTCTGTGATTGGGGACTGCACCCACTGGTCCTGGGTTTCCCTAGAACATGGGCCTCCCTCCTGCCTCCCACCTGGAGACACAGCCCTGACCCAGCCCCTCCTAGAAGTGGCAGGAAGTGTGGGGCTGAAAGACTGAGGAGGGGGAAGGTCCATCCCCTAGTGGGCCTCTAGGCAGCAGCGTCCACTCCTGCCCACTGAGCAGAGCCCGAAGCCCCACTGGGTCTAGATGGCAACCCCACAGACCCACATGCCCCACCAGCCAGGGCCCAGACTGCAGGACACACAGACGCCGGTGAATGCCCACGCCCACCTCTCCTGGCTTGGCTTCAGATTCTGGTCCACAGGCAGCATTCTGCTGGCTTGCTGCCTGCCCCGCATAGCACGTCTCTGTTCTGTAGCACCTCAGCCTTGCTTCGAGCAGGAAGTGTGCCCTTAGCCTGCCTGCCCGGGTGCCCACGGGGACACGGTGTCCAGAAAGGGTTGGGACGCCAGAGACAGGTTGTTCCCCCTTCAGGCGGCTCGGGCCCACATACTGCTCCCTGGTGCTGCCCGATTCGGGTGGATTTGAGCAAGAGCGTGACTGCGGGGTCACTGGAGCCAGTTGGGTTTTTTTTTTAAAGTCTCTGTCATAACTTTTTTCTATTTTTATATATTTTATTTTCATAAAAGTAGTTCACAATAGTTCATTACAGATAATATTCAAATACCAATCCCACCACCAAGCACCTTCCCAAAGCAATAAGAGGGAAGTATGTGAGGGTTCTTATATTTCATTCTGGAGCCATTTCAGCCCGAATGTAAGAGAATACAAGCAAGTATGTTAGAAACCAAACAAATGTGTGATACTTTTGATAAGTAAGTGAGGTAGAGTATAAGAGGATTCGTGGCCGAGTGCTCAAAAAATTCTGCGGCGTCTCTTCTAGGAGCTTTAGTTTGTAGTCTCTGGGTAGTCTCTCTCAGCTCTTGGCTGTTGATGAGATTACATGGCACCGGGGGCAGTTTGTGGGTGTGACTGCCAAGCTCCTGGAAACTGGGGAGCTGAGGGAGGAGGCCCAGTCCCGATCTGAGTGGGCTTGGAGGTCTTAGTCATGGGTTCCTGCATACCTGGGTTTTCCTGCCAGTCTGCTCTCTCGTGAAATTCATCTCATCTTGGATGAGACTTGTCCCCTCTTGGGTGAGGCTCGTTCGAGCGTGTGGAGAGTGGCCTTGAGCATGGCAGTGGTTGGGTTCTGGAGGTTTTCGACTGCCAGGGCTCTGCTTGGGGCATGGAGGGAGACTCAACCCGCCCCTCCTCCAGGGTGCTCAGGTGAAGACAGCCTGGCACGGGGTTGGGAGATTCTGCGGCATGGAGCCAGTTTTGAATCAGCAGTCAGGAACATGCAGGAGCTGACCACACCACCGGCAGAGGGCCACCCGTGCTGGGTGGTCACCTTAGCTCCTGGACCTGTCTCCTGGTGGTGATGCGGCTGTGCCCAGGAGGGCTGGGGCCCAGAAGGAACAGGGTGCTGTGCAGAAGGGACAGGGTGCTGCCCGCAGGCTACTGCACCACAGGGACCCCAGCCTCAGTAGCCACAAACTGGAAGGACGGGTCAGATGATGGGGGGTTGGGGGGGGGAAGCATTTGCTGCCCTGTCCCTGAGTCTTGCCTTGGTTGCCTGGGCTGGAGGAGCGGCTACGGCTCCTTTTCTGTGGAGCGAGGCCAGCTGAGTCCCAGGGGCCTCCTGGCCGGGCCAGGGAGCCTGACTCAAAGCGTCTACTGCTGAGAGGACACGATGCCAAGGCGAGTTCCGGGGCAGCTCTCCTGGGAATCGTAACCCTTGACATGACTTCAGATCATGGTCCTTTGGTCCGTTAAATTCCCGAAAGGCCCCATCAAATTTCTCTCCCTTGGTACTCGCCAGGGTCAGCAGGGTCGCAGCTGTCTCCGCTCTTCGCTCTGTCCAGTGCATCCTCTCCGCACGCCAAGCTCTGGAGAAACTCTGGCCACAGCATAGAGAGGAGGCAGGGTGGGACTGTCTTCCTACTCTGCTGTCTGATTATCTTGTAATTGCTTTGGCTAGGGGAGCAGATGGATTTTAAATGTCTGTAGGAGGATACAAATGGCCTAGGAGTATCGGGGTGGAGGTGGGCTGGGGGGGATGTTGCTGTGATCTGTATTCACGTTTGTGGAGCAAACCCTCCCCGGCATCCCGGCCAACACCTCCTCCCAGAATGAGTCTCCCAAGCAAAGCTGGGCAATTTGGAGGTGGTAGAGTGTATTCTACAGGATCCCCCTAGCCTCCGAGTTAGTATGTGGGCCACACATGCGGCCTCCCCAGGAATAACAGGGACCAGGAGAGGAGCCTGGGGGAGGGAAGGTTCCTATGGGGCCCAGGATCGCTCCAGAGACTGAAAATCCCCATGATTTGGTGGTCAACATCTTAAAGGCCAAATGGCCAATGAGGACTTTGCTGTAATGGGATCAAGGTGCAGGGGTCACTGGTATGTTGGGCAGGGGACCTGGCGAGCTGTGGCACCTCCAAGAATCTCTGCTTCTTACCCAATGGTGGAGGGGCCGGGAGGCAGGGGACTTGGGCGAACTGCTTTTTCCGGTTCTAAACGTGGCGTGCATGGGAGTCTGGCACTCCCGAGTCCTCATGAGCAGGTGCGTTCCTTGGGGTTTGCCTTTTCCCCGATATTCCACCTTTGGTGTCTCCCTCCCTCCCAGCAAAGGCAAGAGAACGAAGATGGCTTGTGAAGCTTGGCTGAGTGTTATTTAGCATCATTGAGGCCAAGAGGCCCCGTTCCCACGAGCTTAGGGTCGAAGGGATACCCACCTCCTGTTAGGGCTCACCCACTCCTCACCTCTGCACAGTCTAGTTGGTGCCATTAGTTGGTGTCCAGGGAGGTGGGGGGGGGGGTTGCAGGTAACTTAGGCAAAGTCGGGAGAGAGGAGAGATGGAGCAGCCTGAAGAGGGGAGGGGAGTCCCACGCCTTCCTCCGTCACCCAGGGACACCTGGGACGTTTCACAGTGACCGGCTCAATCCTGAGCACCTGCACAGCACAGACCTGGGGTTTCTGCAGCACCAGGCAGCCGGTGACAAACTGCACCTGGATCCCACCTCTTGGCTACAGTGTGGGGGTCCTTGGGTGGGCCCTGCATTTCCAAGCCTGGAAGCTGGTTTGCTTCCAGACAGCACCGTCCGCCACCCCGCTTATCTGGACCCCCTGTCTGCTGTGGTTCATTCTGGCCAGGGGAACCCCAGGGTGCTTCTGAGCAGGCAGCTAGCTGGTGCAGGTCAGAGTAGGAGCCTTCAGGAGGGCTCTGCTGCCTCTGGCTCCTTTCTCTTCATGGTTTCTCCCTAGCACCAGTTCCCTCTCTGGGTCCTCCCCTGCCAGTGCTCTGCAGCTCACTGGCCTTGGAGCAGGAAAGCGGAGGGTGGAGAGTGTTTCTAGAAAGCCCTTTCTAGAATTCACCATTCACCAGTGAGAAACGCTTTGGGTTTTTTTTTTGGTTTGGAGGGCACCCCTGAAGGTGCTCCGGGCTTTCTCCGGGCTCCGTGCTCAGGGCCCTGTCAGGGCTCAGGTGCTCCATGTAAGGCAGGCGCCCTGCCCACTGTGCTCTTTCTCTGGGCCCGCCACTGCCCTGTCCACTTAGCAGGGTGAGCGTGTGTGTTGGGGGCGGGGGTTGCTGGGGAGGCCGGGAATGGGGGCCTGTCTTCCCGCTAGCCGCAGGGGTGGGGATGCGGCAGGGGTGGGGTCCTCCCGCCCTCTCCTGACCCCCCGTCCCTGACGTGTCTCCTGCAGCCCCAGGATGAACACCTGGACACCTTCTGCCGCCTGCTGGGCGTGGAGCAGTCGCAGATGAAGCACTGGCTGTGCCACCGCAAGCTGGTGACCACGGCGGAGACCTACGTGAAGACCATGTCCCTGCAGCAGGTGGTCAACGCGCGCGACGCCCTGGCCAAGCACCTGTACGCACAGCTGTTCGGCTGGATCGTGGAGCAGGTGAACGAGGCCCTGCGCAGCACCCTCAAGCAACACGCCTTCATCGGGGTCCTGGACATCTACGGGTAGGCCCAGAGACAGCCCAAGGAGGGGCACGCGTGACCCATCAGGACACCAGCGGCTCCCCGCTGAGTCAGTCTTTCTCCCTTCCGTCCCTCCCCCCACCCCGGGAAACTGAGGCTTAGAGAGGAAAATGTCTTCTCCAATGAGAAAGTCTTGGGCCGGAGTGATAGTATCGTGGGTACAGCAGGGAGAGCATTTGCCTTGCATGCGGCTGGCCTGGGTTCGATCCCTGGCATCCCATATGGTCCCCTGAGCAACACCAGGAGTAATTCCTGAGTAGTGCAGAGCCAGGACTTAACCCCTGAGTCTCGCCAGCTGTGACCCAAAAAGTAAAACAAACAAAAAACATGGAAAGTCTTATCAGACTAGAACAGATTTGGGTTTTATACTTCCATCTTGTGTCATTATTTTAGGGGCTGCTTCCAAGCACCTGGGGGTCACCCCTTGCCATCCCGGGCTCGTCAGGCAGGAGAGTTCAGTGGTCGGGTCCTGCGGTCCTGGGGCCCCTTGTGGTGCCAGGGCGCAACCTCGGGGCCTTCGACCGTGGAACCGTCTCTGGTCCCTATTGTGTGTGCGCCTCACTCATCACCTCCCCCAGCCCCGTGATGTGTTGTGTTTTGTTTTCAGTGCTTTTAGTGCTGCGGCTTCTGTCTGCACATTGGGGAGAGCGGGGAGGTGGGTGGGCAGCAGCTGTTGAAGGGTCAGGGGAGGCAACACATGTGGTGGCAACTGTGCTGGTCCCAGCCCCACCGCCTGGCTCCCCCGGGCCTCCTCTGAATTGACCTAGGAGGTAGAGGTGATGACTGGAGAGGGTCATCAGACCGTGGCACCAAAGGACCTGCAGAGAGCACTGAGAAGCTCGGGGGGGTCGACTTGGTGCTAGCTGAGCTGGGGGACCGGAGGGGGCGGGTAGGCACAGCCAGGGAAAGGGTGTCTGAGAAGCACAGGGGAAGCACCTTAGGGTGTAAGGACTACCGGGAGGTGAGCATTGCCGGGGACGTGGGGCGTCCCCTCTGGGTGGCTCTGGGAGTAGACAGGGGCTGTCCCTTTGTCCTGGCTGCATGCGCTCCACGCTGGGCTCCTGCTGGGCTCCGAGCACCGGACCTGGAGCAGTCTGTGCTCTTGGGGTGAGCAGCCCGGCTCACGGCAGTTAGCTAGTGCCCAGTTTTTCCCCTGTGCTGTGAATATCTCCAGAGAATTGCATTTGCCGGAATACTGCCCTCCTGTGTCACCTTCTTAGATTAGACCTGGACAGAGTCCAGCTTTCTGCCCAGCGCCCTCCAGCCACCCCAGGGGGTACCAGTGGGTGCAGTCCCCAGCTGCCTGGTGCTGCAGAAACCCTGGATCAGTGATCTGTGCTGTGCAGGGGGAGTCAGCTTCTGAGTCCCCGGGGGAGGGGGACTTGGGGGCTCGGGGTCGCTCTTACTCAGCGTGTTGAAATAGGGCAACTATTTTGGGCATGCACGTGGCCCGCCCCGGTCACCGAGCGCCACGTGTGCTGCTCAGGTACTTGGGCACGCTTGGCTCACAGGAGGGGGCCTCAGGCTGAACCGCGGGCAGCAGCATCGGAGCCGTCCTTGGGCCTGCAGGAATGTCACATTTTCACTGTCCATGTGTCATAGTTGAGTGGATTTTCCCTGAGACCCCTGCTACCCCACGATGATGTCAGGGTTGGCCTGTCCACGTGTGAGCGGCATCCTTGTCCACAGATCTAGAGGCCCCTACCTCCCGTGGCTGACCTGAATGTTGCCCTCCACCTGCCATGGCCTGAGCTCCTCAAAGAACCCTGACTCCTTGAGGGGCCATGGAGGAGCACGTGTGTGTGTGTGTGTGTGTGTGTGTGTTGTGGGGGGGGTTGTACCCCACCTGCCTCGCTCCAGGCCGTGTGTCCTTTATTGGTGCTGTCCCCAGTCAGGCGTGCACTCACCATCTCCAGCCACGACCCAGCATGTCCCCACTGAGAAAGCGCCTCTGTCTCCACCGGCAGAGAGGAGACGGGGTGCGGGGTTCCTTGTCCTGCGTTCAAGGCGGTGCCCACACTGTCCTCTAGGCGGTGTCAGATCAGATGCAGGATCGGGTCAGTCTGGGGCTCTCGTGCCACCTCCTCCAGTGGTTCTGGAATCTGCCCAGACCTTCCCGCACAAACCCACACTAGTCTGGGCCCTCTGTGGTTGGAGTTGGCAGGAGCAGGGGACGGTGCTTCCAGAAGCCTGAGGGTCACTCCCAGCTTGACCCAGCCCAGCTGTGTGGTCCCAGCTGTCCAGTGTTTGGAACTGGCAGAGCTGGAGACCGCCCGTGCCACCCTGGGCAGTGCTCAGGGCACCGTGTGGTGCTGGGATCAAGCTATGGCAGGCTGCCCTTTGCCACCCTCCCGCATCTCAGGGCAGTGACCGATGGACAGGGGGCACTGCCATGAGTGGTGTGCTTCTGTCCGCCAACCTCCACCCACTTCTAAGTGGTGGGGGCTCCCCCCGGCTCCCTGGAATAGAAACTAGGGCCGCAAGAGATGATCATTCCTGGCTGGGGCATAGACTGCATCGAGAGAAGCGTCTGGGTGGGAACCAGAGTCTGACCTCTCTGATGCAGCCACATCCCACATAGCTAAGTTGAGGGCCGAGGGGTTGATGTCCCTGACAGTTCACGGATGCTCATGTGAGGTTCCAGGAGCTTGGGGACAGAGATCCAGATAGGACTAGCCTGATGGCCGCCCCGTGTCCCGCAGAAGCCCTGCTCCCCGGCCGCCCCCTGCCCCATGTCTGTCCACTCCACTTTCTGTGCAAAGGCAGAGGGGCCCCGCTGGTTCTGTGTGCAGACAGCACTGAGCTCTGAGAGTCCCATCTGTCCATCCAGGTTCCGGGGGGGTGGGGGGGGAGGCACTTTCTCGCCTTGCAAGCATCCCTGCCCCTGGCAGCTCTGCTCAGGAGAGAGAGTGCCGGGCATTAACGATGAGCGATGAGCGTGCAGTGACTGGGAGCTGCTTGGGGTCGCAGCATCACTTCCCAACAGTACCCCCTGGTTTTTAAAGGCCTGTTCTGGCCATGACTATACTCAGAGATTAAGGTGGAAGGAAATCATGTGCTCTGTTTCATTTTGAAGATCAAAGGAAATCAAAGTAGAGGTGAAAATTGTCTTCCCTGCAAATAAGAACCTCAGGATTCAGCGGGGGTGGGGGGTGGGGGGAAGGGAAGAGACGAGAGGGGGGTGAGGTGGCATGGAGGGTTGGGGGACTGGGGGCTGCTGGGGATGGAGTCCAGAGACTCAGACACACAGAGCCTGCATTCTACCTGTGTGAGTTATATCCCCAACCCCAAGGCTGCTTCTGTGGTTTGACCTTCCTCCCGCCCATGGACTCTGGGGTCTTTAACGCTCAGCATTGATTTTCCGGGAGGAATCCAATTCCTTATGTGTATAAATTCCGTTTATGACGTTTTAATGCTGTGAACGCTAAACAGATCCATTGTGTTTATTTTTAAAAGTTATCTTGGCTGATGGGAAGAATCACTCTGCATATGACGAGGCTGGAATGGGGAGGGCTTCCTCTCTTCCTGACTCCGTTCATCCCCGACATTCCCCAGGCCTCCCCAGCCCCTCATTCATCTCTGGCCCTCCGGCATGGCGGTAATTACCCTTGGCCAGCAGAGGAATTGTTTCCAGATAATATCTTAGGAATAAGGAAATTATGAGCTAATTTCAGACCATCTCAAATTAATGAGAATGTTCTTTGTAGAGCACTGGCATTGTAAACCTTCAAAAAATGACAAGTGGGAGATCCTGAAATCCTTCCTCGGTGGGGCTCAGTACGAGCTCTGCAAACACAGTCACTTCCCAGGCCCGGGGCCAAGGGCGAGACTGCCTCTTTCAGGGGCCTTCTAAGTTTGGTTGATGACATTTCCTCTGGGACTTAGTGGTTGTTGGCAACCCACCCTGGGTGCAGTGGGGTGGGGAAAGGAAGGGGGTGTTAGAGGGTAGGACAGCACCCCCCCCCCCGCCTCCTCTGGCCTAGGAGGGCACCTACCAAGCTGAGTGACCAGCGGGTACAGGCCTTGCCCTGCGGGGACTGGTCTGCAGCTCCACTGGGACTCTGTCTTGGATCATTTTTTATGTGCCCAGAACTCGTCCTCCGCCTGGAGTGTTGTAGGAACAATATGTTCAAGGCTATTTGCTCGCCAGGTGCTTTCCTCCATGCGGCTGATTTGTGCCTTACCCTCTGCTCAAACCATTCCCAGCCCAGCCCCACTGGGCCTTGCTCCGGTATTTCCTCTGAGACTGGCAGTGAGGGTGTGGTGGTCTTTGTGAAAGGAGGGACATTGTGTTTCTTGAGGCTGGGAGTGCTCAGTGGCTGGGGGGGTGTGTGTGGAAGGTTGTTGTTTGGGGGAGAGGGGAGGCTGCTCTGGCCCCCCACAATGCCCCCACTCTCTGCTCTCCTCGTGCACAGACACCACCTCTTCCAGGAAGGCTGCCCACTGGCCCACAGCCTTATAAGAGTTTTTTCTTGCTGTTTTAAGTCACATTTCTACTCTTTGGTCAAGAATGTGATCTCAGGGGCCAGAGAGATCGATCGCACAGAGGGTAGAGTGCTTGCCCAGGTTCCATGCCTGGCATCTCACTGCAGTCCCTGCCAGGAGTATATTCCGTGAGCTCAGAACAAGAAGTCAGCCCTGAGCATCTCTGGGGGTGATAGAACAACCAAGAACATGCCCAGGGACACCCCAGGTCGAACACCCAAGAATAATTGAGATAAGTACCAGGAGCTTGGAAGCCGGCCTCACATGCTGGGGGAAAAGGCAGCTCAGATAGAGAAGGAAACAACAAGCAAAGGATGTTTGGAGGACTTGCTTGGGATGCGAGATGAGTGCTGAAAGTAGACTATAGACTGAACACGATGGCCACTCAAAACTTCTGTTGCAAACTACGACACCCTAAGGGAAAGACTGAGCAAAAGGAAATGCCCTGCCACAGAGGCGGGGTGGGGTGGGGTGGGGTGGGTAGGATGGGCTGTGGGGGTGGGAGGGCTACTAGGATCATTGGAGGTGGGGAATGGGCACTGGTGGAGGGATGAGTACTTGATCATTGTATAACTTAAACCCAAGCACAAAAGTTTGTAAGTCTACAACTGTATCTCATGGTGTTTCACTAATAATAATAATAATAAAAATAAAAATAAAAAAAAGAGAGAATATGCCCAGGGAGAGGTGCTTGCAGGGCCCATCAGAGCAGCCGGATGCACCATTAAAAGTGAAGGCTGCCAAGCTCAAGAGGCCCGAGGCATGTTCTGCACTTAGTCCGGATGACTTCTGCGGTGTAGGCCTCTGAAAGGAACCTCCCAGTAGTGAAACAGGGGGCAAGAGGCAGGAGAGAATCGCGGGCACTCATTTCTACACCCACTTTTCCTGAGCAGTCTCCTTCAGGGCCTCTTCTACGTTAGAAGCAAGAGTGATAGTCTTGCTCCTCCCATTCAGCTGGGTCGTCCAGATGGACACTGGCTGTGGTAGTCCTGGGATTCCAGAGACAGAATCTGGGACTTCTCTGCCCCTCAGGAGCCAGTCCCTGGCCAGCCCCTTGGGTAGAAGAAGCCGGCTCTTACTGGGTCCTCTCTTCCATTCTGCAGGTTCGAAACCTTTGAGGTCAACAGCTTTGAGCAGTTCTGCATCAACTATGCCAACGAGAAGCTCCAGCAGCAGTTCAACTCGGTAGGCTGAGGGCGGGGGGGGAGGGCGGGGTCTGTGTCTGGGCGGGTCAGGGTCTGAGTGGTCCGCATCTGGGTGGGCTGGGGCTGGTGGTGTGGGTCAGGGCCATTTGGGGCCCTGGGAGGCCAGGGCTGCGCAGGTCAGGCGCCCACGCACTCACTTCCTGCAGGAGTCAGCTCAGTTGTCTTCTTCCCAACTTAGAGGTCTCGAGTCCCGCTCTGCACTGGGTTTCCTGGGGTGCCCTTGCTCTAGGGAGGCACTCATCACTGGCCAGGAGCTTATCCAAATGGGGTAGCCGGGCCAAGAGGGAGGAGGTGCCTCCTTTGGATTTTTGCTCCCTCGACCCATACCTGACCTTCAAGGGTCTCAGCAGTTTCCAACCAGATACAAGCCTTCCTGCTGTGGGGGTGGGGGTGAGGAGGGGGCAGCAGTGAGGTGATGACTCCAAGCATGTGGGGAGCCTTCAAGTGAGTCCATCTTTAAGATGTTGCCATTGCAACGTGCGTCACTTAAGCCACATCCGAGTGCCGCGCCAACACGCCAATCTGCAATCCTGACTGTGGCATTGGTGCCCGAACCTGTTCTGGTGGGGGCACTTCTCATCCTCCAGGACTTGGACCTCCCGGGGCCAGCGGGCTGGGGAGGTGAAGGTTGGGGCGTGACTGCAGGCCACTAGCCCCAGCCTCTGACTTCTTCCCCCCAGCACGTCTTCAAACTGGAGCAGGAAGAGTACATGAAGGAGCAGATCCCTTGGACTCTGATTGATTTCTACGACAACCAGCCCTGCATCGACCTCATCGAGGCCAAGCTGGGCATCTTGGACCTGCTGGATGAAGAGTGCAAGGTGAACTGCTGGGCACCAGGGCTAGAGACAGCTGCACGGGGAGCACGTGTGTCACCTGCCACCTCCTGTCTCTAGTGCATGGGAGAAGCTTTGCTGCTTGGCTTGTGCAGGGCAAGGTCCCGCTGCTTAGACGCCATGGCTTTGCTGGTGCTCGCCTTCCCAATATGGATGTGGGTGATGCAGGAGCGAGGGCCGTGGGTCTCTGTGTTCGTCCATGGTTCCCAGGTTCTTCGATGTTTGTGCCCAGTAGGGACCAGAGCCATAGGACAGCACGTAGGGTACTTGCTTGCTTGGGGCTATCCTGGGTTCCATCCCCAGCACCACGTGTGGTTCCCCTGAGCTGGCCGGGAGTGATCCCTAAGCTCAGAGCCAGAATTAAGCCCTGAGCACCTTGGGGTGACAGGAGACTAAGAGAGAACAGGGCAGGATGTGGGCTTCTAGTCAAATATATAACCTAAGAGGTCTTAAATAAATGGACAGCCCTCACCAGCCCAAGCCGGAATGAGAGATGTTAATCTTATCTTAGCAACACAAACGGGCTCTAAATTAATAAGACATCTCTGGGAAGCAGAGGGGAGTCCTTGGAGAGTCTGTTTGGTAAGAAGCACAAAGGCCCAGTTTTCTTATAAAAACTCTACAAAAAACAAGCTATACTTAACTTTGGGGCTGAGTGATAGCCCAGCAGGTAGGGCATTTGCCTTGCACGCAACTAACCCGGCCGACCCGGGTTCAATTGTTCTGCCCCTCTCAGAGAGCCCGGCAAGCTACCGAGAATATATTGCCTGCATGGCAAAGCCTGGCAAGCTACCCGTGACGTATTCGATATGCCAAACACAGTAACAACAAGTCTCACAATGGAGACGTTACTCGGCCTTCTCGAGCAAATTGATGAACAACGGGAGGACAGAGCTGCAGTGCTACTTAACTTTAATCCTATACTAAGTTTTTCCCTGGCTGGGAAGTTGCTTTCTCTTCTAATTTATTTTCCAGTCTTTTCAACTCCAAGTCTGAGCATTTTTTTATTCAATATTTCTCTTTTCTTCTCTTTTGGGGTCAAGGTGAGGTGGAGTGGGCCATACCCAGCAGTGCTCTGTGCACTCAGAGGTCACTCCTGGCGGGCCAGTGGGGCGGGGGTGGGGGGGGGCATGTGGAGTGTCAGGAATGGAACCTGGTTTTAACTGCATGCAAGGCAGGTGCCTTAGCTGCTATATTATTACACTGGCCCCAGTTCTTTGGTTTTCACTCGCTTGCTTTTGTTTTTTTCCATTTAGTTTGAGGCACTGTGATGTCCAGTGCTGTTCATGATAGGCTTTCACGCATGCTCGGTCCCAGAGCCATACCCTCCGCCAGGTCCACAGCCCTTCAGCGCCCACCCCTCCCACCCGCCCTCTGCCTGCCACCCTGGTAGGCTCGGTTCCGTAGACCAGATCTCAGGTGCTGTTGTGTCTGGCCATTTCTTATCCCCTTACCATCTTTATTCCTATTTTACTGTGGGGCTGCCCATACCCAGCAGTGCTCAGGTCCTCACTCTTGGCTCTGAGCTCAGGGATCACTCCCGGTGGGGCTCAGGGAACCGTATGTGATGTCCAGGATCTAACCCGTGTGTTTATTGTGTGCACACATGCACCATGACTCCCATGCGAGCTCTCTGGTTGATCCCTGTAGTATGTTCCTTCCTTTCCCACAGAGGAGGGGATTGGGCTGTGCCTCGTGATGGGGGAACACATGTGTCAACTTGGCCCCATGTCCTGCTCTGCCCCCGTTCTTCTGTGCGTGATCCTGTGTGCCCCAAACCCTTACTTTGCCTCCTGGCATAGTCCCCTCCCCTTCTCCCCCAGCCCGCCTCCCCCTTCCTCCCCATCCCCGGTGTTTCTAAACATAGGAGTCTTGGAGATGAATTTGAGGCAGAATCTCTTTCAAAGATGCTGAATTAAATTTTCTTTATTTCGTCTGCCCAATACAATTAATTGCTGCCCTCAGGGAAAAGTTTTTCTTTTCTTGGCTTTTTCTCTGGCACTTAGCCCTGGATGCTCGGTGGTGGTCACACCGAAGGGATCTTGAGAAAGCTGCACACCTGCGGAGTCCCTGAGAAGTTCAGCAAAGGGTGTCAGCAGTTTCTTCGTGGTGCTGCTTTTATTCTTTTACCAAATGAGGCCAGTGGAAAAGTGATGCCTGGTGCAGGGGTCACCTTTAGGCAGGGCCAGTGTTGGCTGCAGGGGGAACAGTGAAGGCCCTGCGGTCTTCGCCATGAATGAGGAGGGTTCAGGGTGGTGGTGGAGGGACGGAGATGGGGGGAAAGGTGAGAGTGTGATAGTACAGCGGGGAGGGCGCTTGCCCTGCACACAACCAACTTGGGTTCGATCCCTGGCACCCCCTGTGGTTCCCGGAGCACTTTCAGAAATGATTCCTGAGTGCCGAGCCAGGAGTAATCCCTTAAGACTGTCGGGTGTGGCCCCCAGGATGGTTGGGGGAGCATCTTCCCCCGGAGGGGAGGCCTCGTGTGCATGTCCCCTGGAGCATCACACGCAGTGGCTCGTTGCTCTGTTCTGTCCGCCCTGAGCCTAGGGAGCCACTTTTCCACTTTTCTCTTTTAATTTCTGTCCTTATTCTCGTTCAGGTGACACGGTTACTATAGTGTTAATGATTATGGGCTTTTCAGGGGAGTGTCCTTCATAGAACATTTACCTTTTCATGCTGGGATATCCTGTTCAAAGGGACCAAAAGAAAAGAAAAGAAAAAGAAAAAGAAATAAATGTAAAATACCTAAATGAGCACATATTAGAACATTTATATTGTTGATGACCTGCTTTCCAGGCTGAAATAATTTGTGCATTATCTTAGTTCTGCTTTTGTCCTTTGTAATTAATGGTAATTATGCTTTTTCTTTTTGACTTTTTTGGGTCACACCTGGAGATGCTCAAGGGTTAGTCCTGGCTCTGCACTCAGGAATTTCTCCTGGCAGTGCACTGGTGGACCATATGGGATGCTGGGTTTTGAACCCATGTTTGCAAGGTAAACGCCCTATACACTGTGCTATTGCCCCTGCTTTTTGTTTTAATACGCCCAAAAGTTGTATAAAAATAGAAACTTGAAAAGGCAAAAAAAAAAAAAAGACCAAACTGGGGCTGGAGCGATAGCACAGTAGGTAGGGCATTTGCCTTGCATGTGGCCAACCCAGGTTTAATTCCCAGCATCCCATATGGTCCCCCGAGCACCGCCAGGAGTGATTCCTGAGTGCAGAGCCAGGAACAACCCCTGAGCATTGCTGGGTGTGATCCAGAAAGCAAAACAAACAAACACATTTATGTTTATGTTGTATAGTTAATGCACCCTCACCACCACCAGCGTACCCAAGGCCCTCGTCCAGAGCGTGCTCATATGTCCCTTGATTCCCAGCTTCCTCCCCCAGCCCTGCACTCCCACTGCTTGGTCATCTCAGTTGTGTGGTCCCAGACCAAGAATCCACCGTCGTTCAGTCTCTTCCATTCCCTCGTTTTGTTTCTCTCTATACCACAGACAACTGAGATCATCCATATTTCTCCTTCCCCCTTTGACGTATTTCGTGAAACACTAGGCCTTCCTGTTCCGTCCAGGTTGCAGCGAAGTGCATGATTTCATCTTTTTTCACAGCTGTGTAGTATTCCATTGCACATGTGTATTTCTGCTTTGTTGTCCGTGCATCTGTCATTGGGCATTTCGGTTCTTTGTGTCTCCTGGCTATTGTACTTAGCCCTGCAGTGATCATAGGTAGAGATGCATCTTTTTTAACTGGTGCTTTTGTGTTCTTGGGCAAGATGCGAAGAAGTAGAATCACTGGGTCATACAGAAGCTCTCTTCTTCCTTGTTTTGGGACATTCAAAGCTGTCAATACGGACATTGAAAGGGCCCCCTGCAGAACTCTTGGAGAAGTGTGACCGCCATCAAAAACTACCCTGGGCTGGAGCATGGAGACTAGAGTTCGTGGCTTGGACCCCAGTTGTTGCTAGTGCAACTATCACTTAGTATCTTCTGGGTTACCAGAACCAAATTCCCAAATTTTGGGCAGATGGGTGGCACAGAAACATCAAGACCAACTCCTTATTGGGTGGCCTGGAGAGCGAGTGTGAAGACTCACTGGTGTGGAATTCCACAGCGAACTCTGGTGGTCAGGGCAGGGCTGGAGGATGGGGCAGCTGGCATGGGGTGGTCACTCGTGGGGAGGAAATAATCCGGGCAGGGATGGGGAGTGAGTATGTCCCAGGAGCTGGCAGAGGAGGTGGACATGTCATGCATGGGCCACTGGGCCGCGGGCCGGTCCAGAGCAGGGAGCCTCTTCAGCTCATTCTGCTCTGCTGGTGTGACCTCACGTGCCAGCCGCTCCCCCCCTCTGACCCTCCCCCCCTCTGCCCACCCCCGGCTGCCTCACTGGCTCCTGCATCCACGTTTTCGTCTGGCCTCATGTCATCCATCAATTAGGATCACGCGGCGGGGGGGGGGGGGGGGGGGAAGACAGAATCCAGCCTCTGGACATCACCTGCCTACTAGGTTGGTGTCCTCGGCCGTGACACCCCTTTCTGTGCTTCCACAGGTGCCCAAAGGGACTGACCAGAACTGGGCTCAGAAGCTGTATGACCGACACGCGGCAAGCCAGCACTTCCAGAAACCCCGCATGTCCAACACCTCCTTCATCGTCATCCACTTCGCCGACAAGGTGGGCTGCCGTCGGGGGCATGGGTGGGGTATGGGGCTCAAGGTGCCATGTCCATCCATTTCACTTGCAAGTGGCCTGATGTCAACTGGGCGAGGTCCCCTTCTCTCTCTCTCCCTGCTGTCACCGGGGCACCCCTACACACTTCCCACTTGGCAGGACCCTGCAGAGTCGCCACTTCCCAGCCAAACATTTCACAAATTCCAAGGGGAGGGTCTCTGTCCTGGGAACAGAGCAGCGGACAGGGAGCAAGGAGAGAAGGAACTTGGGGAGCAGGGGAAAGGACCCTTTCCTGGCACTGGGGCATGCCTGGGACCTTTCCTGGGTTTCTCCTGCACACAGTAGGGAGGGGGCCCATGGGCGGCCCCCCAAGGAAGCCTCTTGTGTTGCATCGTACAGAACTCCCTGCCATCAGATGGTTTTCCGTGAACAGGAGGCCCGTCCTCTGTGCCAATGCTGAGCTGCCCTTTAGAAAGGCACATCCGCCAGGTCCCTGCCTGCCTGCGTGCCGAGCGGGGGAGGGGGGGTGGTGTGTGTGTGTCAGGGGGGAGGGGGGCGGAGACCCATGCATTCTCACGAGGCTGCCCGCATCCCACCCTGCACGCAGGTGGAGTACCTCTCCGACGGCTTCCTGGAGAAGAATCGGGACACGGTGTACGAGGAGCAGATCAACATCCTGAAGGCCAGCAAGGTGAGGCATGAGGCATGAGGCAGCCGGGCAGCAGAGTGCGGCAGCTGCTGTCCCCTGCTCCCCCCCACCCAGGCTACCATGCAGCAGGCAGAGGTGGCAGACGGGGTGGGGGGAAGGGATGGGCAGATGTTCCTGCCTGAAAACGCTCCCGGGACAGTGCCACGGGGGGAGCAGGGGAAGAGGCCAGCCGAGGGTGGGCCGGCAGCGTGGTCGTGTGGAGCCACGGGACCTGGCCTCCCCCCTCTGTGCAGGTCACGGTCCTCTTCACAGCCCAGTATCAGCACCACTCTGGACGCTCCCTGGAGGCCAGAGCTTACGGTACTGGTGTGGCCGGTTAGAGCCAAGGACCAGTCTATCCGGGCACGGGGAAGGAACCAGGGTCCTTTTCCTTCTTATGGGTACCGTGGGGACCAGCATGTCCGCCTGTCCTCCCTGGGGGACCCTTCCTCTGACAGCCCCAGCAGAGACAGGCAGGACAGGTTCTCCCCTCCAGTGGCCCTGCACAGGCCACTGAGGGCAGGTGTGGACAGGGCCCCGCGGACTGGAGAAGGCGGCTGTCCTGTCCAGAGGCAGGCGCTCTTAGAGCTTCGGAGAACCCGGGGAAGGGCTTTTCAGGGGTGAGGAGACATTCCTCACACCACACAGGCGGGTAACATCTCCTAGGGAGATGCCGTAGCTGAGGAGGGCAGTGGCCCTGTGGACCCAAGGACCTAGAGGCCTAAACTGCCTTGAAGGCGGTTCCTAGAGGATTTGAGCCCGGGCAGGTGTGCGGGGTCTGTGGCTGTCGGGAAGAGCAGGGAACCGGTCTTCTCTGAGAGGGATTTTGATTTGGATCAGTGTGAACACATTTTGGAGCTCAGCGCCAGGTTAGCCTCCCAACCTGCCTGGCTCCCGGCCTCTGGTCCTTGTTGATGGATGACTCTTCCCGTTCTCTGCCAGGGTGGGAAGGGGCAGGGAGAGGGAATGGAGGTCGATGGCTCCACCTTCCATCCTCAGCCTTTCCCCCTCTCCCCCCGCCTGCCATCCATTCCATGGGAGCTGAGAAGTCCAGGACATTCCGTTTGCTGGAAAGTGGAGAAATACTGTTGTCCTCTCCCCGCTCCTCCTTTCAGGCACGAATACGGAGCCGTGAAGGGAGCCGGGGACGTTCCCTTTAAGTACAGACTTCAGGGTGGGGGAGAGGGTCCCGGTGCCCATTCGGGAAAGCTGATGGTTCGGAGAGAGTTCAGAAGTCGAGCATTCACAGATACCGATATGCCGGAGTGTCATTTTCTCTGATCTACTCCTCAAAGGTCATGGCTCCCATCTCTCTCCTGCCCACTCATCCCACCACAGTTATAACCTTCCTTCCACGTATCACAGGGTCATGGAGGACGCCGGGCTGGACCGTGGTGTGACACGGGCTGCTCAGGCTGAGGGAGGAGGTCGCAGTGAGAAGAAGGTGACCTGGAGCCAGGCTGGGGGTGGGATCCTGGTACGTCAGGGACACGAAAGGTCTGAGCCAGGAGTTTGGTCAGAATGTGAAGCCCTGAGAAGGGCCTCAGCTATGGCGGCAGGGGGAGGGGATGGGAACACCCCTCTTCAGGGGGCGTTAGGAGCAGGGAGATGAGAAGGCTCAGAGCCCCTCCCCCGAGATGCTGGTGCTCCAGCACCCCCTTCTCAGGGATCAGCATGGGGCAGTGTGTGTTCCCTGTGTGGGAGACGGACCACCCACTCTGTCCTGCCTGGGTTCTAGTCTGGATATTCTGTGGAAGGACAGGAAGCTGCTGCAGAGGCAGAACATTCAGGAACCTGAATATGAGGGCCCTCCAAGGGTGTCTCCTCACACCCCAGTTCAGGCCACACCCCAGTCCCTCGGCATGGGGGAGGCTCTGGGAAGTTTACTAATGTCACAAAACCCACTAAAGTTTGGGGTGATTCTGTCTGAGTTCTGCTCCAGTATAGCCACCTTCTCCCCATCTACACGGAGGTGCTGCCCATCTTTGGAAGTAAAGCCTCAGATTGTCTTGGAAAGTTTCTTTTATTCCCTTCCTTTTAAATTAGGTAAGGTAAAGGTAAAGGCCCTCCCGTTGATCGTCGATTTGCTCGAGCGGGCCCAGTAACGTCTCCATTGGAGACTTTGTTGTTACTGTGTCTGGCATATCGAATACTCTCGGTAGCTTGCCGGGCTCTCCGAGAGGGGCGGAGGAATCGAACTCGGGTCGGCCATGTTGGCCGCTTGTAAGGCGAACGCCCTACCCGCTGTGCTATCGCTCCAGCCTTTTAAATTAAATTCTTTATTTTTATTTTATTTGGTTTGGGGACCACACCTAGTGGTTGCCAGAGATTCCTCCAGGCTCTGTGTTTAGGGATCACTCCCAGAAGCGTTCAGGGGATCAAACATGATGCCAGGGCTTGAACTCATGTCAGTCACGCACAAGGCAAGCGCCCTACCCGCTGTACTCTCTCCGGCCCCAGATTCATCCTTTTTATACTATAAAATTCAGTAGGATATTTTGTTAACTGTGTAAGCATTGGTGTTGTGAATTCCAAGAATGTTTTCATTGCTTTCAAGAAGAAACTATCTCCCCATTACTCATTAAACAGACCCTCCTGACCTCAGTCTCATCCACTAAACTGCTTCCTGTTCACCACAAACCTACTTCTTATTCACCACTAAATTACTTCCTGTTCATTACAAACCCATTTCCTAGTCACCACTAAATTCCTTCTTGTTCGCCACAAACCTACTTCCTAGTCACCACTAAACTAATTCCTGTTCACTGCAAACCTACTTTCTATTTACCACTAAGCTATATCCTATTTACCACAAACCTATTTCCTATTCACCATTAAACTGTATCCTGCTATATCCATCACAAACCTACTTCCTATGCACCACCAAACTACTTTGCTGTTCACCACAAACCTACTTCCTGTTCAAAATGAAACTACTTCCTGCTCCCTGGATATTCCATATGCATAAAATCACAGTCCCAGGGTATCTTTTGAGTGACTTTGAGGTTCACCTGTGTAGCAGTTTGGGGCCTGTGCGTCTGTGCTGTGTGGGAGAATCCCCCTGGCCTGGATGGACCCCGCTCTGTTCATGGATGCTGTCTGGGGGCCTCCCTGGGGCCTCTGAGTGCCCATGTCTCCTTGGGCAGAGGTCCTGGTTCTTTGGGGCATCTAGTGGGAAGCTCCCCGAGGGAGTCCCACAGCTTAGAGCACAGAAGCTCTTCTCTGCACTGTCTGTTCTCCATGTTTCTCTCTAGTTCCCGCTTGTGGCCGACTTGTTCCACGATGACAAAGACCCCGTCCCTGCCACCACCGCTGCCAGTAAGGGCTCGTCCTCGAAGATCAACATCCGCTCGGCCAGACCCCCCCTGAAGGCCTCCAACAAGGAGCACAAGAAAACCGTGGGCCACCAGGTTGGCTGAGGGCTACAGCGGGCAGAGGAATGGCGGAGGGGGTGGCTGGTTCAAACCCAGCGTCCAGCTCTGTGTCCTCCAATCTCTTCTGGGAAGGGGTGGGGGGGACCGATAGAGAAGGAAAGGGGGACCGGGAGCCCTAGAGCCCACCATGCATCCCCACAGAGGGCCCTGGGGACAGCCCGCAGGCCCCATGCAGGTGTTTGCGGGTGTCATTTGATCTGCCCCATGGCAGGCCCTGGACACCCTGGCCTGTCCGTGGCTGGTGCCGGGCCTGCTTTGGGCTGCTCATGTCATGCCCGTCCCAGCTCCAGGCCGTCCGCTCTTACTCCACTCTAGCAGTGACAAACAGCCCTCACGGGCCTACACACGTGACCCATGATCTGGGTTGAACACGTGGGGCTTCTTCCCCCAGCTGCAAGGAGCTCCCCCAGCGCCAGAGGCCTAAAGGGCCTGATGGGGGTCAGCAAGGATGCCAGCAGTGTAGGCGTGCAGTGTCCGCCCCCCCGCCCCCGCACCCACCAGCGGGCCTGATGCCCTTGTCTCCCGCCCGGGAGTCACCCGCCTCCCTCTCACCCCCAGTTCCGTGCCTCCCTGCACCTGCTCATGGAGACTCTGAACGCCACGACACCACACTACGTCCGCTGCATCAAGCCCAACGACGAGAAGCTCCCATTCCAGTACGTGCCGCTTCCAGCCCCTGCCCCGCGGGCCCTTCCAGGGACTGTGGGACTCGGCGATGATGAGCCAGGCGCTGCCCAGGCTCTGCCGTCCGGGTTCCTGGTGGGGGGAGAGAAGGGGCAGCTCCCCGGCGGCACCTCTGGGTCTTGAGTGGTCACTCCCTGCAGAGGCCAGACTGCTGGTTGGACGGCCAGGCTTCTCCTGCTCCGAATTCCCTGGCCATGGTTGGCAGGTCCCTCGCGGGGTGGCATCTGTTCACCAGCTGCTTCCAGCAGAAAAGGGGCTTGTTGGCAGAGCTGCTGTGTGGAAGATGGGGATGGGGTGTGAAGGGCAGAGCTGCCGTGGGTCCGGGAAGGGCGGGCCAGGCTGGGTTCCAGCTCTGCTGCCATCAGCCATGACCTTGGACGGCTCCTGCAGGGGAACCAGCCGGAGACTTTGAAAGCAACTGTCCTGTCCCAGGGACCCATTTGCTAAGATCCAGGGCTTCCTCCCAGTAAACACGGCAGCGGCGGGGCGTGGCTCAGTGGTACCACACTGGCCTTGAGTGGGTGAGGCCTAGGTTCATCCCAGCACTGCCAACAGTGTTTTTAGAAAAAGTCCAACCAAGTCCACTCCCAATGGCTTGATACAGGCCAGTCTGTCTTTGGTTTCTTCCCTTGTGGTGAGACGATCATTCTCTGGGGCTGATAGTGCAGTGGTTAGCACCACCTGCCTGGGTTCTGTCCTTGGCACCATGAGGTTCCCTGATCATTGCCACACCTGGCAGCCCAGGTGATCCTCAGACGGACCTGTGGGCCTGAGTGACTTTGCTGACCGAGACTGACTGAGACTCACTGGCCTGGGCCCTTGGGCCTCCTGAGAGCAGCTTTGGAGCCCCAACACCCTCATCAATAAAATGATGACCCTGAACTGGGGGCACAGCTCAGCATGCTGGAGCACATGCCTGGCATATGGGGGCCTGGCTTCACTGCTCCTGGCCCCACTGCAGGGCAGGGTCTAGCAGAGAGCCACTGGCCACGACCCTGGACTCCCTGAGCACTGCTGGGGAGAGCCAGGAGAGGGGGAGGGGATTATTCTGATAAAAGTTCTGGGAGATTTAAAAAAATATATATATATATGTATATATATGTATATATATATAATGGGTCAACTCAGAGACAGTGACACACCTACCTGTATGTATGATAGAACACACCCATCTCTGGCGGTCCTAGAAACACAGTGCTGTCCCCTCCTGTGCCCAGTGCCCTCAGCCTCTGCTCCCTGCGGCCTCTGCTCCCTGGTCTTGCTCTCCGGGCACTGTAGGGAGCAGAGCATCCTCTTGCGGGCCGGAGATCGGAGCCTGATACAGTCGTGACAGCTAGACGCGTCTCAGAGGTTGCCCGATGCCCTTCGGAGCGCAGGGCATTGTGTGTGGGACTGGCCAGGCCTGCACGTGCCTGTGTGAGGGTCCCAGCTGCCCCCCCAGCCCCCCAGACTTGTCCTCTCACTGCCCGTTTGTCTTTGCGCAGCTTTGACCCCAGGAGAGCAGTGCAGCAACTCCGGGCGTGCGGGGTGCTCGAGACCATCCGGATCAGTGCGGCCGGCTACCCGTCCAGGTACGTGCGCCGGGGCTTCTGCAGGTGCCACCTCACCCCCACCAGCCAGAAACTTAACCCCCCAAATGGTCTCCGTGCTGTGGGCCCAGTGCTGATGCTGACAGGATTAGCTGGAAGGGGCTGGGACGATAGGAAGTTTGCCTTGCACATGCTGACCCATGTTTGATTCTCGGCACCCCAGCTGGTCCCCTGAGCACCGCCAGGAGTGAACCCTGAGTACCACTAGGTGTGACCCAAACCCCCACTCCATCGAACATCTTCATGACTTCATATCTGAATTCTTTGTCAGACAGAGAGGCGAGTAGCACCTAGAGAGGATTCTGGACTCTTTTCATCGTCTTCCCCACGTGGTGGGGATTTACGTTGTTTCTTCATGTTGGTGTGTAGGTATGAGGACTAGATTTCTTGGTATGACTAAACTGCCTGCGGCCGCGTTAGCGTCCAGCTGCCTAAAATCAGGCCACGCCCACTTCTACCAAAGCCACGCCCACTTCCGAAGAGACCACGCCCCCACGGGAACCTGGTGTGTGGGGGTGGCGGTAAAGGCTGGGTGGGGAAGAAGACCAGCACAGCTTTGGGGATGAAGAGCCAAACCCCCACTCCAACTCCCCGTTTCCCCCCCTTCCCGTGCCCTCCCCCAAAAAAGAACTTACATTTGGGCATGGGAGTCAAGTCAACAGAGACCCACGTGGGCGGCGTTTCTAGCTAATCAGGGAGGGGTTCATGAGAGTCATATGAGAACGCCCCTTTACTCATCCCCTTCACCCCCCTTTCATGGTGGGGAGGGCCAGCATTGTACCCACCACCGGGACGACGTGGTGGCTGAGTAGCCCCTGTGTCCAGTGCTGCTGACACACATGAGCTCTGCAGGTGTCCCCACTGGTGCTCCCCACACCCACCTCCTGCTTTCCTCACTGAGGCCACAGCCCTGCATGTCAGTGGGTTACCCCCCCCACCATGAGCCTCGTCACCTGCTCCTGAGACACCACGTCCTCAGAGTTCACCCACAGCGCAGAGGGCACCAAGCGTCCCTTCTGTCTGTCAGCAGAATCCTTTTCAGAGTCTGAGATGGCGGATGTAATCTGAGTTTTTTTTTTTTAACTGTGGTCAGTTTTCACGGGGCCGGCTCAGTGTCTGCTGCAGTCATGCCAGGACGGTGGGTCCCCCCGTGGGCCTTACCTGAAAGCCGGGTGTGTCTGTGAGGTGGTCGCGGGACCAGTGTTGCACAGGGCACACTCTGGTCAGCTGGAGCCCCGCAGAGGCGGGGAATGGCCCCCAGCCTGTGCCTCGGCCCAAGGAGCAAGTAGATGGGTCTCCTGGGTCAGAACTCTTCTTTCACTCAGCAGAATAGTCGAACTCATGCCTTGGATTGTTGTGATGAATGACCCAAGATGTCCAAAGTCCTCCATGCCGTGAGGTGGACACTTGGGCATTGTGCAGGACGCTCACTGTTGTTCCCTACCAGAGTGGGCCACTGCATCCCTGCAGATGCTGTCAGCTAGGTTAAGTTTGCATTCCAGATTCCCAGTCGGGACTTTCACTTCTAGGCTTATCATTGACTTGCAATATGGTTACATCTCCGGGATTTCGCTTCACATGTCTCTGAGTGCGTGACTGTCTGTCTTCAGTCGTCCTGTCACCAGAAACACCCCTTGGCTCTTTCCTCGTGCACCCCACCCTTGGTCACCACCAGAGTTTTCAGAGTCTCAGAGTCGGTTCTCTTGTTTCTCGTCACTTCATTTGCCGTAATTATTCCCCTTATGAGTAGAACCATCCCAGTTGTCTTTCATTCCCTTGCGTATCTGCAGCCTGACCTCCGGAGCCTTGTGTCCCCTGTGTCCCCGAGGGCCCAATTTCGGTGTTGTGAATGCAGCATGCGGGTCCCTGGGGGAGACACACCTCAGCTAATTTGGTCATCCGTGATGACTGTATGGGGGGGTGGGGCTGCCATGGGGACAGGTGCACACGCTTTTCCAAAATAGCCTTCGCTCTCCTGGCCCTTCCCATAGCTGCCTCCGAGCAGTGTTGCCGCGTCCCGTGTAGAGAAAGCCCCAGTCTCATTTCTGTGGAACCCCGATGTGTCCGCCTGCTTCCAGCAAGCATCCTGCACTCCCGGGACGCCCCCGCACCTGGAGTGGTTACGCTCCGGGTTATCTGGCATCTGTCAGAGCAGCCGGACCAAGCTGCCCCGTGCTCTGGGGAATAGACCGAAAACCGTGGGATCTGCCGTGCCCCATGACCGCGCCTGCAGGGTGCAGAGACCCCCCGGGGAGTAGCGTGCCACCCCGCCGAGCTGGTCTTTGTGGCTGATGCATCATTGGTATGAATGGTTGCAGGGAGGGGTGTCTGGAAGACTGGGCACGGGGATGTGTGCAAATGAGACCTTGAGCAGCGCGTCCCTGGGGGGACCTGTGTCTGTCTAAGGAATGAAGCCACTGCGTCGCTGGGAATCTCCCTGCTGGAGAGAATCATTTAGCCGTCAGAAACGGCAGAGGGTGTGGATTCCTGGGGTGCTTGGCCCGCCGCAGTCACACAAGGCAGAGAAGGCCTCTGCCCGCCCTGGCCCCTGGGCACAGCCTTGCAGCGCCAGCCTGTGTCCCCACAGTGGCCACGTGTCCTGCCCCCAATCCCATTTTGGCTCTTGCACGGAGCTGGTTGTGCGCAGGGGGGAGGGGAGAGAGCTCGTGCTGGCAGGAGCCTGGAGGTGGCGGGCTTCTGTCCACCGTGGTGGCTGCGTCCCCTGCTTAGTCCTTCTCCTCTGGGCCTCATCCTGTGAGGAGCAGCTGGCCATGTGCCGGCAGCCCCCGGAGAATAGAAAAGCACCAGCTGTGTCCTCTGCTGGCCCCCTCTAGTGCAAGCAATGACCCCCAAAACCTGAACCCAGGGTAGGGCAGGCCAGGGAGGAGTGAAGGGGACGGTTGAGGGGTCGGTGTGGAGGCAGTGCGAGCGGCCACATGAGGTTCCAGGACTTGGGCAGCTGGACCCAGAAGTGGCTTCTCTGCCCCCCACCTCCTGCTGGGTGTCCTGGCTGTGGGCCCCACTCACCCCACCCCATCACAGCCATATAGAAATAATTGCCCACCCTCCATGCTTCCTGGCCCCTTCACAGGTACCCCCGGACCCCCTAAGTGACTGTCCCTCCCCCCTCCCCTCCAAAGTCTCAGGCAGCGTTGCTGTATGTTATGGTGGGGCCCCCCGCACCTTTCACTTTTGTGAACGCAGCTGGGTTGGACAGGACAAGGGAGGCAGGAGAGCCGCTCCCTCGGGGGACAGGCCACCATTGCTGCCCACGTCCACTCAAGCTCAGCGTGGCTCCAGAGCACCACCTTTCACAGGATCCTCTCCGAGCAGGTGTGAGAAAGGGTGGATGGGAGCGTTTCTGCCCCCAGACTGCCCTCCGGAGCAGAAGCTGGGAAGGAGACCCTACCATTCACCCAGACACGGGGTTTTCCCCTCCCTTTCATTATTTGGCTCTGATGGGGGTCCGGGTAGGCCCAGCCACACCCCTGGGGGTGATTCTGTGGAGAGAAGCCGTGGACAGGGCCACTACACTGGAACCCTCTCACTCCACATGCTCCCCTAGTGAAGGGCACCTCTGGCAGCGTGCCATGGGCCAGCGTGGTCACCCTGCTACTGTGGGAGGGAAGACACGTGTGTCGTGTGTTTCCCCTCTCAGGGTACCATTTGGTCATTTTGATGGTCTGACTGAGAGACTCGGGGTGGGGGGGCAGGGACAGAGAGAGGTGAGGAGACTGGGGGTCACCACATTCTTGGCTGTGGGAAGGCTGCACGGCACACAGGTTTCAGAGCGACCCCCGGGCAGTTCCGTGCGCACCCATGCAGGGAGCTGCCATTGATTCCTTTTCTTCCTGCGTTTTTGCTGCAAGTGACCAAGAAGCACCTAGGACTTTCCCGAGAGGAACGTGGCAAAGGGAGGGCACCTTTTTGTTGTTGTTGTTTTTTCTTTTTGGGTCACACCTGACAATGCACAGGGTTACTCCTGGCTCTGAACTCAGAAATTACTCCTGGTGGTGCTTGGGGGACCATATGGGATGCTGAGAATCGAACCCTGGTCAGCCGCATGCAAGGCAAACAACCTACCCGCTGTACTATCGCTCTAGCCCCAGAGAGGGTGCCTCTGGGGCCGGGTTGCAAGGCTCATGCCAGGGAGAAGCATTCTCCGGCCATCCACACCTGTGGCCTGGCTCTGCCTGCCAGGCGTCGGACGTCGACCTTGTATAGCTACAGACCAGCACCTGCCCACAATGCCATTCAGGGACCGGGCAGTTGTGACTGGGGTGTTGGTTAGACCAGTGGCTTCCGGCCTTTCTGTGCCCCCACACCAACCTCAATCCTGAGGGATGGTTGAAGACCACAGCCCGCGAGCCCCAGCCGCAGGGCACGGCCCTATACCAACCTCGGATGCTGAGGGCAGCCCCCTCTCCCCGCAACTCCCTGGCACCCACACCAGCTTCAGGACACCTGTCTATTTATATCCTCCTAAGAATTGTGGCTCTCTGAGAGCCATCTGATTTAAGACGACAATGCATCATTCACCATGAAGTGCGCTGCCAGGGCTGAGAAATGGGCTCCTTCGCCCGCCCCGAAGCACAGTGATGGATGCCGTGTCCGGGACAGAGGCCGCCATGGCCCACCACCCGCTCCCTCTCCTCCGTGTCATCTGCCTCTGCCTGGCGTCTGCCTCTCTGTCCCTGCTTCAGAGCAGCTTTGTGTCCCGAAGGAATTATGCAGCCAACGCGCCACTTCACCAGCGAAGGCGGGGGCAGGGAGGGGGCAGGGGGACCCTTGGACGCCGCAGTGAGTCTAAAAGAGGCAGATCTTCCCTGACCGTCCACTCTCCTGCGTGCTTCTGTCTCTTCTGCAAACCCCCCCCCCCGCCACCCCCAAAACCTTGGCGGTGTTTTCTGAAAAGAATCCTTCCTTCCCCATCCCCCACACCCTACAGAGAAACTCCTAGAGGGCAGGCTGGGAGGAGTTCGAGGCTAGAAGATGGATGACAGAGGCCCGGCTGTAACCTGGCCAACGCTCCTTTCTGACCCCGGTTGCACGCACGCACGGAGCCCCTTGCCCGAACTGTGTGAACTGTTTCTCGGGCAAAAGCAGTTGCAGATGGAAACAGTTCAAGAAGCGCTTATTTCAGATGTGCTTATCTACGGTTCCCTTGCCTCCTCCCCTCCCCAGGCCAGCCCTCACCTGCTCTGGATTTCCGGAGATCCCCCTGTGTGTGCCATAGCACAGACAGGGAGTCCCGGCGGGCCACCTTCCCGGAGGGAGATGCCCTCGGTCAGGGCTCATCCATGCGGGGGTCTTTGCTTTCACTGCTGGACACACCTCGTTTCCCCTCACCCACCACCGTCTCCCCCTGGACGTTCTCTTTTCTCCTTGGGTCCCAGCGTTGGGGGTGTCACTGTGGAGGCTGTGTGGAGATGTGTGTTTCTGTTCCCTGGTGTTGTCCATTGATGGTTGTGTGAGGACAAGTGTTTCTGTTCTCTCGTATGCCCACCAATGGCTGTGTGGAGATGTGTGTTTCTGTTCCTTCGTGGTGCCCGCTGATGAGGTTTGAGAATGGGGGTGCCCACTCAGAGCTCATGTGCCTTTGTGTGGAGACCGCATCAGGCTCTGGGGAAGTCTCAGATAGTGGGTGCCCCCCTCAGCCCCGGGAACAGGCTGCAGCATTCCTGTGAGCTTCTCTTCACTGTATTTGGTTTTGACTTGGGCCTGTGTTGCCCTTGTGGTCAGGAACATGCTGTAAAGCCGACGATACTGGGGAGGAGGAAAGGTCCCCCGGCCCCCACTGGGGCGTCCTGAGCAGTGTTGCTGGAGTACGAGGACACAGGGCCTCTGGTTTCTACACTAGACAAACAGGCCTGGGGCAGGCAGTGCCATGTGCACCAGCCCTGCAGAGCACCAGCATCTGTGCAGGCGTGTCCTCGCATCAGCACCCGCCAAGCCGCGTCTCCTCTCAGCCACATGCTGCGGTTCTCAGAGGGCACCAGAGACGGGGGTGGGAGAGGCACAGGCCACCCCAGGATGAGGCAGGGAAGGCTAGGCACTAGAGCAGGAGAGCACTGGGGCCCTCCGTGACCAGCCGGCTCCCCACAGGTGGACCTACCATGACTTCTTCAACCGCTACCGGGTGCTGGTGAGGAAGAAAGACCTGGCCAACACGGACAAGAAGGCCGTCTGCAGGTCGGTCCTGGAGAGCCTCCTCAAGGTGAGTGGGGCATGCACACACGCTCATGTGCCCACACATCACACATGCACACACACTCACGTGTGCACTCACAGTCACTCCAACACATGGACTCACAGTCACATTCACATATGCTCGTACAGTCACACATGCACTCACACACACCCTCACTCCACACTCACACATACATGCACTCATACACACAGACTCACCCACACATACATGCTCTCACACATACGCATGCGCTTAGACTCACAAACACTATGCACTTACAGTCACACGATCGCACACACACACACACACACATTCACACACACCCTCACTGACATACACACATATGCATTCTCACACTCACACACATGCACTCACAGTAACACAATCACACACACAGGCACAAACTTTACTCACCCAACATTCACACATACATGCTCTCACACTCATACACACATGCACTCATCCTCACGCACTCACACTCATATACACCCACACACTCACTCCACTCCCCCACACACGCCCTGGAAATTGGGGAGGGGCTCTGAACCGCCCTTTGGAAGCCCTGTTGCTTCTCCTGGGAGCCCTTTCAGAAATGCCCATCTGTTGGACTGCATCGGCACCTTTGAGTAAATCTCCTTTCCGTATGGAGAGCAGCAGCATCTCCACACGTCAGCGTGTGAGGAAGGCGAGATCCTTTGCACAACCCCTGGTGGGAGGCAGCTGGTTGAGGGCTGCCACCCTGGTACTGCTGACCGCCCCCTGCCTCTGCCTCTGACCTGGGACCCAGTGGGGAAGGGGCCAGTGCCTACCGGCCACACACAGTCCCTGATGCTGTAGTTTTCCTCAGAGCAATGTGAGCTCACACCAGCACCCCAGACTGGAGAGCCCTAAGGACGGGCCCTGGTGGGGTGGGGACCAGCTCCAGGCCCACAGAGGTTGTGGGGTGGGGCCTGTCCCCAGAATCCACTGTGAGGGAAATCTTGCCTGGTAGACACACAACATTGGCCCCAAAGCTGCCACCTGCCAGGAAAAGTCGTTCCTCTGGAGGGTTACCAGAGGATGAGGACTTGAGTGGGCTGTGGCTGGGCCATGGACGCAGCTGCCCAGGGAGCACTTGGCCTTTCTGCTGTCTGGCTCGGTGGCCATTCGGCCTGATGCTCACGGGACACCCACCACCCTCTCCCCTTGCGAAGGATCCCGACAAGTTCCAGTTCGGCCGCACCAAGATCTTCTTCCGGGCAGGCCAGGTGGCCCACCTGGAGAAGCTGCGGGCCAACAGGTTCCGGACGGCCACCATCATGATCCAGAAGACCGTGCGGGGCTGGCTGCAGAGGGTGCGGTACCGCCGGCTGCGGGGGGCCACCTTGACGCTGCAGCGCTACTGCCGGGGGCACATGGCTCGCAGGTGAGCCAAGCCGAGACATGGTTGGTGGGCGGGCAGGACCCTCGGCCCTGCCCTGAGGGGCCCCTGCTGGGCTCTGGCTACACCCATGTACCCCAGCGCCTGGGCCTCTTTGACCCCGTCTACCTAAGGGGGGGTCCCCTGTACTCCGCCACCCCAGCCTGGTGCAGAGAGAGGGGTGGCCTGGCTGAGAGTGGGCGGGGCTTTGTGGACAAGTGGGCGGGGCATGGGTGTGGGGCGGGGCTTGGCTGAGGGGGCGGGGCTTCGTAGGGAAGGGGTTATGAAGAGTAGGAAGGGTGTGGGCAGCTGCATGGAGAGAGGGCAGGTCTTTGTGGATTGGTGGGTGGGGCCTGGGTGGGGTAGGTGGGGTCTTGGCGAGTGGGCGGGGGTTGTGGATTAGTGGATGGGGCCTGTGGGTGGGCGGGGCTTTTGCAAGTGGGAGGGGTCTGACAGGTGGGCGGGGCGGGTGTGGCCAGCAGAATGGAGCTTGTGTTCCTGAGGGTCTCAGAGTGCCCTGTGACCCTGCTGTCCCCCTGCAGGCTGGCTGAGCATCTGCGCAGGACCCGGGCGGCCGTGGTGCTCCAGAAGCAGTACCGCATGCACAGGGCCCGCCAGTCCTACCGACGTGTGCGTGACGCCATTGTGGTCATCCAGGCCTTCACCCGGGGCATGTTCGTGAGAAGAACCTACCTCCAGGTGCGTGGTCTCCTACCAAAGGGGCACGAGGTCGAAGCCTCAGAGCTCACTACTGCAGATGATCGTCATCCACACATCCTGGGTTGGGCACCCGACTTCCAAGAAATCTCACTTCTACTCTCGCCAACTCCTTCCCAAAGACCCACAGGGCATGTCCTAGTCAGGGCTCTTGAAGCAGCAGAAGCAGCAGGGGACATGCATGTACAGTGTGTGTGTAGGCGTGACCATGTAGAGTCTTCTCATTTAGGGGCCGAGCAGCAGTACAGCAGCCAGTGTGTTGGTTTTGCATGCAGCTGAGTGGTGGTTAAACTCTGACACTGGCGTGTACCACCAGTAGCTCATATTGTACCGCCAAAGGTGTACCCTAGTGCATTAAATTGTTTTGATACAGGGGCCAGAGAAATAGTACAGCAGGTGGGGTATTTGCCTTGCACACAGCCAACCCAGGTTCAGTCCCCAGCATTCCATATGTTCCCCCAAGTACCACCAGGAGTAATTCCTGAATGCAGAGCCAGCAGTAATACCCCTGAGTACTGCCGGGTGTGACCCAAAAAAGCAAAAAAATAATAAAAATAAAATGGTTTGGTAAACAAAAATTAGTGCCATATAATTGAAAACAATTATTTATTGAGACATTTACTCAAAATTTCGATTTAAAGCTTTGATTAGAAAAATAGTAGGATATATCCACGCACCCACCAGAAGGTGAGACACTCAGTTGTGGTTCAGGTGTGGTGCTCCCATCCCTGAGCTGCCGTGGGTGCCCAGGGAGAATCTTCCTTCCCCTCTGCTCCCTGTCCCTGGGACACCTCAAACCTTGTCCCGAGTATCTCAGCCGGAATGTGGAGGCCTCTCCAACATGAAGGTTTTCACACTGTGATTTCCTAACCAGTGAAGCAAATGTTAAAAAAAAAAAAAAACTTGGGGACAGGGGACCTGCCTATGAGGAGGCTCCTGCAGAGCCCAGCTAGAGCAGGGCCACAGCGCCAGCTCCCACCTCTGCTCCTCTGCCCGCTCTCCTGATGCCCGTCCAGCCCTGGGCCGGCTCCGGGGCTGCCCACATGCCCACCCACCAGTGCTTGTCCCCACAGGTCCTCACGGAGCACAAGGCCACCGTCATCCAGAAGCACGTGCGTGGCTGGATGGCACGCAAGCGCTTCCAGCAGCTCCGGGATGCCGCCGTGCTGATCCAGTGCGCCTTCCGGATGCTCAAGGCCAGGCGGGCTCTGAAGGCCCTCAAGATCGAGGCCCGCTCGGCCGAGCACCTGAAACGCCTCAACGTGGGCATGGAGAACAAGGTGGTCCAGCTGCAGCGCAAGATCGATGACCAGGTTAGTGCTGGGTGCGGCTGGCCTGGGTGTATCGGGGAGAGACAGCTTCATGCCTTTGGGGACCTGCGTGTGCCTGGCTGCATGGGCACTTTGCAGAGGTGAAGCAAAAGGGGCTGAGCTGGGGTATTTGGGCGACTCGAGCGTATTCCACCTGAACCAGGAGGTTCCAAGGAGCAGCCCCAGGCTCTGGCAGTGGGAGGTTGCGGGGAGGAGCATGGCCGGCAGAGATGGAGGGAAGAATCAGGTGGACTCTTCCCGCCGAGCTTCCAGAAGGAGCTGGGTCCTGCCGGCCCTTCTGAAACTCAGCTGAACCCTAATCGGGACACAAAACAGCCCACCCGGGGCAGAGTGGGAGTGCTGGGTGCTTGCCATGGTCAGTCCTGGGGAGCCGGCCTCGGCCAGCCTGTGATGAGATGTGGGTCCTAGAGGTGGGGAGGAGGGCTGCTCCCTGGAGCTGGGCATCGCGGTGCCCAGTGGAGAGCGTCACAGGGGGCACTGCCACTGGCCATTGGGCTCCTGGGCAGAGGAGAAGCCCAGGGACCAGCAGACTGTGGGCACGTCTGCCCCCTCCCGGGAACTGTAAGTCCTGGCTGGGGTTGCTCATTCCCAAAGCTGATCTGAGAAGTTAAAAATAAATCGCCGTTTTATAATCCATGTGCTTGAACAGCCAAAGAGAAGCGGGCTTAAATGGCCTATTTTTGAAAAACGCTGTTTCGCTTGAAGCTTCCTGCCTGGCAAATGTCTGTGAGAGGTGGCAGGTGCCAGCCACCCTGGCCGGTGCCCTGGCTGCCGAGGACGACCAGAAGGGGGTAGGGCTGGGGGGGACACAATTAGGGCTGGCTTCCTGGCATCGCTTTCCAGGTTGCCTGGTGCTGTGTGCCAGGCACTCCCTCAGGGAATCCTTGCTGCATGCGTATGAGATAATATTATTCCTGTTTTGCACGGGGACACAGAGAGGGGTTCTAGCCTGCCCAAGGTCACACAGCAAGGAGACCAGCTGAAACTTGAGCCTGGCTCCAGGGTCTTCCTGCCACCTCGAACTCAATTGTCTGCCCACGAGGGGAGCATGAGAATCCCTCCATCCAAAGAAAGTCTTACCTCTTTGGGGGTGCCCTGCTGGCAGGGATGTGGAGCCCCGAGTCACTGAATGGCCTCAGCAGCTCCGTGTGCATAAGCTGCTAAATCAGCATAATCCCCGTCCCCACAGCTCTGGCTGGTGCTTGGTGCAGTGTCTGAGCAGACGGCCCCGTGGTTTAGAGGTCAGTGCTCCGCTCCACTAACCCACGGTGTTCTGCAGCCAGAGGTGAGGGAGACACATGTGCCCGGGCCGCTGGACACTGCTGGTCTCGGTGAACTCGCCGTCACGGGCACTTATTGGCTCAGCTACACTCATAATCATGGCATCTTGCATGCGCCCAACCCCAGTTCAACCCCTGTCATCACTGGGGTCCCCTGAGCACCACCAGGAGTGATCCCTGAGCACAGGCAGATGTGGCCGCAGTAACAAACATCAGAAACCTGGAGCGAGAAGTCAGCAGAGGGGAGATTGAGGATGGGACCTGATGAGGGTGGTGGGCAAAGTTCACCTCAGACGTTGCACACCCAGCCGGGGGATGAGAAACAGGATCACTTCTGAGCCCAAGGCCTCCGGGGGTCCCAGATAGGGGCGGAGGGCAGTGGGGCTGGGAAGACGCTGTCCCTGGTGCTGGGCTGTTCCCGTGCCTTTGGCTGGCGCTGGCCCTGGTTCTGATCCGCTCCTGACTCTAGTGGGCCTCATCTTCCAGTGTCCCTCAGCAGTAAACACAGTGGCTGTGGTTCCCCGGGACCCCCAGAGCAGGCCTGAGAGGTGACATTTTTTCAGTCAGAACCTGTGCGTGTGTCCGACCCGGCCAGCTGTACTCAAGGTCATCACGTCAGAGCTGAGGTCGGCCGAACTCGCACTCCTTTGGTGGTAAGGGTGAAGGTGCTTAGGCCTCTCCAGGCACGAGGTTAGGCCTAACTCTGTCTCGTCTGGGAAAATATGGCACCATCATCCAAACTCGGTCAGCAGTGTGTTCAAGGCTCCTGGGTCCTGGCCACCTTGTGGGTGCTCTATCACTGCACGCATGTTTTGTGACTCGTGGGAGTGCATACAGATGTGGGGAGAGCACTGTTCATGTCTCCTGCACCTGACTCCTCTCTGCTGTGAGGCTGATTCCAGGCTGCCTCAGCTTCTGGGCGGTTCAGCCAATAACTGTATTTAACCTGGGGCTCCTGCAGAGACAGCGATGGCCAATCACCGGTCATGGTTTGCTGCAGGCTTGATTATTCAGGACCTGCACCTGCTCCCCACCCCTCCCCCCCACAGTCCCTTGCTGCTTTGCTGATACTCCTTGGAGCACTGATACACACGCAGACACACGTGTGCACTTATGTACACATTGCACACACACGTGTACATGCACACACCTGTGAAGTCAGCCACTAGTCTCGGCCCTGTCCCTGCGGTACCTGTGCCTGGCGTGCAGGGCTGGGCTCTCCCTTACCTATCACCTGTGCGGGCGTGGGACTGTGCCCCCTCTGTGGATTGAGGGGCCCAGAGGCCAAAGTCAGTTCTGCCAGGTAAGCTGGCAGGCGTTGTGGAGGGTCCCAGGGCCCATGGCAGGGCCCCCTTGGAAATGTTGAAGCTCAACTAGGTTGCAGCTCTCTGCCTGCGAGTCCGGGAGGGGGGGGGTCCCTGGAAAGAGCAGGAACAGCTGCTGGCAAAGGCAGCAGAGTGGGGAGCCGGCCTGAGTGTGGGGGTGCCACCCCGCGCCCGTCTCTCTCCAGCGTGGGCTGTCTTGGAGCTGTGGGGAAAGCACGTGTGCAGATAGGCATGCACTGACCACAAGCATCGGTCCCACAGACCTCCTCACCCCTGCGTCCCCGCCACCCACCTAACTAACCCCCGCTCTCTGCATCTCTCCCCTGCCCGCTCGGCCGGTGCCCTCCTAGAACAAGGAGTTCAAGACGCTGTCGGAGCAGCTGTCAGCGGCCACGTCCACGCACTCCATGGAGGTGGCCAGGCTGAAGAAGGAGCTGGCCCAGTACCAGCGTAGCCGCGAGGAGGACAGCAGCCCCCGGCTGCAGAGCGAGCTGGAGAGCCTGCGGGACGAGCTGCGGAGAGCGCAGGACGAGCGCACGGTCCTGGAGGACGAGCACGCCAGGGAGAAGAGCGAGCTGAGAAAGGTAGGAGGGGGGTTGGGACGGGGGCAGGGGGGAGGGCAGGTAGGAGGGGCGGGGGGCTGGGACTGGGGGCGGGTAGGAGGGGCCAAGGATGGAGGGCGAGGCCCACAGTGATGGACAGGCCAGCAGCATAGCCCCTGTGCACCAATTCCCTCCAACAGTGCAGTTGCCACAGGCTTCATTGGGACTTACACATCCCTCAGGGTGCCTCATTGACAGATGCACATTACAGCGGCCCACTTTAGTGTCTGGCTTCTTAAACTAGGGGGAGGCGAACCGGGGAGGTTGAGGCACCGTCTTACCTGAGTTGCTGGTGACTGAACGTGGGGAAGGTTTCCAAACATGCAACGGCCACTGTCACTGTCACTGTCCTCCCGTTGTTCATCGATTTGCTCGAGCGGGCCCAGTAGCGTCTCCAGTGTGAGACTTGTTGTTACTGTGTTTGGTATATCGAATACGTCATGGGGAGCTTGCCAGGCTTTGCCGTGAGGGCGAGATACGACCAGAAATTAAAAAAAAAATTCAAATTTGAGAGTCATAAACCCGAGGCATTTCTGGCAACGCCAACCCATGCTGCAAAAGGAGCATCCAGGGGAACTGCTTACAGAGCCCTGCTCTGGGCGTGCCCCACCCCCCGCCCCAAGAGGCACACTTGGTGGACTCCCTGGTCCACCTTGTCCATCCCACAAGGACTCACCTTTGGCTGAGCTCGCAAGCCTCGTGTCCAGCCTATGTCCGCTGCCCGGCACTCTGGGTGAGAGGACATACCAGGCAGCTGCCTTTCCTCCCTGGCCTCTCGGGAAGCACCGACCACGTCTCTGCCCAGCTCCCTGCTACCTCGGCCTGTGCGGGCAGGGCTGGGCGCTCCTCGAAGCCATGGCAGCCTCTGGCCTCCCCCATGCCAAGCAGCCAGACGGAGGAGTGTCTCTTCCCAGGCTGGTGTGGCGGGAAGGGATTTGCTCGTCCTGGCACTGGGTCTGGGAACACTCAGGGACCCCACTCAGGAAGAGAATGTCTGGGGGTGCCCAGGGGCACCCCTGCCTCAAGGGCCACAAGGGGCAGCCTCTCTGGGGGCCAGCAAGTCCTCTCTGGGTCTAGGAACTGTGGGGCCCCCAGCACATTGTGGAGCCGATGGCCTTCTGTGGCGGGCACCCCTCAAGTGGTCTGGCCCAGCCAACATGCCCCCTCAGCCTTGTGCCCTGGAGCAGGGCCTGCGAGCACTTGGGTCCCCCCGGGAAGCTGTCCCACTACAGGTTGGCCACTTTGAGCTCCCGGCAACAGGGCCTAGAGGCCACCCAGGACCCAGAGATGACGGTTCTGTGTGCAGAACCAGCCCCTGGAGGGTGGTGGGCAGCCCCAGGCCAGTGGTTTGGGTATCTTCCCCCGATGGTGAGGGTGACAGGGCAGAGCAGGACTGACGTGTGCTGAGACTCACTGAGGATGGATGTGCGACTGTCCTCCAGGGAGCGGGAGGGCCGGGCGTCGAGCATGTCCCTCTCATGTGAAGGCCCTGGGCTCCTCCCCCGCACCTCACAGCCCAGGAGCCTGTGGACAGCCGCCACAGTGCCGAGGCGGAGACCTTGGGCTGGATGCAAGCCTACCTTCCTCACTGTTCTGAGCTCCTGCACCCCTGCCCTGAGCCTCCTTCACTTCACACCCCCCAGCTCCCTGGCACCTGCTCCTCCTTCGTGTCCCCCTGGGACCGCCTAAGAGAGGGGAGCGTGGGGCGTCCCTCCTCTTCCGGGAGCTGGGAAGCACTTGCGGGGGAAATAACAGAAGCGTGTTTGGATCGGCCAGAGTGGGGAGCCACATGGGTCTCCACCCTTCCACCCAGTGCAGGGTGGGGGCCAATGGTGCAGCTCACCCTGGCTCTGGGCAGCACAGGGCATGGGTGTGGGGGAGGTGGGTCTACAGGGGGCTCACGGGGGGTTCTGGGGCTTCCAGAAAATACAATGGGGGTCTGTTGCACTTGCTCCTATTGGAGAATAGACCCATTTCCCATCCTCCTGCAGGGCAGCTAGTCCTCTGCAATTCTCTTAACCAAGTCTGAATCATTCCTTTTTAAAATTCTGTGCAAATGTGTTCAATACTAAACAGCAAAAGAAAAAATACATATCATTTGATGCTCAGGGGTCACTCCCGGCAGGGCTGGGGGAACCCTCTGGGGTGCCATGCAGAACAAACATGCCCTACCTGCTCCAGCCCCAGATCATCATTATTTTGAAATAAATGCCCATCTTGCTCTGTTAAAATTCTTCTTTGACCAGACCTTCTTCCCCAGTTTCTATTTCCTTTCCTCTCTTCTTGTTCTTACCTTGTCTCTTGGACCCGCCCTGCCTATCCCCCACCCCCCACCCCATTTCCTTTTGTGTAAGGTGGGGAGCCAACCCTGCAGTGGTCAGTCTGTGTCCATTCAGATACATGTCCTGCCCGGGGCTGCCCCTGGGTGGCCTCAGCCATGAAGCTCCCAGTTGGCGGGGTTGGGAGCGAGGGGTGAGAGTTTTGGGGGGGAACGTGCCCTGGGGCGCCCGGTCCCCTCAGTCTCGCCTGCCAGGGGGAGTTTCCTTTCCACCCACACTGTCCCCCTGAACATGACGGTAACTTGGGCCCATTCCATCTTGGATGCAAAGACTACGTGTGCATCACAGGAAGGGGGGTCCAGGCCTCGTGGGGAATCTCAAGGGGAGCCTCAGGCCCCCGGCAGAGACCCGTGTCTCTGCTCTCCCAGCGCGTGGCCGAGCTGGAGCAGGAGAACGCGCTCCTCAAGGACGAGAAGGAGCAGCTCAACCTCCAGATCCGGAACCAGTCCACAGGTGAGCCCCGGCCCCCCATGCCCCTCCTGCACCACGCTGAGTGGAGTGACCCTCTGGTCGGGCCGAGCTGCTGGGCCCCCCGGGCGTTGAGGGGCCTCACTCAGACTCACCGGCCCCACTGGAGGGGCAGGGCCGGGCACTGGACTTGGAGTCGGGGCCGTGGGGAGCTTGGACTCAGGATCCCCAACCACCCGTCAGCCTCCCCCCACCTCTGATTCTTCATCCATCCTGCAAACAGGCAGGGCGCCCCTCCCCCTCCGGGCAGCAGTGAGGGCTCCGGCACCCCCGGGAGCACCTGGTGGGGCACTTCGGGTCAGTGGCCATGGCTGTGTGTGGCCGCCCAGGTCCCTGAGGGCCACCCCGCCCCTGTGAGGTGTTGCTGAAGGGGGTCTCTGGGGTCAGCTCCCCGCCCCTGTCTCTCGAGCAACCCCCACACCCCAGTTCTTCTCACCTGTCTGCCTGTGGCCTTTGCACACCCACCCTCTCCCCATTTCTTGATCCCTTTGTCCACCAGCATGAGGGCTGGGCTTTGGGTGGGGGGGCCCAAACCTGGCCCCTTGCAAGGCCCTTTCATGTTGCTCTGCGCCCGGTGAGGCTCCCACATGGAGGTGGGAAAGGCGCTTCGTGCCCTGACCAGCCTGGCTGTCCCCACTCGGGTCTCCCTCCATCTCCCCACCCTCCCACCCCGCCCCCCCCCCCGAGAGATGCCAGCTGGTACGGGGGAGGCAGTGGCACAGACCGGACGCTCCCGTGGCAAGGTGGACATGGACCTGTCACCCTGTGGGCCCCAGAGAGCGGTTCGGCTCTGTGTCCCCCACCCATACCCCACGGGAGCCCGAGCCCACCAGGCCTGGCCCAGCACCCCGCTCTGCACCTGCCCCCCTAGACCAGTCTGCCCGGAACTCGGCCCAGGGGGAGGCCCTGGCGGCCAAGGAGCTGGAGGAGGAGCGAGCCCGCTACCAGAACCTCGTGAAGGAGTACTCGCGGCTCGAGCAGAGATACGACACCTTGCGGGATGAGATGACCATCATCAAGGCAAGGAGCGACCACCGCCCCTCCCCCCGCCCCCTGGGCTCTCCCACCTCAGGTGGCCAGACCCGCTGCCCCCCTGTCCCTTCATCGTCCTGGTGGGAAGTTGCTGGGTGCTGATTCATTCTCAGCAGCGCGTCTCCCTCCCGAGGCCTTATAAGGGGGCTGGGGAGTTAACGGGAGATGTGGCCCAAGCATACGCCTTCCCTCTTGTTTCCCCTCTGGGAAAGGCCCGGGTTGAAATGAGACAGGCGTGTGGGAGTTCGAATCCCGGCTTTAATGGTAGAGTTTGCAGCAGAAGGGGACCCTGAGGGGTGGGGGTGAGAGGGGGCGGGTATTGTGGGTGTGAGGGGGCCTGGCCCGTTCTCCTGATCGTGGATCAAAGGTGGTACACATAGGAAGCACCTTTTGTACCCCAACTCAGCAAGTCCCTCCAGAAATTCATATTCAGACAGGCCTCAGTAAGTTCGCTGCAGAGAAACCAGGAAGAGAGGGCTGAATTAGAACAGAGGTGGAAATCGAAAAATTTCTTCCCAGATTCAGTTTTCAGTCTCAGAGCCAAATTAGATGCAAAGAGAGAGGGGGGAGGTAATTTGGGGAGTGTCACCCCAGTGGTGCTCAGGGGTTATTCCTGGCTCGGCACTCAGGAATTACTCCTCGTGGGCTCTGGGAGCCACAAGGGATGACGGGGATCGAACCCAGGTCAGCTGCGTGCCCGGCAGGCGCCCTCCCCACTGGACGGTCACTCCAGGAGGAGAAGGTATTTTTAAATGAACAGTGTAAACATAGGCTCCCGAACTAGCCTGGGCTGATGCCCCCTTTTCAGAAGAAGACATCTCGCATCGCCCTGAACTCTGCTTTTAGTGAACAGAAAGTGTCTCCCCCTCAGGGGCAGTTTCACACTCTTGGGGCCAGATGTGTGTGCGTGGGGGCCCATTTCCCATATGCTTAGCATTTCCATAAACGTCTGTGGTGTGCGCACTGGGCTATGGGGCTCAGGGAGACAGAACGTTCTTTTCCGGCAGGAGGCTGCCCCAGGGCTGCCTCTGCGGGGCTGGGGTCAGGACCCTCCCTCCATGGTAAGAGCCTCCCTCCAGGGCCTGACTCTCCAAGGAGAAGGCTGAAGCAAGCTCACCCCGCCTTGGAGTTCTGCCCTCTTCCCCCTGCTGCTAGAGAGATTGTCCGTGGCAGTGGCTCGGGCTAGCCCTCACTCCTCCACAGAATGGCTCTTGTGTGGGAGATGACACCGCAGTCCAGCACTAGGGCTGCTGACCCTTGAGAGGGAGTCGTTCTGACACGCAGATATTCCTGACGTTTTCCATTTCCCCCTCTACAGCAAACCCCAGGCCATCGGCGGAACCCATCCAACCAAAGTAGCTTAGAATCGGACTCCAATAACCCGTCCATCTCCACGTCTGAGGTTGGAGACACAGAGGACACCCTCCAGCAGGTGGAGGTGAGGACGCCAGGCGCGTGGCAAGGGTGCTGGCTCCCCGCCAAGGCTAACCCACTTGTTGGGGGTGGAGAGTGGAGCATACCAAGCCCGTTCTTGACAGCAGGACTCAGGAACTGTGTGTTTGTATGGACTGCATTTTCCCATGGGCTCCGGATCATATGGACTGCTTGTTTGTGTGAACTGTTTCCCATGGACTGTGTGTGCACATGGACCAGGGGATCATGTGGACTGTGTATTCATACAGCCCACAGGATCACGTGGACTGTGTGTTCACTTGAACCACAAGATCACGTGGACTGTGTTCATTTGAACCACAGGATCATGTGGACTGTGTATTCACTTGAACCACAATATCATGTGGACTGTGTGTTCATTTGGACAATAGTATCACATGGACTGTGTGTTCACTTGGACCATAGGATCTCATGGACTATGTGTTCACATGGACTGCATGTTTACGTGGGCTACAGCCTCACATGCACAGTATTCACACGAACTGCATGTTCACATGGATGTCAGGACTACCTGTACTTTGTGTTTACTTGGACCACAGGATGACGTGGACTGGATGTTCATATGGCCCACGGGATCACATGGACTGTGTGTTCACGTGGCCCATGGGATCACCTGGACTGTGTGTTTACTCACACCACAGGATCACATGGTCTGTGTTTATATGGATTGCGTGTTCACATGGAACATGGGATCATGTGGACTCTGTTTATGTGGACCAAGGATCACATGCACTGTGTTTCCATGGGCTGCATGTTCACTTGGACCACAAGATCACGTGGATTGTGTGATCACTTGGACCACAGTGTCACATGAGCTGTGTGTTCACTTGGACTGTTTATTTACATGGTGTGAGGTAAAGTCAGCCTAACCCACGACCTTTAAGATAAGAAATGATTGGTGGTGGAAAGACAGAGAGAAAAAGGAAGCAGAAAAAATGAAAAGTGAGCAGAGGCTGGTGCCAGCTGGCATCTGTGCTGTAGACAGGGAGAGGAGCAGACCCCGAGGGACAGAGCTGCCTGGGTGTCCCGAATGCGACCGATGCTCTGACATGCACTGTCCTCCGCAGGAAGCCGGCCTGGAGAAGGCCGCCATGGACCTGACCGTCTTCCTGAAGCTGCAGAAGAGGGTGCGGGAGCTGGAGCAGGAGCGGAGGAAGCTGCAGGCACAGCTGGAGAAGCGCGAGCAGGACAGCCAGCAGGGCCAGGTGCGGGCGGCCAGGCTGGGTCAGGGTGGGCTCCGTGGGACAGCCCCCTTGGGCTCCAAGGGACAGCTCCCCGGGGCTCGCTCCACAGGGCCCATCCCCGCGCTGTGCAGAGCAGGGCTGCCCCCCTGATGTGGCAAAGGGTCTGCACTGGGGTTGAGCAGGGGCTGGCGTGAGAGTGAAATCTCAGTGGGCAGGCTGGAGCCATAGCACAGCACAGTGGGTGGGGCGTTTACCTTGCAAGTGGTCAACCCAGGTTCAGTTCCCAGCATCCCATATGGCTCCCCGAGCACCGCCAGGAGTAACTCCTGAGTGCAGAGCCAGGAGTAACCCCTGAGCATCACCAGGTGTGACCCAAAAAGGAAAAAAAAAGAAAATAAATCTCAGTGGACAGCGGGCAGCAAGAGGGAGCTGGGCCGCCCTTGAAATAGTTTGGCTTGGTTTGGGGGCCACACCCGGCAGTGCTCGGGGGCTCCTCCTGGCTCTGCCCTCAGGGGAACAAATGGGGTGGCACGGGTCAGCTGCGTGCAAGGCAAGCTCCCAAGGGCCACTCTTCCCAAACCTGGATCTGGCCTGAATCGAGTCTCTGCTTTGCCCCCTGGGGTGACTCAGTCCCTGCCCCCCCAATGTGTCTGTGCCCCTGAGTCTGGGAAGGACCCTGTGGATGTCCCGGACACATCGCCTCATCTCAGGGACCCAGTGAGCACCTCTGCTCCATGACCCCTGTGGGTGCCAGGGTTTGTAGGGACACCGTGTTCATCCCAAGAGCTCTGCTGGGGACAGTGAGTGCCTGGAGGGGACAAGCCCTCAGGGATGCAGCCCGGGCAGGTGCCCCCATGGTGCGGGAGGTGCACGGGCCCCTCCGACAGAAGCCAGACTGCTCAGGACACAGGCCAGAGCGTGGATCCTGTCTGGGCCCTGAGCTGCCCCATGCAGGGCGTGTTTCCTCTCTGTGTCCCCGGCCCTCCCCGGCCCCTTTCTCTGCCTGCCTCACCCCTGGATCACACTGACCAAGCTGTTTCCACTGAGAAGTGCCGTTTGCAGGGACTGGAGTTTGGGGCTGGCGTGTATCTCTCTTTGGAGCATCGGCCCCAGGGACACGCACTCCAACCCCTACATACGTGTGGATACTGGTGGGACCCGTATGACTGGCAGTGTGCAGGGCTGAGGCAGGCAGGGTCAGTGATGATTACTGTGTGGACCCGGAGCTGCAGGCTGCAATGGAAGGTGGCGCAGCCTTCTGGACGGTGTGGGGGTGTCTCTGCTCAGGGGTGTGGGTCTTTGGTCAGGGGTGTACGTGTGTGCATGTGTGTATGTGTATGTGTGCATATGTGTCTGGTCAGGTGTGCGTTCATGCATGCGTGTATGTGTGCATATTTGTGTGTCTCTGGTCATGTGTATGTATGTGGGGTGTGTGTTTCTGGTCAGGTGTGTATGTGTGTGTCGGCATGTGTGTATGTGTGTTGGTGTGTCACCGGTCAGGAATGGGTATGTGAGGTATATGTGTATGTGGTGTCTCTGACCAGGGGTGTGTGGGTGTGTCTTTGGTCCAGTGTGTGTATGTGTGTCTGTGTGTGTGTGTGTGTGTATGTGGGGTATGTATCTCTGGTCAGGAGTGTGTGTGAGGTGTGTGTATTTCTGGTCAGGTGTGTGTATGTGCGATGTATGTGTGTATGTGGGGTGTGTCTCTCTGGTCAGGAGTGTGGGGTTTGTGTGTCTCTGGTCAGGTGTGTGCATGGTGGGTGTATGTGTGTATGTGGGGTGTCTCTGGTCAGGTGTGTGTGTGTGGAGGCGGTGCAGGCACAGGCTCCCTGCGGCCGTCTCAGAGCACTGTCTGTGGGGGTGGGTCCCGTAGCCCGGCTCACCTTCCCCTCTGTCTCCGCAGGTGGATCCAGCCAAGAACGAGGCGGACTTGGCCCAGGACGAGGATCTGGCCTACAACAGTCTGAAGGTGAGGCCGCAGGGCGGGCAGGGCGGCGGGGGGGAGGGGGGGTGCCTGCCTGCTCCTCGAGAGACGGGAGTCCCTGTTCCCCCCCCAGAGAGGCGGGTGCGGGCACAGCCGGGGTGCATGCGTGCTGCTGAAAGCTGTGCCCTCACTCAGCGCTGGGCACGAAGCCCACAGGTCTCCCCGCGCCCCGCCCCGGTTCCACGTCTGCACCCCAGCTGGGGCTCAACCCCCCACCTCACAGGCCAGACGCCTGAGCTGGTGCTCCGGGAGTTTCGGGGTCACCCTCTCTGGGGTCACCCTCAGCCACACGCGAGGGAGTTTCCCCTTTCGAGTCTACTCCGCTGTGAGAGCGGGTCCCGCCACGCAGGAAGCCCTTGGCTCGCTGCTAGTTCATCATGAAGGATGGGGCCAGGGCGAGGCGTGGTGGGCAGAGGCCAGGCTCCCGGGTGCCCCAGCCCAGTACCCAAGCCCCAGAGCACAGGGTGGATGGGAGCCTCCACCCACAGGCCTGACTGAGGAGTAAATCACTGGCCACCGGTCACCCAGCCGGTTCTTCTCGCCTCTGCAAGGGGGTCGGTCCTGCTTGCATCCAGAACCACGTGGTGCCCAGAGATGCCTCCCTTGTGCACTGGCCCCCAGGGCTGCCCCCGAGCAGGGCACCTTAGAACCGGCTCCCACCCTGGGCTTCCCCCGCTTGTGCCTCTGGGCCGTGGCTCACGGCCTGTTAGCAGACAGGACCCTCCCTGCGCTGGCCACCGCCCCTGAAATGCCTCAGGCTCCAGGGTGCCCAGCAACTGCCCCCAGTGCTCCCCTCCGGAGGGTGGCACGCTCCCTGACAGAGGACACTGGCCAGGTCACTCTTGAGGCAGCATACAAACCCTTCACTCCCTTGGACACTCCCCTGAGGCCTGGACTCCCTCATGACCACCCGCCAGGGCTGCCCCTGTTTCTGCAGAGTGGTCATCTCCTCACGTGCTTATGCACCATCCAGAAATAGACACAGGTCTGGAGGGAGGGACACTGGGTACCATCTCCCACCCCACCCCGGGGACTCCTGTCCAGTGACCGGGTCGGCATGCATGGCCTTTCTCCCTGCTGCCACGAAGCTCTGGGGGCCGGTTAGGGGAGGGACCAGGGTCTCCTTCTGAGAGCCAGGGACCGGGCCCTGGGCCCTGGGCCCGGGGGTAACGGGCACCACGCTTGGGCCCCCTCCCAGAGGCAAGAGCTGGAGTCGGAGAACAAGAAGCTGAAGAACGACCTGAATGAGCTGAGGAAAGCCGTGGCCGCCCACGCCGCCCAGGGCAGCCCCCCACCCGGCTCCCCCGACGGCTACAGCCTGCTGCTCAACCAGCTCAAGCTGGCGCACGAGGAGCTGGAGGTGCGCAAGGAGGAGGTGCTCATCCTGAGGACACAGATCGTCAGCGCCGACCAGCGCCGGCAATCCGGGAAGAACATGGTAAGGGCCCAGGCCAGCTCGGAGGCCTGTCCACGGGGGTCTGGCACCACAGGAGAGTCTTTGCCTCTCGTCTCTCGAAAGCAGAGCAGAGCAGTGGCTGCCCCCTCACTCAGCATGACCACGAAAGACTTGGCCAGAAGTTTCTAGAATCTTCCAAGGTTACGCCAGTGGGTTCTTGTCCAAAAGGAACAGGACCGAACAAGGGTCACGGCCTGCTGGGCCTCCCTTCACTTCCTTCTTCACCTCATGCTTTGCCCTGTTAGGTGCTGTTCCTGAGGTGGAGAAACCTCTCCCTGTGTCACGGGGGCAGGTCCAGCCTGATGCTTGCCCTAATGTTTTCCCTTCCGGGACTGTGAAGCAGAGGACGGAGGCCTCTGGGCTCACTCTGGCCTCCCTCAGTGGCATTGCCCACGGGTGGCATGAGGGGGAGGGGCAGGGAGGAGGGAGGAGGAGTCCAAATATGGCCAATTTGGGAGGCTGGAGCAATAGCAAAGCAGGGAGGGCGTTTGCCTTGCACACGGCCAACCTGGGTTCGATTCCCAGCATCCCATAAGGTCCCCCCAGCACCACCAGGAGTAATTCCTGAGTGCAGAGCCAGGAGTAACCCCAGAGCATCACCAGGTGTGACCCAAAAAGCAAAAAAAAATATATATATGGCCAGTTTTCACCATGTCCTCAGCATGTGGGGTGTCCCCTCGTCCTTGGGCTCAGTCCCTGCCCTGTCCCCCAGACACCCCACGCTTGATGCCTCATCATTCTGGATCCTTCCCATCTGTTTTTTGGGAGTTAGGAGCCACACCTGGTGATGCTCAGGGCTTACTCCTGGCCCTGTACTCGGGGGTCACCCCTGGGGGTTCTTGGGAGAACATCTGGGAAGTCGGGGACCGAATCTGGGTCAGCCACATGCAGAGCAAGCACCTTCCCCGGTGCGCTGTCTCTCCGGCCTGCACTGTGGCTGCTGCAGTCACCTTCCTGCTCGGATTTAAGCACCAGCATCCAGGGCGTGCTGGGCCCCGAGCTCTGTTTCCCCACCCTGGTGACCACGCAGTCACTGTGGCGGCTGTGTGTGTGACGTGGGCTGTTCTTCCCACCCGGCCCTCCCAGGACATCAATGCCAGGACGAGCTGGCCCAACAGCGAGAAGCACGTGGACCAGGAGGACGCCATCGAGGCCTACCACGGGGTCTGCCAGACCAACAGGTAGCCCGACCCCGCAGGCTCCCACCCTCTCATTGCCTAGCGGCAGGACCTCTAGCCGAGAGCACCAGGCAGCGCCCCCCACCACCACCCTGAGGCCTGGGTCGGCAAGGGGAGCACAGCCCATGCTCCAGCAGGGGGAGCTGAGACAGGGCTGGACCACTAGGAAGCTGACCCCCAGGGACCCGGCCAACTCAGGGAGGTGGGGCTCACCATTGGCTGGGTTCCCACCCTCCCTGCCCTCCAGAGACCCTCACAGCCAATGACTCTGTCCCCACTGTTGAGAAGGAATGGCACCATGGCTGGTGGGGGCACAGAGGGGCGCGGGCTGGGGGTTCCGTGTAGGTACAAGGCGCTGGACTCCCACAGAGGCAGGAGAACACCACCCAGAGAGTCAGGGCTGGACATTGGGCACTATGCAGAGTCAGGACTCGCCTCTTCCCCCAAAGCCTTCAGTGGCTGAAAAGAATGCGCAGTTCCAGGACACGCCAGCAGGTGGCGCTGGGGCGACCGCACAGTTGCCTGCAGAGGGCATTCTGGTCTCCAGCCTTCCAGCACTTGCCCCTGGCAGGGTTGGGCAAAGCAGGCGGGCATACAGCTGGCCTGCACCTGTCGGGGGAGAGGGCCAGGTGGCTCCACTCCTGCACTGGGCTGCCTCTGGCCTCCTGCCTGGGTGAACCAACAAATACTGTGTGTTAGTGGGTCCCTGGGAGGAAATGACATTTATTTCGAGAGACATCATGTTTCTCTCCCAATGAGGAGGGAGAGAAGGAAGCGAAGGGCCATCTTTCAGCGCTGGGAATGGAGTTATGTATGGTTCTGTCAGTTTCTGTTATCTAGAGGGAAGATAAGGCATGAGAGAGGCAAGAGAAAGAGCCCAGGTGGCATAAAAAGAATAAAAAGGAAGAGAAGGAGAGAAAAGAAAGAGGGGCGCGTGTGCAGGGTGCTGGCCCCTTCTCCCCATTCCAGAACCCGCTCCCAGCTCCTCCCAGCTGTGCCAGGCCCTGCCCGGGGCAGGCCTTGCCCAGGGAGCTGATTTGCAGCGGGGGGAGGGGAGAGGGGGTGAGAGAAGAGAGTCTCCCCGCTGGGCACTCTGGGGGAGGGAGATGATCCAGGGATGACCAGGGAATGCACCTTTGGCCTCTGCCCCACGCCCCCTGCCTCAGCTTTACCCAGTCTGGAGACCACCCCAGCAAACCCTTACAGCCCTTCCCCTCCCATCAGGCCCCGGGGCAGGAGCCCCTGGGCAGAGAGAGCGGCTGCTGGGCTGGACAGGAAAGGAGGACGACTGCACCCCAGCACCCTGCTGGTTGTCCAGGGCAGGGGAGGGAGAAGAAGCATCTTCAGCTGCTGTGGGGTGTCTGCGGGGGAACAAGAGAGCAAAGGGTAGGCTCTGCTCATCCACGGGGCATGTGAGGGGGCTCCCAGTTGGACTCCGGAGGGTGTCCCTGTCCCCACATGGCTCTCCCAGGCCGCATCTGGCAGTGCCTGGGGCAGCACATGGTCCCAGAGATCACAGCCCAGGTTAGGGTGCCCAAAACACGCCCACTTGCCAGCCCTCAGTGCTGACCATCCAGAAGCATTCGGCCTGCAGCAGGAAGTTTGGCATGCACTGGGCCCCACGTCCATCCCCCCCGGACCCTGGGCATGGCGGACCCCCGGCATGGCGGGAGTGGGAGGGGCCAGAGGAAGAGGAACCAGATGTGTGTGCCCACCTGCAGCCCTGCCATCTGACAGCCCCCTTGCACCCTGGTTCATGGCGTGCCTGCACCCCCTGCACCCCCAGTTCTCCCTTCTCAGGGAATGTGCAGTGCAGGCTCGAGGGCCAGGGCACCCGCAGAGCACGAGGCAGGCCTACTGGGGGTGGGGACCCCTGATGCTGGTCCCTGTCAGTGCCCAGAGGAGGCAGACCTCGGGGTCATAAGCATCTCGAGGGTAGCACACACATCTGGGCATCCCCACCCCGGGCAGGCTCTCAATGCCCCACTTCCATTTCACAAGTCACACAGGAGACCCTGATCTGGCTGACCCAGAGAAACGTGGGCAGGCCTTTTGCATTCACAGTGAGAATGCAAAACAGGGGCCGCAACAGCCAAGCAGAGTGTGCCCCCTTCCCCTGGCACTGGCTTTATGAGTGATGCCCACGTTTGCCAGTGCCTGCAGCATTAGAGGTGCTCTTCGGTATATTCTAGGTTATGGGGTGCGGGGCTCATTTATACCCCCGTATTAATGCAGGGATCCTTCACCGCACACCTTCTCAATCACAGAAATGCCCCAGGCATGCTTTTCTGACAGTGGAGGCAGGGGACACCTGTACCACCCTCCGTCTTTTCGGGAGGGTGGTACAGGTGTCTTTTACATTGTGGGCTGTACCATGGAAGGTCCAGGAGAAACCGCCCAGGTAGTCCCTTCCGCTGAACACAAGCAGCCCTGGAGTTGCACCCCTAGGTCCAGGCCCTGGCCCTTTTTATTTATTCCTTTTAAAAAATCTTTCATTCTGGACACCACAGCTTACAGTGCTGTTACTAGTCAGGCTTACACGTGAAATTCTGCAGCACCTTCCGTCACAGTGGCCTCTCTCGGGTGTCCTCTGCATGCACACTGGGCCTCCCTGAGAGGGAGCCCCACGAGAGGGAGCAGGTGGGTTTATTGAGGAGCAAAGGACCCCTGGAGTTGTCTGGGTTGTTTCCTCTCTCACCAACAGGTGGCACTGCTGAGTCGGTGGGGCTGTTACCTCTCTCACCACCAGGGGTGCGAGGCTGTTCCCTCTCTCACCACCAGGGTGCACTGCCGAGTCTGCCAGGCTGTTACCTCTCTCACCACCAGGGGTGCAGGGCTGTTACCTCTCTCACCACTAGGGAGCACTGCAGAGTCAGTAGGACTGTTCCCTGTTTCACCACCAGGTGGCTCTGCCGAGTCAGTGGGGTTGTTCCCTCTCTTACCACCAGGGTGCACTGTCGAGTCTGCCAGGCTGTTCCCTCTCTCACCACCAGGGGTGCAGGGCTGTTACCTCTCTCACCACCAAGCGGCACTGCCGAGTCAATGGGGCTGTTTCCCCTTCACCACCAGGGGGCTCTGCCGAGTCAGTGGGGTTGTTCCCTCTCTTACCACCAGGTGGCACTGCCTTCTAGCCCTGCCCTCCAGGGAACCAGGTGTCACTTGGTCCTTGGGAGCATTTTCATTTTTAATTTCCTTGTGCCTGGTCTCCTGAGCCCAGGGACGCCAGGCTGCTCTTGTCCTCATCCTCAATGCCTGGCAGAGTTTTCAGAATTCTGTGCATCTCCCCCAGGGCTGGCTTCCTCCCTGTGCGGCACAGCAGCTCACACGTGCCCCCTGCTGGAGGCTGAGTGCGGGGACTCAGGGTGCCGGCCGAGGGCAGGCACTGGGCACTGGAACGAATGTGGGCCTGGATGGAGAGGCCACAGGACAGGAGTCGTTGTCACCGTCCCTCCCCGCAGGCCGAGGGACAGGGCTCAGCCCTGTCCACGTGGCCCCAAGTTTCCTTAGTGGAGTCCTCAGCAGGGCGGCCCTGGGCCCCTAGGAGGTGAAGGGGGAGCGAAACCTTGAATCAAGCCAAGTCTCTTGGGCCAAGAATCAGGGGAGGTGGGTGCACCTGGGGTTGGGCACCACCCCTGCATGTGGGGCTCCCCGTCACTGCACTTCCCCAGGAAGCACCAGCCAGTAGCAGAGAGAGAGACCGTGCCCTCCTCCCTCAGCCTCTCTGAGGCCCTGGTCTGCAGTGCCCGCCCCGTCCATTACACTGCCTGGGGACTGGCAACCCAGGGGGCCAAATGCTCCCCCAGGCCTCCTCCTGTCTCCACATCACGGGCATGAGAATATGCCGGGGCGCTCCGGGGAGGAGTGATCAGCCCACCTGCCCTGGTCGGGGTCACAGGGACCCATTTCCCAGACGAGCTGGAACCCGGAGTCTGGGCGGGAGAGGTCTGTAAGTGCCGACCTGGGGGCTCTGGCCTCCCCCACCCCTTCTAGTGGGCCCTCTGCCCCCTCGCCTGCACACCCCTCCCCCCCTCCATCCATCCTTCCTCCTTCCCTCCTTCCTTCCCTCCTTCATTCCTTCCTTCATTCCTTCTTTCTTTCCTTCCTTCCTTTCCCCCCTCCCACTCTCTTTCTTTTCCTGTCCTTTATTTCTAGAAAGACAGAGGACTGGGGCTATTTGAACGAAGACGGGGAGCTCGGCCTGGCCTACCAGGGCCTAAAGCAAGTTGCCAGGTCCAGCTGCTGCTTTTCCTCTCCCGTGTCCGCTCTGTCCACCCCGCCTTGCTTCTCTTGTGTCCACTCCATCTGTCCTGGCTCATCTCTCCCCTGTCCACTCTGTCCATCCCGCCTCGCCTACCCCGTGTCCACTCTGCCCCGCCTGCTCGTGGCTTCTCGGGCCCGTGTGTCCTGTGTGGTGGGGGGAGGTGGGTGGTGACGCCTCTGGTGGTGCCTCTCCCATGGGGACACAGTCGGGCGGGTGTGCAGCCCTGTGTGTGGGAGATCGTAGACGGGAACCTGACGCCGAAGTGTGAACTCGACCCCCCACTGGCCTTAGCTCCAGGGGGGCCGCACAGAGCAGGGCCGGGCGTGCTCCCACTGGACTATGGGTGTCTGGGACCTGGGGCCACGTGTGGTCATGAGTGGAGCTGGGGTTCAGTGGGGGGGCACAGGCCAGCCAGCCACAGCTCACTCGGCCCATGCTGGCACCCCCGGGACAGTGTCCAAGGGAGAACCCTGGTTAGCTGGGGTGTCAGGCCGTTCCCTTCCCAAGGCTGAAACTCTGCACCTCTCCCTTTGCCGCCGGGGTCAGGGTCCGAGCTTGTCCTCCCTCCTGGTTGCATCAGACTGACAGGGGACTGAATCCAGGAAACAAGTTTGTTGGTGCCCCCCAGGATCACGCCAGCCTGAGCTGTGATGCTGTGGGCTCTGGGGTGCTCCCCGGGCACTGTGCCACTTCTGAGGGGGACTGACTAGGGCTTTCCCAGGGACCCTGGTGCTGCCCAGCTGCTGCTCAGTGCATGTGGCACAGACCTGTGGGCAACCGGGAGAGAGATGCTGTTGGAGAGGATAGTGTGTGTGTGTGTGTGTGTGTGTGTGTGTGTCCGGATGTTTGTCTATGACCACATACGTGTGTGTCTATGTAGCATGTGTAGGTGTATCGTGTGTGTGTGTGTCCAGATGTTTGTCTGTGACCACGTACGTGCATGTGTGTCTATGTAGCTCGTGTAGGTGTATCATGTGTGCATGTGTATGCGTGCGCACATGTGTTTGAAGGTGTCTGTGACATACAGGGAGCACAGCTAGCAGTGACAGGCCTGTGGCAGAGAAGGGGCCTCACACTTCGCCCTTCTAAACCGTGCAGAGAACCCACCGCCGGGAAACGCACAGTGCCGGCGTGCGTGGGCCCCCCGGGTTCTCCTGAGCTTGCGGGGAGCAGGGGGTGCTTTGATCTCGACGACGATGCCAGAAGGAGTTTCTCTCGGCTGTTGGCATCTGACCTTTCGACAGTAGCGTCTGGCCTGGAAATCAGCAGGAACCGAGGGACAAAGGAGCGGGGACAGAGGGCGGGGAATGGACATAGTGGGGTGTCCACCCAGGGGTGCTGCCTGTGCCCGCTGAGGGCCCCGTGCAGCTGCCCCCCGGCCTCCTGCTTGGCTGCCCTGCACTGCCCGTCCATCTGCAGCCCTTCCCGGCGGGCGGGTACCTGTCCTCCCCTCCCCTTGATGTGCCCTCCCAGTGGGAGGGTGGCCGCCCCCCCCCCCCCCCCCCGCTGAGACCCCTTCCCGGTGGGCTGCAGGTTGCTGGAGGCGCAGCTGCAGGAGCAGAGCCGCGAGCACGCGCGGGAGGCCGAGGAGCTGCGGGCGCAGGTGGAGGCGCTGCGGGAGGAGCTGGCGGGTCAGCAGCAGACCTTCTGCCAGGCGCTGCTGCTCTCGCCCGATGCCCAGGTGGAGTTCGGCGTCCAACGGGAGATCTCGCGGCTGACCAGCGAGAACCTGGTGAGGGGCCGCCGGGGGTCCTGCTCCAGGGGTGGGCATGGGCCAGGGGCACGGACTCCCGACTGGGCCCTGCAGCAGGGGCAGCACCCGGGAGCATCAGGGGCCCATGAGGGCCTCGGGGGGCAGTTTCCCGAGCAGCCGACCTCTCCCGAGCTTGGCTCCCAGCGGGCCTGGCACCAGACAGGGTCCCAGACCCTCCCTAGGAGCGATCCCTGAGTGGCCCCCCTGCAAACAAAAAATAACAAAACTCCAGCACCCCGCGGTGTGACTCTGGGGCGTGGCGGGGGTCCTGCTACCCCCACCCCCCGCCAGCCTGCGTCTCCTCACTCAGTGTGCCCCGAGCTTCACTGGCTGACTCCAATGGCAGGAGTGAGGCCGTGAGGGGCCGAGTGTGGCGCAGGGATGCTGGGGAGCGGGCGAGCGCCCGGAAACCCCAGCTCGGGCTCTGCTCCCCGTGTCTGTCTGTGGAGCGGTGGGCTCGGGTCTCTTTGCTGGAGGCCCCCTAAATGCCAACCCCTGGCCACCCAAACCCCTCACCTGGCACCTGGTCACTCTGGCGGGCCCTGGCTCTGGGCTCCGAGCTCTTCCCCCAGCCGTGGCCACTTCCGGCTCCCACACCATCTCCAGGGCCAGAGACTGCAGCGGTCAGCGGACCCCATGGCAGGGGTGTGGCTGTGCCCCCCTCCACCCATGCCCTGCCCCCTTCCCTTCCCATGTGGGCACCAGCTGGGCGCCCAGGCTGAGAGTCTCTGCAGGCGGCCAACCTCAGGGCCCAGTGCTTGCTGGCCCATCTCAGCGGGACTCTGACCCTGTCCCTGCTCAGGCATCTCCTCCTCCGCCCGCTTCCAGGACCTCAAAGAAGTGGTGGAGAAGCTGGAGAAGAACGAACGCAAGCTCAAGAAGCAGCTGAAGATCTACATGAAGAAAGCGCAGGACCTGGAGGGTAGGGGGCCCGCCCGGGGCCGGGGGGTCGGGGCCAGGGCCCAGCAGGACAGTGGGGCAGGCACCCCGAGTCCCCCGGACACCAGGGGGAGCAGCAGGGTCCCCTCCTGTGGCCGGACCCCTGGAGCACGGGGGTCCCCCTCGACGCAGGTCGGAGCCCACCCACCAGGGCCGCCCGCCGGGGTCTCCCCGCCACTCACGCCCTGTCCCCCCGGCCCGCAGCAACCCAGGCACTGGCCCAGAGCGACAGGGGGCGGCAAGAGCTGCACAGGCAGGTGACCGTGCAGCGGAAGGAGAAGGACTTCCAGGGCATGCTGGAGTACCACCACGACGACGAGGCCCTGCTCGTCCGCAACCTGGTCACAGGTGGGCCACCCCCACGTGTCCCCGGCTCCCTCCCATGGGGCCTTCGCAGAGCCCCGCACTCCGCTCTGTCCTGCGGGTCCCCCTGTCTGAAATGGCCACAGCGGGCTGGGCCCTCCCCGCCATCCTCCCCCGGGGCAAGGCGACAGGTCCTCTCCTGCACAACATCTGGGCAGCACCCCCCACCATGGAAGGCCCCCTGCACAGAGGCCCGAGGCCTGGGGCCTGGTGACCCCTGCCCTCGAGGGGCTGGCATCGAGCAGGACTTGATATGGACCCTTCCAGAATGTTCTGAGTGTTGAGTATCTGGACAGAGGCTGAGCGCTTCCCTGCTGGCCCAGAGAGGCTGTGCGTGTCCCCAGAGGGGCCTGGCCCGCAGCACGCCCTGGGCTCGGAGGAGGGGACGGCGCTTGGCTGCCCACTGACCCGGTGGCAGCCTGGCCTCGGCCCATGGATGGGAGGACGCTCCTGTCACCCAGGTGGGCGCTGGCTGCCGTGTGAGCCCTGGGTGCTGGTGAGCGGGAGGGAAAAGCACCAAGCGCTGCCCATCCAGGCCTTGAGGGAGGAGCGGGGAGAGAGGCGGGTGCGAGGTTACACGGGGCGGGTGTGGACAAGAGAGAGGCAGGGCCAAGGGCCACGGGTGGCTGGTGGGCCCCAGGGAGGTGCGGGGCTGGCTGGGCCCAGGCTGGCGGGGCCTGCACCTTCGTGGCCGGCAGCCAAGAGGGTGAGAGGTGGTTTGAGTCAGCCTTCTGCCCTGCCCGCCACCTCCTCCGGGCAGCCGCCTGCCCTTGCTGCTGAAGCACCTGGGACCAAGGGGCAGCTGCAGGAGGGGGCGAGCTGGGCCTGCTGGGGCCGGGCGGACGGGCATGGGCGGGGGGGTCTCAGGCAGCTGTGGGGTCCAGGCTGCAGGAACGCGTCTGGGCCACACAGCTTCTCCCTGCTGACTGCACCCGCCACACACACACACACACACACACACACACATACACACACGCTAACATACACACATGCACAAACACACGCACACTAACATACATGCACACACACATATACACTAACAAACACACATGCACACACATACACAAACATATACACCCACACACAGCTCTGACACACACACATACACTCACATATACACACACTTATCCGTATATATACACACACATACACACTAACATATACACTTAGGCACACACACTCAGATACACACACTCACATACACATGTACTAACACACACATATACACTAACATACACACATGCACACACACAAACACATACACACAGTAACATACACACACTTACCCATATATACACACATACACACTAACATACGCACTCATGCACACATACTCACATACACACACTCACACAGACACATGTACTAACACACTCAAACATATACTCACTAACATACATACATGCACACATACACACTAACATACACACGTGCACACACACATACCGTCATGCACACTCTCATAAACACATATACACACATATACATACACACATATACACACATCACACGTACATACACTAACATACGCACGCACACACATATACACACGTACAAGACAGGCACCCATGTGCGGCACACACACACACACACACACACATGCACCCCCAATGTGCTGCATGCAGACAGGGGACTTCCTACTTCAGGCGCTGGGCAGGGGGCGGGCTCAGTCCCTGAGCACAGAGGCAGGCGTGGCCCTGAGCAGGGCTGGTGTGTCCGTTGCCTGTCCCCCCCGCCCAGCTGGTTCTGTCTGAGGTGAAGAACCTCCCGTTCGTGGAGTGCCTGTGTGCACACTCAGGCTCTTGGGAGTGGCCCCCCTTGGGCCTCTCCAGAGCAGCCGGGCTCCGTGGGCCCCTCCGCGGGCCTGGCGGGTGCTCACGCCCTCTGTGCCCCTTCTGTGCCGCAGAGCTGAAGCCGCAGGCGCTGGCGGGCGCCGTGCCCTGCCTGCCCGCCTACATCCTGTACATGTGCGTGCGACACGCCGACTACACCAACGACGACGTCAAGCTGCACTCACTGCTCACGGCCACCATCAACGGCATCAAGCGGGTCCTCAAGGTGGGTGCCGGGAGGGCTGGCCCGGCCAGAGAGCCCGGGGGGCTCGGGGGTCCAACCGCGGGCCCGGCAGAGGCGGGCAGGGGGGCGAGCTTGCCCACCTCTTCCGGGACAGGGCGGTCGGCCGGGGTGCACCCCTTCCTCCCTGTGCCCCTGTGAGGGCCCTGCCAACCCCGCCTGCCGGGACCTCTCCCATGAGCACAGCTGGGACTGACTTCACTTTGTCCCAGAAACTCCGGACTACCAGCCAGGCTGGTCACTCCCAGTCCCGGCCCTCTGGTCCCCTGCAGGGTCTGCTCAGGGGGTGACTGCGGCCGGGCAGCGGGGGACCTAGATAAACAAGGTCAGGTCAGGTCTGGCTGGGAAGGAGCCGGACCGGGGCTACTGGGGGCCCCCCTCCCTGGCTCCGGCCTTGGTGGTGGCCGGTAGCAAAATGCCCCTTGCCCCCGCCACCGGGCAGAGCTGTCTCTGGTCTTCTCCCACGCCCCCCGTGGGTCAGGGTGGGAGCGCCCCCGAGCTGAGCCGCGCGTCTCCCCGCAGAAACACGGTGACGACTTCGAGATGACGTCCTTCTGGCTGGCCAACAGCTGCCGGCTCCTGCACTGCCTGAAGCAGTACAGTGGGGACGAGGTAGGTGCAGGTCGGGGGTGGGGGCCCACAGGCCCAGGCGGGGCCCTCAGATGTGGCCGGGTGTTGGAACAGGTCCGTGCCTGAGGCCCTGGTTCCCTCCGTCAGGGGGTCCTCTGGGAAGGAGGAAGGCTGCAGGGTCATCCCCTGGGGTCCCCTGGGCGGGCTCTGCCTCACCGGGACTCGGCAGGGAAGCAGGAGTGAGCAGGACAGACTCCTGGCCCTGAGGGTCCCCGGGGCTCCCCCAGAACCCAGAGCCAAGTCTACACAGCAGTCCCCACCAGAGCCCCAGTGCCCAGGACGGGCACCGTCCTAATGCCCAGCTTCCCGCGTGTGGTGGGGAGAAGCCCAAGGGGCTCTGCTACCCGTTCCCTGCCTTATCCCCACAGAGCAGCCAGGAGGGACCAGCCCAGGCGCCAGCTCTTGGGGCTCTGCCCTGCAGGGTCAGCAGATCCTCTTCCTCCCTCCCGAACCTCAGCTCCAGGGCTCAACCCCGAGCTCCCTCCAGGCGCGGCCTCCCTCTGTCCTCGGGGAACCAGAGCTGCCTTGTGTGGGGTTTCCCTGAAGCGTAGCAGGAACGCGGGCGTGAGGCTGAGAACGTGGAGAGGGGTTGGAGCAATGGGCCAGCAGGGAGGGCGTTTCCCTCGTACCCGGCCAATCCGGTTCGATGCCCAACATCCCTTACCGCCCCCTGAAATCTGCCAGGAAGAAACTCCTCTGAGTGTAAGCCCGGGGCACTGTCGGTATACTCCCAAACAAACCAAAAACTAAACTGTAAAAAACTGCAGAGGAGGGGCTGGAGGGACAGCACAGCAGGTAGGGCGTTTGCCTTGCACACTGCCAACCTGGGTTCGATTCCCGGCATGCCATATGGTTCCCGAGCACCGCCAGGAGTAATTCCTGCATGCATGAGCCAGGAGTAACCCCTCTGCATTGCTGGGTGTGACCCAAAAAGGAAAAAAATAATAATAATGCAGCGTAAACTGCACCATGTGCTGATGAACTCAGGCGTGAGACTCAGTGGGCCCTCACGTGTGGACACTCCTGTGCACCCCTCCTCTCCCCGGGAGGGACCCAGGGGCAAACACTGGACTCTCTGGCCGCTGTCAGTTTCCTTCGGCCCCGAGCCAGAGGACACTGGCCCCACGAATCCTGCCACCAGCGGCATTTGCGTGTAATTTCATGTTATTCCTCCCACGAGTATGGGGACTTGTGGCATCACTTCGGCCCACCTGTGAATTCTAAGCCCGGAGCTCAGCCACCCTTGAAGAGTCTCACCCTGAGCCCATGCAGCCTGGCCCTGGCTCTGCTCCATTCCGGCCATCCCACCAAACCATCCTCTTCCCCCGGCATGCCAGGAAGAGAACTCAGTGCATGGCTAGCTCTTGCCTGGGACCTGCTTGGGGTGGCATCCCAGAGGAGAAATGCTCCCCTCCCCACCAGCCTGGAACTGTTGACAGTGACGTTTTTTCTCTCCTTCCGGCCAGAGAGATGGGCCGGGGAGACCGTGCAGCTGGCAGGGCACTTGTCTTGCACACAGATGACCTGGCTTTGATCCCAGCACCCCAGAGGGTCCCCCAAAACTTGAGCACAGCCAGGTGGGGCCCAGATCTACCCATACCACCAGCGAGAAGAGTTTGTGCCAGTGGCGGTGACCCCTTAAGGCCTCCCCCTGACCCCTGATCCAGCCCACAGCGCGGGAACTCCCCCTTCCCACAGGCCTTCATGACGCAGAACACGGCCAAGCAGAACGAGCACTGTCTGAAGAACTTTGACCTCACTGAGTACCGCCAGGTGTTGAGTGACCTGTCCATCCAGATCTACCAGCAGCTCATCAGGGTGGCCGAGGGCGTCCTGCAGCCCATGATCGGTGAGGGCCAGGGGAGGCAGGCAAGGGGGCAGAGGTGTGCTGGGGGCAGGGGGCGAGCTGGGTTCCCAGCGCCGCCTCATCCGGAGGCAGCATGCGTGGTGATAGGTCATCAATGCAGCTCAGAGGGCACATGCATGTGTAAGTGCGGGACACCGTAGCCTCAGCTGCGTTCACAAGAGGAGGCACGAGCTCTGGGAGGCCAACACCCACTCCCATGCGCATGGGGGAGGGGCACACCCAGCAGTGCTCAGGGATCAGGCCTGGCGGTGCTCAGGGGTTCAGCCAGGAAGGGGGGGAGGCGCAGTATCCCCACGCTGTGTGGTTGCTCTGGCCCTCCCTCCTCCCCCCACCCCAGGTGGTGCGCGGGACATGTAGTTGGCGAGAGTGGGGGCCAGTGCAGGCATCCCGGTGCCGTCAGGAGGGGTTCCAGGAGGACAGAGCCCTGAGTGGGCCCCGCTAGTCCACCTCCTGGGAGAAGTTTGCTTCCCAAACCTTTTGTCTGGGGACTTCTCGGGAGACACCCCCTCATGTCTCCCTGACCTGGGGAGGAGGGAACGTGTAGCAACTCAGCCTGGCACAGGAGCCCCGGCTGTGTGGGCTGAGCCCTCTACGGGCAGATCCTACCGGCCACTTCCCATGGTGTGGCTGGATGCACCTCGGGCCAGGAGCAGGACTGCAGCTGGAAGGCAGGAACACCACACCCAGGGCTGTGCAGTGAGCACTGTGGGCTGAGGCCCACCTCAGGGTTTGACCCCGCCCCCCAGTCGTTCAGATCTCAAGCCTTGAGCTCTCAGCACAGAAACAGGACAGACCCCCGCCCTGGTCTGTCAGCCGTCCCTTCGGGTGAGGATTCGATGGACCGTAGCCTGGTCCAGGATCAGAAACCGCCAGGTTAGAAATCCCACACGAAGGGCTGGAGATAGGGTTCAGTGGGGAGGACACATGCCCTGCACACAGTCAACCCGGGTTTGATCCCCGGCATCACATCGGGTCCCCTGAGCACTGCCAGGAGTGATCCCTGAGTGCAGAGCCAGGAGTAGCCCCTGAGCATCGCCACATGTGGCCCAAAAATCAGAAGTGAAAAAAAAAAAAAGAATTTCCACGCCAGGGGCCGGAGAGAGTATAGCAGATGGGCCACTTGTTGACTCTGAGTCAACTCCATATGGATCACTGAGCACTGAGTCCTGAGCAGTCGGGAGTGAGCCTTCTGCAGCGATGGGTGTGGCACAAGTAAACAAAAAATAAGGAAAAATAAAATTCCACATCACACGCTGTGAGTCCCTGAGCATGTCGCCGTGGGATGTCGTGGCGTGGTGCGGCTCTGCCCTGGGCTGCGTGGCCCAAGGCAGGTCCCAGGGGTGCTGGTGTCCCCCTCACAAGCGTCTCTTGCAGTGTCGGCAATGCTGGAGAACGAGAGCATCCAGGGCCTGTCGGGGGTGAAGCCCATGGGCTACCGGAAGCGCTCGTCCAGCATGGTGGACGGCGAGAACGCCTACTGCCTGGAGGCCGTCATACGCCAGATGACCGCCTTCCACACCGTCATGGGCGACCAGGGCCTGGACCCCGAGATCATCCTGCAGGTGTTCAAGCAGCTCTTCTACATGATCAACGCCGTGACCCTCAACAACCTCCTGCTGAGGAAGGACGTCTGCTCCTGGAGCACGGGCATGCAGCTCAGGTGGGCCCGCCCCCCGTCTCTGCCTGGGGGGTCAGGTGGGCCCACCCCACCCATGTCTCCGCCTTGGGGGTCAGGTGCCTTCCCCTTGTCTCTGCCTTGAGGGTCAGGTGGGGCTCACCCCTCATCTCTGCCTGGGGGGGATCAGGCTGGGCCCCGCCCCTGCATCTCTGCCTTGGGGGTCAGGCAGGGGCACCCCACTCCGGCTCCCCTGGGGTGTCCCCACACACAGCATCCTCTCTGAGAGCGGGAACCCAAGCCCAGCCTTGTCGTGGTACCCAACTCGGATAAAAGGCCTTGTGCTGGACTGGAGCAATAGCACAGCGGGTAGGGCGTTTGCTTTGTGCATGGCCAACCCGGGTTCGATTCCCAGCATCCCATATGGTCCCTTGAGCACCACCAGGGGTAATTTCTGAGTGCAGAGCCAGGAGTAACCCCTGTGCAGAGCCAGGTGTGACCCCCCCCCCCCCCCCCGCACCAAAAAAAAAAAAGCCTTGTGCTTTGTGGGGAAGAGTCTTCAAGTTCAGCCCTTAAAGAGGTGTTTGCACATTCTAAGGGTTTGGACTTTTTTTTATTTTCCTGCTCAGGAGGCCTGGGGGGCCCCACCAGCTGATTCTCAGCCAGCTGGGTCCCTGGTTCAATGCAAGGGCCCAAGGGTGCCAACCCACTGGTTCTCGGGACCTTGGTCGCCCCGGGTCAGGTGCATGCTCACGGCTGTGCTCTCCCCGCTCTGCCAACCACCCGAGCTGTGCGGATGTGTCCAAGGAGGCAGTTGGGGGCACGTGGGCGGGCATGGGCCAGAGCCTCAGCTGTCCTCCCTGGACGCCTCCCTCTCACTGCTTGGCGCCAGGACAGCGGAGGGCCTTCCCCTTGCTTGGTTTAAGCCCACACACACACACCCCAACCCTGGTTCCTCCACTCATGAGAGACCACTGAGCAGGAAGAGGAGGGGGAGGAGGAGGAGGAGGGAGAGGGGGACAGGCCCCGGTGCCCAGCAACTGCAGAGCCCTCCTCGGCCTCACCCCAGGAGCCAACACAGTGCTCTGCCCCCCTGCCCAGGTACAACATCAGCCAGCTGGAGGAGTGGCTGCGGGGCCGGAACCTGCAGCAGAGTGGGGCGGCCCAGACCCTTGAGCCCCTCATCCAGGCAGCACAGCTCCTGCAGCTGAAGAAGAAGACCCCCGAGGACGCTGAGGCCATCTGCTCCTTGTGCACGGCCCTCAGCACCCAGCAGGTAGGCCGGCGCCCGGGGACCTGGGTCTGGGGTGCGGCCACCCCCGTCACTGGCTCCCGGCACGCCTCTGAGCCCCCCGGCTCACCGAGAGAAGCCTCACGCCCCCCCACTCCCGACTAGCCTCAGCTCCAAAACATGCAGAAGGAATTCTGGAATGTTCTTGCCAGGAAATGGGACTTTTCCAGGAACTGGCAGCACTGGGCATGGTGTGGATGTCTTTGCCCTTGTGATGTGACGTGTGTCTTCCCTTAGAGCCCACGTGCATTATGCTCGAAGGCCGGAGGCCAGAGGCCCTTCACCGTCCCTCCCCTTCTCCTCCCCAGATATTTTCTAACCGGACTCAATGGAGCGTTCTCCCGCCCCTGTCTCCTGCGGCCCTGCCCTCCGTCGCCAGGGTCTGTTCAGAAATGGGTTCCCCGACGGAGGCCAGCACCCTGTACCCCAGACTCAGGATGGTGTGCCCACTCCTCGGGGTGGGGGTTGGAAGTTGCCCCCACCTGCAGATAGATTTTGCTTTCATGAATTTTCTTTTCGACTGCAATTGCACCGCTTTGCATTTGGGCAGGGTATGTCCACCAAACCGTGGGCAGACACCCGAAGGTTCCCCTCTGGCTCAACAGGGGGAAAGGAATCTCTCTCGTTGGGGGCGAGGGGGGACCCAGGAAGGAGCTCTCAAGCAAGTCATCTGCTCTCGGAGGGGAGGGTTCTCCAGATCTTTCCTTCCCTCGGAGCCGAGGCTAAAAATATCAGGCGGTCATTTTCTAAGCTCATTTTTAAGCTGCAGGATATAAGCAGAGGCAGTTAGGCGCTGCCTGGATGTCACATAATCCCATAAACGAAATTGTTGACTTACTGCGTCTTCATCTTTCCTCCAACAGATTGTCAAAATTTTAAACCTTTATACGCCCCTGAATGAATTTGAAGAAAGGGTAACAGTGGCCTTTATACGAACGATCCAGGTGAGTTTTTAAACAGTTTGAGAAAAGAAAAATTGAAGGTTTGGACCTTAACCTTGCTGTTTTATTCATAAAATACTGGTTTACATGATTCGTTTTAAGTAAATATGAGTCATAGCACCATATACACAGAGACCTGGAACTTCACCCCGCCTCTCAGATTGTAGACAGACTGTTTCATGAGACTCTGGCATGTTGCCACCCTCAACAGCCCAACAAAGGAGGCAATGCCAGCCCTGCATGCTAACAGAAATGAGAGCTCTTGCGAAAGCACCTGAGGGGTTGGAGAGACAGTCGGCCAGGCAGGGCGCCTGCCTAGCCCATAGCTGACCGGGGCTTGGTCCCCAGCATCCCCTATGGTCCCCTGAGCACCGCCAGGCCTGGCACCCAAACCAAAAAAGATAAAAGAATTGGAGGTGGAATTTTCAGGGGGGATGGGCAGCCTACGCCAGCCTCAGGTCGTCTGTCTGCGAAGCAGGGGGCCTTTGCCAGACTCCTGGGGTTACAGGCGGAGGGACTATGCTGGCAGGGATAGAGAATGGAGGTCGAAGGTCACCGGAGGGCTGCCAAGTCAGGCGCAAGGTCCCTCAGAAGGGCCGTGGCGGACAGTGGGCTGGGATTAGGCTGGCACACTGCACCTGGGGAGCCCAGCGGGTAGCACTGCCACCAGGGGCCAGGGCCGGGTTCACCTAAGAGGGAGAAGCAGCCATGAGCTCTGCAATCGAGGCAAAGTGCAAGCTCAGAAATCTGCCTCCCTCCCCCCCCCCCCCCCCCCCCGCAGCCACGGAGAACCAAGACCAAAGGTCACAGAAGGCACCTGCCAAGTCAGATGTCCAGGCTGCGCTGGCAGCTCCAGCCCGCACCCATTGTCCCCCGGCCAGCTCTAGTTTTTGTTTGGTTTTGTTTTAAAATTGGGGTGTGGGGGGTCTACACCTTGCAGGGCTCAGGGGCTCTCTGGGGTGCTGACCTCAGCCCCCCTGCAAGGCCAGCCGCCCGCCCTGCCCTGCGACCGCTGCTGGCCTGCTCGGGCTCTGCGGGTCAGTTTCTCTCTGGACAGAACAACGTGCGGACAGACAGCAGGAAGGCCCTGCCGAGCTCCTGGCCCCGAACTTCCCTGGTGTCGGAGAAATGCAGGTCGTGGTTCAGACCATCTGCGTGTAAAATGCTCGCCCTGACCCGGGGGAGCTGAGGGTTGGGCACTGCACACTCCCTGGAGAATGCCCATGAACAAAAGACGTGAAAAGTGGACATTCGAGGGGGCTGTCAGAGGTACTGTGCCCCTGTGTGAATTTCCCGTGTCCATGCCACTAGAGGCTGACAGAGGATGGGCAGCACAGCAGGCAGCGCTTGCCCTGCACACAGCCAGCCTGGGATCTGTCCCCAGTACCCCGAGCCCTGGCCAGGACTAAGTCCTGAGCACTGCTGGGGACTTGAACCTGTGTCGTCCGTGTGCCGCGCAGGTGTCCCCCCACTCCAGTCCCATTTCTCATTCTCTGGATCCTGTCACTAGCAGAGCAGCCGGCGAGCCTGGAGTACATACACAAACCTCCACTCCACACCGGCTGTCTCCTGGCAAGTGCTGCCATGTGACAGGTCTGCAGGGCAGGCACAGAGACCAAACCTTGCCCAGGCTACGTGGCCTCCCTTACGGAAGAGGAGACGGAGGCATTCCAGGAATTTCCCCAGGATGGCCCCGTTGGGGCTGACCTCCAGCACCCCGACCACTTCCCCGCTGCATCTCCCCACCTGACCTGAGCCTGGAGAATATTTTTAAGACACTGATGCCAGCGCGAATCACTGGTGGTGCACACTGGCAGTGGCTGTTAGCACAAATTGCAGCAAGTGCTTTTTTTTTCCCCCCAGCATTCTTCCTTTTTTTTTTTTAAATTGAATCACCATAAGATACAGTTACAAAGCTTTCATGTTTGAGTTTCAGTCATACAATGATCGATCACCCATCCCTCCGCCAATGCATATTCCCCACCACCAATGCCCCCAGTACACCCCCCCTTCCAGCCCTCCCCTGACTCCATGGCAGACATTTTCCCCCATGCTTTCTCTCTACTTTTGGGCATTATGGTTTGCAATACAGATACCGAGAGGTCATCACATTTGGTCCTTTATCTACTTTCAGCACACATCTCCCATCCTGAGCGATGCCTCCAACCATCATTGACTTAGTGATCCCTTCTCTATCCCAGCTGCCTTCTCCCCCAGCTCATGAGGCAGGCTTCCAACCATGCAGCAGTATTCCTGGCCCTTGTGTCTACTGTCCTTGGGTGTTAGTCTCATATTATGTTATTTTATACTCTACAAATGAGGCAGCACGTGCTTTTTATGGATATTTTAATTTTTATTTTTATAGAGTTGGTCGCCATAATTTATCACATACAATATTCCAACACCAATCCCACGACCACCATTTCAAATTTTCTCACCACCACCACCCAAGCCTGCCCCAAAGGCAGATCCTAAATAATTTATTTTGGATTGCTTGTTATGAATAATCCACCAAAAGTGATTCCAAAAAGTTTCCTTTGAGGAAAGTGTGAACATTGTTCTATCTCACCCTGGAGACATTAAGCTCTTATATAAGAGATTACTAACTTGTTTATAGGTTGAGCCTTGTATGCTATTTTTTTTTCCATCGAGATGGGTTGCCTTCTACTTTACAACCCCTTCAAATGTAGTGTGCTACTCCTGATACTTCAGTGGCTCAGAGAATTCTAAAGTTTTAAATAGGGTGATAGAGGTGGAGTTGAATTTTTAACTGGATGGTGACTTTGGGGTCTGGAGGCACCTCTGCAGCTTGTGACCCTCTTCCAGGAGTTATTTGTGAGTCTCTGGGTCATGGCCGTGAATGAGCTTATATGGAGCCAGAGGTAGTTTGTGGGTGTGACTGCCAGGCTCCCAGAAGAACAGGGAGATGTGGGGAGGCCATCCATCCCTGACTCTGTGAGAGCCTGGAGATCCCAAGCACCTGTGTGAAAAGAGAAAGGCCAGTACGGGTAGATCCCCAGCAGCCGAGGGTCTCGCTGCTGTCAGCCCCCGGGAGAGGGAGGTTGCATCGCCCTAGAATTGGGCCTCTGAACCAGAGACAGGATAGCAGAGATGGGAGAGCAGCCCACCTTGCTCACGGCCCACTCAGGCCCTGAGCACCACTGGCGGCGTCCCCAAAACCAGAAAGGAAAATGGAAAAGCTCGTGGGGCCAGAGGGTTGGTACAGGGGTCAAGGTCCCTCGCATCTCCCCGGGCTTCAGACCCACCATATCTGACCCCCCCAAATCTCCCCATGGGCCACTCTGAACACAGAACCAAGACTAGGCCTGAGCACTGCCAGGTGTGGTCCAGACTCCCACCTCCAAAAAGGGAAATGAACACTTTCTGCACACTGCCTCACCACGACCAGCCTGCCACGGGCCCTTCCCTGGCATCTCACCTCACTAGTGCGAGTCTGCCCGCGGGCCCTTCCCTGGCACTTCACCTCACCCTGTCAGCCTGCCCCCTGGCACGATCCTTCACAGGCTCGTCTCCTTCCCCACAGGCACAGCTTCAAGAGCGGAATGACCCTCCACAGCTGCTGCTCGACTTCAAGCACATGTTTCCGGTTGTGTTCCCATTCAATCCCTCTTCTCTGACCATGGACTCCATCCACATCCCAGCGAGTCTCCATCTGGAGTTCCTCAGTGAGGTCTGAGCACGCCACGCGTCCATCTGGGTTTCGGTTCCCCGGGAGGGCCGCGAAGGAACTAGAGACAGTGACAGCCTCCAGACAGAGGGTGGAACGCTACAAAATAAGACACCTCTGTGATATTTTTTTTGTACCTAAAACTCAGAATAAAAGCACTTGAACTATGGAAGATTTTCTTAAAGAGTGACTCCAGTCTACACACACCACCCACCTGCACCAACCCAGCAGTCCACTGGCCACGTTGAAGGCGCCAGGCTACAAAATGGAAATTGCTGAGGTCTGATTTCTGCAGAGAACTTGAGAATGTCCTAGGTAAAATACTAAAAAGAAAAAGTCACATAGATTGCTTTCAGAGGGCTTCTAACAAATAATGGTACTAACAACCATGATACTGTCACTTAAAAAGTTACATCTTCCCGCCGACAAACCATAGTGCAGGTGAGTTTGTGAGAAGGCGTTTTACAACAAAAACACATGCCCTGCTGATTCAGAGACAACTGGATTAATTTCCAATACCACCTTTGGAGTGGGGTGGGGGGAAAGGTTACACCAGCAGTGCTTGGACGTCCGGGGATAAAATGTGGGGCATTCCCATGCTCAGTGCCAGCACACTGAGCTATCTTAACGTTCTGAAGATGGGCCTCTGAAGCAAAATGGGAAGACCCCGTCCCTCACATGCTCCGACCCTTTCGTACCGTCGGGCTTCTGCTAAGAACACGCCGTTGTCCCAAGTTTCAAAGGTGAGCAAGGTAGCCAGATGCCCTTTACTTCATTCCGTTGCTGGCCCTTATGGTGCCAGCAAGACTTTCGGCAACATCTGTCTAAGCTCAACATCAGAAAGCAAAAATACTTGTTTTACTTACAATTAAAAAACCCCAAGCGTCCCTGCGAAAGTCCTTACGCCCTTAATGCCATTAATAAGAATAACTCATGCGCCAGGAACTGTGAGTACGTTGAAGTCAAAAGAGTAAAGGGAAACAGATGTCATCTTGGGCAAAAGATGATCTGAAATTCTTTTTAAATAATCAGGGAGTACTAAATTATTATTAAAACTTGTGGGACTTTTGTTGTGTTTGTTTTACACATGTGTGATTTTTTAAGAAACAAGATAGCTTATACTAATTTGCCCTTTTTGGATTTTCAATACTTTTTTATTTTACCACATAAAATCATAAATATATCTACTGTGGAATAAGAATTAAAGGGAGTCTTCAGTGATCATTACATGTTTTTTGGGGTTTTTTTTTTTTGTTCTTACTTTTTGGGTCATCCCTGGTGACGCACAGGGATTACTCCTGGCTCTGCACTCAGGAATTACTCCTGGCAATGCTTGGGGACCTTATGGGATTCTGGGAATCAAACCCTGGTTGGCCGCATGCAAGGCAAACACCCTACCTGCTGTGCTATCATTCCAACCCAATCATTACAAGTTTTATATTTGCTTTTAATTTAAAAAAAAGGTTAGCCTCTTCCAAAGTAGGCATTTCATATATATTCTTTCACTTTTTTTCCCCATATTGTTGGAAAAGAACAGTTCCAGTGAGGGCAGATGTTTGCAAATCATTGTCAAGCAGCCTCAATCTGTCAGGTTTCTCTGTGGATTGCCATTGGAATATCCGCCCCCCTCCCAATACTCAGCCAACTCTGCTGCAGAGGCTCCTGGGAACACAGCCCCTGCCAGTCCTGAGTGGCTCTATGCCCCTCCTCCTTACAGCTTAGCTCCCCTGGGCAGGACTAAACACGGCCACTGGGCAATGGCCGTCGGGCAAAGGCTGTGGGCTACCGTGTCCAAATCCGCCTTTCTTGCACCACACCCTCTAGCTCCCATGACATGCCCTGGCCCACAGGTATCTGCCCTGCCTGGCCTGCCCAGGAAGGCCAGCCTGGAGCCTGCTGGGTCTGTGGCCACCTCTTTATAAAGGTGTTTATCAAGTCGCTTCTTGCTGCACTTTAAAACTGAATCTCTTGTGGAAGGGATGTCTTGGATCCTCAAGAGTCCGGGGAATCCTCGCTGGAGTGTTCGTGGCCTTGAAAAGCTGGGATTCCGGAGATGCCTCTCCTTCCTCACACCTGACTGACACCTTATCCCTCCATCTCTTTGGTTCACCAACTCCCCACTGTCCAGGGTTAATCAATTACTCAGTGCCAGGGACTCACCCAACAAAAACTTGGTGATCAGAATAAAAGGGGAGGAGCAGAACAACGGTAACGCAGGTAGGGCACTTGCCTTGCATGCAGCTGACCAGGGTTCAATATGGTCCCCCAAGCTGGCATCCCATATGGTCGCTCAATCCCTGCCAGGAGTGATCCCTGAGCACAGAGCCAGGAGTAAGCCTTGAGCACCTCTGGGTGTGGCCCCCAAACCCAACCTCCCCACCCCAAAAAGAACAAAGAGTGGGGAGGGACCTTAAGAATAGTCTTCACTTTTGTTAAGAAATGGAAAGTTTTGTTTGCTTCCCAAAGTAAGACTGTACTTAATTTGTATATTCTTTTTTTTTTTTAAAAAAAGAGCCAGACTTTTATAGACCACTAATAATAAACATGGTAATCACTGCTTCATGTTTAGATCTCTAGTAACTCCTGGAAACTGGAAGAACCATCTTTTGGGAAACGAATAGTCTTGTGGGCGTTTTAAAAAATCATTTCTGCTCAATTTCCAGCTTCATGAAATCACTAATGACTTAAAATAACAAAGGTCTGAACTCTAAACTGAGTCTTTCTTTCTTCAGATTTAAGATGTAACTGTTATTCCCCCTCACTCTGTGCCTTTCGCAGTTACTAAGATTATCTGACTCATTCACTGAAATAAATGTTGCTGTGGGAAGAATTTTAAGGTTTGACCCAACACCAAGCGGAGTTGGGCATTTTGAAGACTTGAGAATTCACCCATTTGTTTGGCATTTGCCCGGGGGCCGCCTGCTCTGCAGTGAGTGTGGGATGTCCATAGTTGCTGCGGCCAAGCCCACTGGCCTCCGGAGGCCCTCAGAGTCCATCAGCTTCCCAGAACCCAGGGCTGCACCTGGTCAGCAAATGAGACCCAGGGAGTGGGGGGAACCCTGTTTTTCTTTGAGTCATAAAGCATGTGGATAAGCGTTTCTTCCCTTTAAATTCTATCCTGATTGCTAAAACTTCCATGAAAACAAAAGGCGAAAATTAGGTGTTGGAAAAATTTAGGGGGTAAAAAAATGAACACCAGCGGTTCATCAAATACTTACTTAGAGCCTTCGGGCACTGAGATTACAGACAGAATAACTTAGAATTCATTTTTCTGGCATAGAGTTGGTTGTTCTCAGCCTCCTGACCTGCTCCTGCCACCGCGAGGGTGTCATTGGTGGTGGCACCCTCCCAAGGCTGTGCCCACACCGCTGCTAGTGAGGGAGTAAGGGGGAACCCAGCAGTTCTTTCTCATAGACTGTTTCTCTACAAGTAGTTTCCCAAATTCACTTGCTGCATGAGTCAGTCATAATTTGGGTGGTTTTTTATTTTGTACACACTGGTGCCATAATTAGAGAATCAGTGATATAAAAAAAAAATTAAAGGTTGATGCCAATGCTGATAAGGAATTTTTTTTTCTCATTAAAGGTCACTAGATACATTTTTTTTTCCTAAAAGGAAAAATTCTAATTGTAATAAAGGTCAATCAGAAATAAGTTTTAGCTATTTTCTAAAAATTGGTATTGTACCACAACAATCCAAATTTGGATGTAACATTGTGCCACCAACTAACTGATGTTTAGCTGGATTACCTGAGTGGGTTCACGTCATTATTTAAGGGTGAATCCAACACTGTAGAAGAAATATTACTGATAAAAATATTTTTCCATTTTGAACAAATCTGTAAACTACCTTTGTTTATAGAAAAAAATGCTTGTAATAGTCACTATAATAATATTCAGTTATGGATAAAAATTTGTGAAAATAAATACTTTGGAATAAAGTAATGTGCCAAATCTAAGTGAAATTTAAAACTGCAGCTACACAGTAAAAAGTTTTAACATTTTCTTGAAAAACTTCATTCTGGGATCTAAATTCAGATACACAAAATGATCACAAAAGCCGGGGGCTGGGAAACTGGAAATACTCTGAAGTAGTAACAATCACCAAGCAAATATTTATTTTTGCTTCGGGGCCACACCCTGCAGTGCTCAGGAGCTATTTCCAGCCTGAGGCTTTGGGGTTGCTCCTGGCAGTGCTCAGGGGACCATGCAGTGTCAGGGATCAAACCTGGGCCTCCTGCCTGCTAGCCTGTTGCACCATCTCTCTGGCCCAAGAGCAGTTAGTTTCTTTTTGATTTTGGGTCACACATAACCAATGGAGTTCAGAGGCTACTCCTGTTCCAGTGCTCAGGGGTCTCCCGGGCAGTGCTTGGGACCCTGTGATGCCAAGGACTGGGTCCAGTCACCCTACACTGGGCCTGAGCCATCTCCTTATCTCCTGAACCACGAATTTAAAGCTAAAAATGTCAGAAAAGACAAGCAGGTGTAGGAAAAGACTAGTAGATCAATGATAATAGAATAAAAAATAGTCTCAATCACATTTATAATTTTATAAATGGCAAAGATGAAATGAAAAATCGGGGAGAACATATTTACAGTATCTTGAAGAAGGAATTTATATAACAAGTGAAAAAATTGAATGAAAACATAAAAGAGAAACCATTCCATAAATAGGATTTCATACCACACACACACACACAGAGGGTCTCCAAGTTGATATCTGTAGGCTACAGATAGAATTTTCAACACAGTTTCTTGTGAAGACTGACAAGCTATTTCCAAAATTCATAAATTCAAAGGCCCAAAGGTTAAAACAAACAAAAAAACTCTCCTTAAGTAAAAAGGGACCACATTTGACCCAGCGATACCACTCCTGGGAATATATCCCAGAGAGGCAAAAATGTGTAGCCGAAGTGACATCTGCACTTGTTTGTTCATTGCAGCACTCTTTACAGTAGCCAGAAACTGGAAGAGACCTGAGTGCCCAAGAACAGATGACTGGTTAAAGAAACTTTGGTACATCTACACAATGGAGTACTATGTAGCTCTTAGAAAAGATGAAGTCATGAAATTTACATACAAGTGGTACAATATGGAAAGTATCATGCTAAGCGAAATGAGTCAGAAAGAGAGGGATAGACATAGATTGCATTCATCTGGGGGATATAAAATAACAAAATATGAGATTAATACCCAAGAATAGCTGAGATCAACACCAGGAGGATTACTCCATAGCTTAGAGGCCAGCCGGGTATTCTAGGGGAAAGGACAGTTCAGATGGAGAAGGGAACACCAAATGGAGGGTGTTTGAAGGATCCTCCCAGGAGGGGAGATGCAGGTTGAAAGTAGACTGGACTGAACATGTTTGCCACTCAATGCCTCTTTTGCTGATCACAACACCCAAAAGGAGAGAGAGAACAAAAGGGAATGCCCTGCCACAGTGGCGGGGGGATATTATCCTGGTGGTGGAAAATGGGCACTGGTGGAGGGATGGGTATTTGATCATGGTATGACCAAAATCCAAGCACAAAAATTTGTAAATCTACAATTGTACCTCATGGTGTTTCACTAATAATAAAAAAATAATAATAATAAAAAGGGACAGTGAGATATAGCGATATAGCACAGGGTTGACATACAGCTTACTTGGGTTTGCCCCAGAAAGATGTGTTATGATTCCTAGAGAAATACCAGGAATAATCCCTGAGCACTGCTGGGTAGAACTCAAAAAAAATTAGTTATCAAAATATATTATTACATTTTAGTCACTCAGATGTGCAGAACTGGCAGAAAAAATGTCCAATGGAATCAAATTAAGAGGCTACAAACTGAACAGGGTCAATATAAACACAGAGGTAGACTTTGCTGTGCTGAAAGGTACACCCACCCCACCCCCTCCAAATCACCTGAAAACTTCATTGGGTTCTAAAAAGTTTTGGGGTCACACCCACCACTGCTCAGGGCTTACTCCTGACTTTTCACTCAGGAATCACTCCTGACACACTCAAGGGACCCTATGCGGTGCTGGGGATAGAACCTGGGTCAGCCATATGCAAGGCATATGCCCTACCCACTGTACTATTACTCTGGCCCCTCACCTGGAAACTTTAAAAGTCACATAACTAGCCCCACCCAAATATAGACAATAAAACATCTCCTAAGATGATGCCCTAGACACTGTCACTACAGAAACTCTGAAGACAGAACAACATCCACTATTCACTGGACAAAGGGAAGGTACCACTTGAACCCAACTTTGAATCTATGGATGAACCTACCCCTTTTCTGCATGGCTGGTGGGAAAAGAACCTCGCTCTTCCGAAGAATGACCTTGTATTCAGTGACCTGGGCTTCCTCTAGGGCCTCTGTGGAAGACCAGGTCTGCAAAGAGCCACGTGTCATCCAAGCAGGGCTCACCTGTACAGCGTCAGCTGAGAAGGAAGCAAGAGATGGGTATCTGGGATCTGGTCAAACGTGGTTCAACACTGGTGCCAGGCCTGGGTGGGGGTAAAGGGACGAAGTGGCCCCAGCTCGGTCATGGTCATCCTTAGCATACAGTCTGACAAACTCTAATGCAAGACAAGGTCACTCTGTGAGGAAGTGAAACAACATGAGACCACACCTTTGTGAACGCACATAGAACCTGCATGAGGCCACAGGTCCAGACCCTCTTTCACTCAGCCTCCTCACTGGTGTCAATTTCTGTCTTGACGTCCTGCATTTCACTGCATGATCACTGCAGATTTTATGCCTTCTTTTCTTGCAAAAAAAAAAAAATGGGGTGCGCTCATTATGTGAGTCGTTAAACCTGTGCCTATGCTACTTAAAAATAACGTGCAATGATTATTCAGTGAAATTCGTGCAATGATTATTCAGTGAAATTCAATAGTCAGCCCTCCTGCGTAGGATTACATTAAAATATCCATTCAAGCGCTTGCCCCTCCTTTCAGGAAACCACCCAAAAGTGAATCAGTCTCTGAACTCTCCCTGACCTGACAAAACACACTCAACTCCTAACCCGCTTACAAGGGAGTACCCAAGTTCCCTAAAGTGGGGGTCCTTGTGTGTGACCTCCGCGCAGTAAGCTTCCAAACCAACTTGTTCAAACACAGGAGTGTTCCTGGGCTTGCTGACTGAAGCTTCCGTCACCATTTTAGCATTTCAGAGTAAAGGGAAACAGGCCAATGGTTAAACTACGAATGAAATTCCCACATGGGGTAAGATGAACTCATGCACATAACCTTCAAACAGGGAGAGAAGAACAATATCCTTCTCTGAGGTTTGCCAAGTGCCTTGAGGCTGTTGGAAATAAGGCAAGATTTAAGGTCAATTTCAAAGCAAGATCAGCAAATAAGTCTAAATTTTTCTGTTTACTTTCTGATCTGCTTGATAACTTGAGCATTGGGAAGAGGTGTTGTAAGGAGAAAGCATACCCAGGACAGTAAACTGTCTTTTCAATTAACAAAAATTGAGGTTATCACTGATAGGGCATGATTCTCACCTGAATCTGCAGTGCATATATTTCAAAACTCTTAGTGGATGTTTGCAACCACAGATAGTACTAAACCTATCCATGTTGCATTCCTATGATAAAAGTTTTATTGTAAATTAGGCACAGTAAGATTAACAGCACAACAAAAAGTCAGAAAATTATGATCGACTATAAACATACAATCGTAAGTACCAAATTATCTTTCTGTGCATAGTATTTTTTTTTATTTGGGGTGGAGGGGACACACCCTACAGTGCTCAGGGCTTATTACTGAGTCTACATTCTGGAATCACTCCTGGCTGGGCTCCAGGGGACTATATAAGATTCTGGGATACAACCCAGGAAGATTATGTGCAAGACAAGCGCTTAATCCAGAATCCAGTGACAACTGCCCCATTACCCCGATCGCCTCTAGTGCCTTCTGCTGATGCCATTCAGCCTTATTTTGTCCCCCCCCCACAACACTGATATATTTTTTTTTAAAGTTCAAAACAAATTGCAGTGTGTGTGTGGCATTCCTGGCGCAATGGCTAGGCACAGGACCGACAAGACAGCAGGATTTGTTATCACTATAATTATTGTTTAGGAAGCACAGGGACAGAGCCAGAGAGAAAAAAAAACACTGAGTTTTTAAAACAGGTGGTCTCTTCTCCAACACATGAGGCAGGCTTCCAAACCACTGTGTCCTTGGGTGTTAGCCTCATGATATTTTATGTTCCACAAATAGGTGCAATCATTTTATGTCCTCCCTCTCTCTCTGACTCATTTCATTTAGCATGCTACTCTCCACCTCCATCCACTTATAAGCAAATTTTATGACTTCATCTTTTCTAACAGCCGCATAGTATGTATTGCATTGTGTTCAATCACTGAAACTCAATGACTGAAACTTTCGTAGCTATATCTCACGGAGATTCGATTAAAAAAAGAAAATAAAACACTCAGGGTGGGAGAAGCACCCCAGTCCGGCCTCCAGGAGTGAAACACTCATCCCCCGCCTTTGAAAAGCAGGATTCTGACAGTTCATGCTCCTGCCCCAGGAGGGGGGGCGGGGTCCTCCTCGCTGCGACCCCCGCCCCGCCGCCAGCTCGCCCGGTCTCAGTCGGTTCTCAGAACACGCTCCATCACCTGGTTCCCAGGAACTCAGATTGCGCAGTGGTCTCGTCATCATCGACCAGGGCTCGCAGACGCGGGCGACAGGGCAGGACCCGACCTCTGACCCCCACCCCCTGCCTCCCCTGTCCCCCCTCCGCCCCTCCCCGGACCCCGCGCCCCACTTGGCCAGACTCATTTTCATAATCCTCTCAGGCCCCTGACCTAGAAGGGGGCCTGATCATATAAGGAAAATACTGCGGGCTCACGTAGGGGGGGCTGCAGAGGGGCCCGGGAGAGTCCCTACGCTGCCATTCCCGGGTCCAACGATACCGCCCGCCGCCAGGCCCGAGCGTCGGTCTGCGCAGGCGCGACCTCCTGAGCGAGGGCTTTAGCCAATCCGCCCGCGCCCCGCCCGCCCACTCACCCAACTTCCGGCCCCGCCCACCCCCGCCAGGCCACGCCCTCTCTCAGGCCACGCCCGCCCGCAAAGAGCTGCGGCCTCTTCTGTGCTTCTTGGCCCTGGCAACAAAGTCTCCAACAAATCTTTCTGCGGGGCCAACTACGCGCCGACGGGGGCGAGGGGCTGCGTTAGCTCTGACGAGACCCAGGAGAGTCGGGGGGAAATGGTTCTCTCGGGCTCAGGGTAGCTTTGCCCGGGGAGCTCAGGCCCCCCGGGTGCCCCCAGCCCCGGGGGATGACGCGGGAGGGCGCAGCATCCTGCTTGCAGAACGGGCCTCGCTGGCCTGCGACGCGCCGCGCGGGGCGCGGGCGGATCTGGGTGAAAGTGCAGGGGTGTGGCGTCCAGGGCGCCGCCCACCCCACTTTTAAGGTCCCGTGTGGGCCGGCGGCCCCTTGACAGACGCGGGACGAAGGCCGAGCTTGCGCGTCGTGTTGCCCCACCATGGCCCTGCTCCGAGGTGAGCGCCGCAGCCTCTGCTCCCCCCGGGCCCCTCTCGGCCCTCCTGCGGCTGGCCAGGCCGCGCCCGGGGGCCCAGCAGCCGCGAGACCGGCCCGAGCAGAACCCCCAGCTGGCAGGCTCTGGACGCCGCGCTCGAGCCCGCGGTCCACCTGCTGTTGACCTTGAAGGGCATTGCCCTGCGCGCAGGACTGACCCTCTCCCCACGCCAGTCGAACTGGACGGCGGCCGGACAGGGGTGCGGGGGGGGGGGGTGTGCACCCCCGCCGCGCGCCCCGCTGCCCCGGACTGGCCTCCGGGCGGGTTCCGGCTTGCAGGGAGCGACTCCTGATCTGTCCTGGGGTCGCCTGGGCATTGCTGCTCCGCACGACCCGCTCCCGCAGTGCCCAGTGCCCGGCGCTCGGAAGCCCAGCCTCGTGCCTTGATGCCTTTCCGTTCCTGTCTGGCTGCAGTGGCTCTCGGAAGGCGCAGTCTTCACGCCCATAAGTTTTATGAGGATTAGCTGTTTGATGTGAACTCCTAGTCTCTCTCTCTCTCTCTCTCACCCAGGCCCACGGCCGGTGGGATTTTCGTTTTTAAGGGACAAGCCCCACCAGCCGCCCCCCAAGTTTATAAAGGAGCCGAGAGGGTTGCACCCAGCGCGCACTGCTCAGCGCTGCGGGGTTGCGAGGGATTTGACTCCTGGAACTGCAATGGAGTAGCTGCAGATTTTCTTCTCTCGCCTGCCTGAAATTCTTTTGCAGCGGCGGAGCTAACTAAATGAGTGTTTATTTCATCGAAAATAAGAGTGCAGGAAAGACAGCGCGATTGCTGTTTCTCTTCTGGTTTTCTAGTTGAAAGTCACATCAGCCTTTGGCTTGTTTGGGTCACCGAGTTCTCTCTGGCATTTTCACTGTTTTCGGTCTTGGGAAATCTTTACTTTCTGAATTTGTAGCCTTTTGAAATTTGCACGCTTTTGGTTGGTATTTAAGAAAGTGTTTCGGTTTTAGGCCTTTAATAATATCAGATCAAATAAGTATTGACATAGTATGTAGTAGTGGGGTGGGGGGGCTTGTCTATAGTCTTTTTATCTGTACATCCAGATTCTTTTAAAAACTACTGTGTGATCGCATTTCTCCTAATCAGAATTATTATTTTGTTAGCTCTGCTCAGGCTGTATGGTCTAGGAGCTCCAAGTAGGCCAAAGGTGAAGGAATGGGAGCATTCTCGCTTTTGTTTTCATACTAATACACTGTCACCAAATTCTCATCTCTGTCCACTGGTATTGCTCCGTTAAATAGAAAATACACCCTTTTATACCATGAAATGACAGAAGAGAAACTCATCAGAGAAAATTTATGGAGAGACAGAAGGTTAGCCAGCTTTTGGTAAGCCTGTTGGCTATCTGAATCATTTCCAATCAAGGATGAAGTTTGTATTTTTTCCCTTTGAAGATATTTTGTTTAATTTGCCAAATGGTGTGTTAAAATTTATTCTTTGGGTTCGATTTCCACGCCCCTCTTGGCAAGCCCGGCAGGCTATCAAGAGTATCTCGCCCTCGAGGCAAGGCCTGGCAAGCTACCCCTGACTATTCAATATGCCAAACACTGTAACAAGAAGTCTCAAAATGGAGCCCACTGGAGCAAATCCATGAAAAATGGGAGGACAGTGTTTGTGTTTCAGGGTTACTCTGATTAAATCATGAACAGATCTGGAAATGTTTCAGCTATTCACACTTTTTTCTCTACACAGTCTGCTCAATTATGTTTCAGTCCTTGAAGTTTTCTCCCTATTTGTTTATTTATTTTGTCTGTTGAGCCACAACCTGTGGTGCGCAGGGCATATTCTTAGCTCTGTTCTCAAGGATCACTCCTGGCAGTACAAATGGGGCTGTATAGGGTGCTGGGGATTCCGTGGGTGGCCACATAGGAGGCAAGTGTCCTACCCACTGTACTCTCTCTCCGGCCCCCTTCTTTTCTTTTTTTTTAAAAAAAAAAGTTTTAGATTGGCTTGCTCTTCAAGCTGCGTTCTCACTTGCTTTTTTCTATGATAGCACAGCGGGTAGGGCGTCTGCCTTGCACGCAGCCAACATGGCCGACCCAGTTCGATTCCTCCGCCCCTCTCGGAGAGCCCGGCAAGCTACCGAGAGTATTCGATATGCCAGACACAGTAACAACAAAGTCTCCAATGGAGACGTTACTGGGCCCGCTCAATCGACGATCAACGGGAGGGCCTTTACTTACTTTACTTACTTTGTTTACTTATCTCCACTCTGGAGAAGCCTGTGTTCTCTCTTGAACACTTGCTTCTCTCTTTCTCTCCCCTCCCATCTTTCTAAATAAGTTTTAATAAAAAACTATCTTGCTTCACAAGAATAATAATTTTTAAAATAATAATAATAAAATTTTAAGTAGTTTTAGGTTTCATAGAAAGACTCAGCAGAAAGTATTCCCAAGCCAAAAGAAGTGGGGAATGAGGTGGAGAGAAAACATTCCCATATGTATCCCTCATCTTACACACACCCCCCCCCAGGAAAAACCCTACTATTAATAATGTGCACTAGTGTGATTCATCTGTCACAATTGCTGTGGGACACAGTGACAATTGTTAACTGATATTATCTTACTGTTCTCAGGTTTTGAAGTGTACTGCCCTCCCGTTGTTCATCGATTTGCTCGAGCGGGCCCAGTAACGTCTCCATTGTGAGACTTCTTGTTACTGTGTTTGGCATATTGAATACTCTTGGTAGCTTGCCAGGCTCTCCATGAGGGGCGGAGGAATCGAACCCAGCTCGGTCGGGCTGGCTGCGCGCAAGGCAAATGCCCTACCGCTGTGCTCTCACTCCAGCCAGAGGAAACTCTGGTGGAGGTCCGTAGCGGTCCTGACGTGCTTTTGAAATGTAAAGTGATATTTATCTCCCAGTCCAGCATCCTCGGGAGTAGTGTAAACATGCACATACAGGCGTCTCTGTGGACATAAGTCTTCAGCTCTTATGGCTGAATGTAAAGGAAGGGGGTTGCTGAATCATATGTGTAGAATAATGTTACATTTTCATTTTGTAAGACACTGAAAAAATGGTTTTCAATGTGACTATTGCATTTTTTTTCATACCCACCCCCAATGAATGAATGATAATTTCTGTTGCATTATAACCTTACCAACATTTGGTGCTCTCTGAGTTTTGGGGTTTTGGGTTAGTTTTGGTATTTGGGCCACACCTGGCAGTGCTCAGGGATTGCTCCTGACTCTGCGCCCAGGTATCACTTCTGAGACCAGTGCTCAGGAGACTGCATAGGATAGCGGGGATCCAACCCAGGTCTGCCACGTGCAAGGCAAAGGCCCTACCCACTGTACAGTCTTGCCAGCCCCTGAGTTCTGTGATTTAGCCATTCTAATAGTTACGTAGTGTCATCTGATTGCTATCTGAATTTGCAGTTCCTAATGCTATCTGATAGCATTGGGGGTGGTCTGCTTTTAGTGTGGGGGCCACACCTAGCAGTGCTCTTGGACTATTTCCAGCTCTGCTGAAGGGTAGGTCTTGGTTCTGGTTATTTGATTTTGGGGACCACACCCAGTGGTGCTCAGGGATTACTCCTGGCCCTGCACTCAGGGATCATTCCTGATGGCTTGGGGGACCATATAGGTTGTTAGGGATTGAACCTGCCTCAGCTAAGTTCAAGACAAATGCCCCACACTCTGTTTTGTCTCTCCAACTCCTGAAGGGTAGGTCATGGAAGTGATCCTGGAGGTGTGGTGGGAGAAGCCGTGTGGTGCTGGGAACTGAATAGAGGTCTCCTTGGTGCAAAGCATGTGCTCTAGCCATTGAGCTTTCTCTCTGGCCCCTGAGCATCCTTTCATATGACTATTTGACATCTGTGTGTCATCTCTGATGAGGTATCTTTTCAGACTTTTGTCGTATGTAGTGGTGCTTAGGGCTTATTCCTGGCTCTGTGCTTAAGGGGTCACTCCTTGCAGGAAGGACTCAGGGGACCAAATATGGTTCTGGGGATCAAACCAGGGTCAGCTTTGTGCCAGGCAAGAACTGGCACAAACACAGTACTACCTCTCTAGGCCATTTGTTCAGATTTTCTTTTGACCATTTTTTTAAACCTTGTTTAAAATTTGAGTTTTAAAATTTGTTGTCTATTTAGGATAATTATTTTAAAAATACTTTCTTCCAGCCAGTGACTTTTCATTATTTTAATAGAGTGTTTTGCAAAGCCAGAATTCTTAATTTTAAAGAAGTTCCAGGGGCTGGAGCGATAGCACAGCAGGTAGGAGGTTTGCCTTGCACGCAGCCAACATGGCCAACACAGGTTCGATTCCCAGCATCCCATATGGTCCCCCGAGCACCGCCAGGAGCAATTCCTGAGTGCATGAGCCAGGAGTAACCCCTGAGAATTGCTGGGTGTGACCCAAAAAGCAAAAAAAAAAGTTTCATATGTCAGTTTTTTATGTTGTAGATCATGCTTTGATATTATATATGAAAACTTGTCACAAGGTCTAAGGTCACCTAGATTTTATCCTATGGGTTTTTCTATAAGTTTGATAACTCTGCACTGTATATTAACACTTATGGTGTAGTTTGAGTTGGCTTGTATGAAAGGATATCAAGGTCTGTGTCTCGAGTCTTTTCTAGTTGTTCCAGAACCTTATGTTGAAAGGACTCTTGTATCTCTGTTGAATCACTTTTGCACCATTGCCAGACATGAGGTCTTGCCCCTGGTTTTTATCTTTATTTATTGCCCTTCAAGTTGGATAATTTTGTTATTGGCTAATTTTGTTCTTCCTTCCTTCCTTCCTTCCTTCCTTCCTTCCTTCCTTTCTTTCTTTCTTTCTTTCTTTCTTTCTTTCTCGCACTCTCTCTGTTTCCTATTGGGCATTATAGTTTGCAATACAGGTGCTGAAATGTGATCATGTTTGTCCCTTTGCCTCCATTCAGCATTCAGTTCTTGTACAGAGAGATCATTGGCAATCATGATAGTGGTCCCTTCTCTATACCAGCTGCCCTCTCTAGCACCACTTGTGGCGAGCTTCCAACCTTCCCACCGTGAACCATTCCTCTGTCCCTTGTTTCTGCTGTCATTGGGTATTAGGAGCTTAAATCTTTTGTCCTCCAAGCTTTACTTTCTTCTTTTTTTTTTCCCCGTGGGGAGGTGGAAAGTGGTTGGGGAGGGCCTCCCAAGTAGCCCTTAGGAGGCCTGGAAGGAAGGGTGCCCTCCTGATTCTCCACCAGCTTGGCCAGAGGCTCACTGTGATTGCTTAAGGATATTGTGCCTCTGGGGCCCTACAGCTCTATGGATCTTGTGGATTCCAGCAGTACTTGAAGGCTGTGCCCGGAGGTGCTCATGTGGTGCCAGATATCAGACTAGAGCCAGCTACCTGGAAGGCATACACTTTAATTCCCACGCTGCCTCTCTGGCCCCTCAATTCTGAATTCAATCTCAGCCTTAACTGAGATGCTTGTTGCCAACTCTGTGTATGCCTAGTTAGGGCGTTGGGTGGATACTTAGGGTTCATGTGTAAGATGCAGACTCCCGCCTAGTGGTGCTCTGCTCTCCTAGTTTCTGCTTCTCCTTGCATTAACCGGTTGCATAGAACTCCATCCTTGGATTCTTCAAGCCAGTGAGACTGAGTTCCCAAGTTCTAGCCTCTCCCATGCAGTGTGGACAGCTGGCTGGCCTTCAAGCTAGGGGCTATAAATAAGTCAGACGCTCATCCTCATGTTCTTCTCCCATATCTGTCTGGCTTCGTTCTCTGAGGCATTCTGGCCGTCATTCTTTATATTGTCATCGCTCTAGGCTGGAGAAGTAGATAGGAACATGCTAGGCTAGACCAGTAGCCAGACTTCTCCTTAGGAAAAGAGCATGAGATAAAGAGCAATGAAAGAAGTCAGCTCTGTAAAAATGGGCAGAGACCATTAACATCTATTGGTATACAATGAAATACTATGCAGCTGTTAGAAAGGGTGAAGTCATGAAATTTGCAAACAAGTGGTTCTACATGGAAAGTATCATGCTAAGTGAAATGAGTCAGAAAGAGAGGGACAGACGTAGAAAGTCTGCACTCATCTGGGGAATATAAAGTAACAGAATGGGAGATGAGCACCTAAGAATAGTTGAGATAAGTACCAGGAGGTCTGCTCCACGGCTTGGAAGTTGGCAGCAGATGCCGGGGCGGGGGAGGGGGGGGGGAAAGGCAGCTCAGATAGAGAAGGGAACACCACGTAAAGGGTATTTGGAGGACTCGCTCAGGATGCGAGATGCGTGCTGAAAGTAGACTATAGACCAAACACCAAACACGATGGCCACTCAATACCTCTGTTGCAAACCACAACACCCTAAAGAAAAGAGAGAGCAAAAGGGAATGCCCTGCCACAGAGGTGGGGCAGGATGGGGGCGATAGGGTGGGGGTTGGGAGGGTTACTGGGATCATTGGAAGTGGAGAATGGGCACTGGTGGAGGGATGGGTGCTCTATCATTGTATAACTGAATCCCAAGCATGAAAGTTTGTAAGTCTACAACTGTACCTCATGGTGTTTCACTAAAAAAAATTAAAATAAATAAAAAGAACATCTAGAGGGCATTCGCAAGGGGGAAGGCATCTTGGCACAGAATAACCCATCTTGTCAGATGAAATGGTATACCAAGTCACTATTTAAGTAGGAACAAAGAAAGAGGCTGAGATGTTCCTTCGCTGGGTTTAATATGTTCCGCCGTGAAGAGATCAGTAAGTATGAACGGAAGGATTATGTTTAAGGATGAAGTGTGGTCTCCATTTCAGTTCAGTGTCCCATAGTTTTTGGTTTTGGTTTTGTTTTTCCTTTAATGAGGAGGGGGAAGGATGTTGGCTAACCTGCTGTGCTTGGGGCTTACTCCTGGCCCTGTGCTCACAGATCACTCCTGGAAGTGCTCAGGGGACCGTAAGGTGCCCTAGATCGAACCCAAGTTGGCTGCATGCAAGGCAAGTGCCTTACCAACTTTACTATCTCTCCGGCCTCAGTTCTCAGTTTTTAGAGAAGATGTGGAAATATGTGCTGAGATTGCTCAGGTATATCCACAGCGCAGCCTGTGAAGTCTTGACTCAGTGAGTGTCCCTATATGGCAAAATTTACCCGGCAGAGTCTTGGGGGAGATTAGATTCCTGGAAAGTGATCAAATGCCTAGCATGTAGTAGTGCCTAATGTTAGTGTGATCTGACTTTGCCTCTGCATGCAGTTCACACCCGTGCTCGTTTTGCTTGGTAAAATCAGTGGGTGCCACTTGTCCACAGAGGTCATGCGTTTGACTAATAACAGTTGAGGGCCTGGTGGCAGGAGAATGCCTTTATTTATTTATTTTTTTATTAGTGAAACGCTGGAGCGATAGCACAGCGGTAGGGCGTTTGCCTTGCACGCAGCCAACATGGCCGACCCGAGTTCGATTCCTCCGCCCCTCTCGGAGAGCCCGGCAAGCTACCGAGAGTATTCGATATGCCAGACACAGTAACAACAAAGTCTCCAATGGAGACGTTACTGGGCCCGCTCGAGCAAATCGATGAACAACGGGAGGGCTTTTACTTTACTTTTTACTTTAGTGAAACACCATGAGGTACAGTTGTAGACTTACAAATTTTTGTGCTTGGGTTTCAGTTATACAATGATCAAGTACCCATCCCTCTACCAGTGCCCATTTTCCACCACCACGGGTCCCAGTATCCCTCCCACCCCCCATCCCCCCCAGGAGGATGCCTTTAAAAGGAATTTTATTTTTGACATGTGCAAAGTCACCAGTTGAACTAATAATGCAAATGTGCCATCTGGGTTTGTATTAGGAAGCTTACAGCTAATCCCCTGGATCCTTGGCAATCGATTAAATGCGGAAAATCGTTATATCCTCAGTGACACCTTATAATAGCATATTAGCAAATACGAATGTCTTTAGAGGACACGACCTGAATTACGGTCAGATCAAAAACTATTAAAAGGATGCTTTTTATTTAGTTGAGAAAGAGCCATTAAGTCGAGTGATTTTACAGGTTAACCGGTTCTGGATACTAGAAGGACTCCCAGTGGCCCATCCTGTGCATTTTACTGTAGCTCAAGTTGTTTGCAACTTGTTGTTTGAGCCTCCTTTTGACTCCTGTAGGAAAACTCAAGTTTTGCCATGGAGATTAGGGAGTGTCTGGTCTCAGGCGACAGGAAGGAATCTCCTACAACTAGGCAGAGTGTAAGTGCCTGACATACTCATACACTGTGTTTCCACTGCAAACCAATGCTGCTCACACTTGGAGAAAGCAAGAATCGGTCTAGCCAGAGGAATTTACCTGGTGGTGTACATACATGTGGTCATTGAGCAAACCGAGAATTCCTGAGACTGCCTCTGTGCATGTGACCTATTCCAGGTATATGTCACAGCAAAAAAAAACAAACAAAAAGTTTTTCAGTTTCCCTAAGTGAAAATTGTTCCTGACACTGAGGGTTCACCCTGGAATTTCTGAGAGCAGCTCGGGGCTGCAGCCTCATCGGTAATGACTCTCAACCCTCCCTGCCATAGGTGTGTTCATCGTGGCCGCCAAGCGGACACCCTTTGGAGCTTATGGAGGTCTCCTGAAGGACTTCTCGGCGACGGACCTGACTGAATTCGCTGCCAAGGCTGCCTTGTCCGCCGGCAAAGTTTCGCCAGAAACCATCGACAGCGTCATCGTTGGCAATGTCATGCAGGTCACTGGGGCAAAGGGGAGGCAGGGGCTTACTCCACCGCTTGCCTCTCATCCCTTTCGAACTGGACTTCCCCCCAGCAAGTCTCGTGGTGAACAGCTGTCAAAGATATTTACAGAGTGCATCAGCCCCAGCCCAGGGGACGTGCCCTGAGATGCCGAGGCCCTGCCCCCCTTCCTCCCAGCACTTTGAGAGTGGGTAAAGGCTTGCAAAGATGGGCACCGTTGTCCAGCTATGGACCCATGACTCAGGTTTTGTTTCTACCAACAACTGAATCTGGGGCCAGGCCCGGCAGCAGAGTATGTGCACTCACATCGCCCATGTAAAGTCCGGGTTCAGTCACTGCACAGGGGGACGGGGGCTGGCTTTGTTTGCAAGTGTGGAGGACCGACTCATGTGGAGGACAGAATAAGCCCTTGTATGGATGTACCGCATTTTTCTTTTCCACTGTTCAGCTGACAGTCTTTCAGGGTAGTTGCCGTGTTTGGGCTACTACGGTGCTGCTCTAGGAGGGGTATTTCATCTGAGCTGTGGAATGCTTCTCCACTTGTCTGATTCTTTGTTTTGTTTGATTCAGGTGAGGGCGGTCATGCCCAGGAAACCCTGTGATGCCAGGTCGCCTCTGTGCAAAGCATGAACTCTGTCCTTTGAGCTCTTGCTCAGACCCTAATTCTTATATTTTTTTTCTAGCAACCTTTTATAGTTTTCAGAATGTGTGGGGGTGTTTTTAATTCTTTTTATTAAATTTATTGCTGTTCTCATTTTTTTCTGAAGTTTCTGGGAATGGAATAGATTGCTTGTTTCACTTATGAAATGTTAATTGCAAGTGTATAGGAACATGGGAGCTGGAGTGATAGCACAGCGGGTAGGGCGTTTGCCTTGCACACGGCCGACCTGTCGACCCAGGTTCGATTCCTCTGCCCCTCTTGGAGAGCCCAGCAAGCTACTGAGAGGATCTCGCCTGCATGGCAATGCCTGGGAAGCTCCCCATGACATATTTGCTATGCCAAACACAGTAACAAGTCTCACAATGGAGACGTTACTGGGACTGCTTGAGCAAATCGATGAACAACGGGGGGACAGTGCTACAGGAACATGATTTTTATTTATTATTTTGTGTCCTGAAACCTTGTTGGGGTCAATCATCCTGATAGTCTTAGTGGTTTCCTGATGGTGTTTTGTAATAACATCATGTCATCTGGGAGGGCCTAGCATCCTCTTCTCCAACCTAGATGTTATTATTTCTTTTTCTTTCCTAAATGCCCTGGATCAACCCTCTTTTATTTAATAAAAGTGGCAAAAAATAGATATTCTTGTCACGTTCATGATACTATCGGGCAAGCACCCAGATTTTCACCATAAACTATGTCAATTCTGGGTGATTTGTAAAGTGCTCCTTTATCAGGTTGAGGGCAGGGGCATCCTTTCCAAATTTGTTGATTTTTTTTTTTCTTTTTGGGTCACACCTGGTGATGCACAGGGGTTACTCCTGGCTCTGCACTCAGGAATTACTCCTGGCGGTGCTCAGGGGACCATATGGGATGCTGGGGATTAAACCCGGCTAGACTGCATGCAAGGCAAATGCCTCTCCACTGTACTATCACTTAGGTCCCAGTATATCTGTTTATTTAAGGACATTTTATATCATCAACATTAAACTCACAACACCTCCTTCTAATGCCTGATGAAGTGTATCTCACACATCTTCTTCATGAGCCACATTACAACTTTCTTCTACTCGGGGACAATAAAAAATATTTAGCATCATACTTGGGGACATTTAAACAGGAAAAGCACAAAAATGCGGGGGAAAAAATTCATACAACCCTAAATAGACTACAAGGATGCTTGTTTCCTCCTCAGCTAGGAAAGTACAAGGGCAACTAGAATTTCCTCCGCTCTGCAGGTCTGCAAATAAGCACAGTAGCTCTGCACATACTGGCTTTGGGATCACAAGTACATTTTCCCAAGGAAGTAACCGTGTAGATATGGAATCCACAAGTACCCATGATCACCTGTACTTTGAACTTCCAGGTTTGTCTAATGCCAGTGGGATGGTACCTTCACCCCCAGCCAGCAGGCGTCAGTCACAGAGGACAAGACAGATAAACACAGAAGACAGACAAACACACGGGGACTGTCCAGGCTTCGGTGTTGCACAGGCAGGCCATTTGTTCGTACCACATTGCTCACTGTTTAAGTTGGCAGAGACATTGGCATACAACAGGCAGGTGAAGAGCCAAGGCTGGGTGTTTCCCAGAGTTAATCAGCGGGCACCCTTTTGAGTATGAAGGGACAGTTTTCCATTTTGTTTTTGCCTATGTTGTCCCTCCATCTAAGACCCTAAATGGTCTATTCTTTCCTGCTATATTATTCCTTATTGGGTATATATTTGCCAAACCTTTGCATTCTTTTTTTTTCTTAACTCTATCTCAGTGAGTCAAAAACCTTTGCATTCTAATACCTAAATTATCTTACCCGGGAACATATCGCATCCTTGGGTTTTTTTAATTAGAGGAACATGAATTCCCACCCATATTTATGTCCTGCTGCCTATAAAGTTCTGGCTGTTAAAGATGCTTCATGTTTTCCGTTCTAGAAAAATCCTAATTTCGGAAGATAGCTTTGTAATAGGAAATAATTAGGAACTTTGCAGGGGCGGGTTCTGGGTAGAGTTTATGAATGTTAGAGCAGCAGAAGGGGAACATCTTTCCTCTCCCTTCTGTTCCAGAATGCTTCAGATGCTGCCAACCTGGCCAGGCACGCCGGGGTGCACGTGGGGGTCCCAGAGAGACCCCAAAGAGAAACCCTAGCAGGTTTATGAACTTTAAGCCTCTTTTAACACATGCGAAAGCTTCCAGCGTTTTGTTTTTATTTGCTTGATGATTTTTTTTGTTCTTGTTTTGGGGTCATACCCGGCTGTGTTCAGGGCTTATTCCTGGCTCTGCACTCAGGGATCACTCCTGGGCATATGAATGGAACCTTATGGGTCCTAAAGATGAAACCCAGCTCCAGGTCAGAGGGCTGCAAGGCAAACCCCCTGCCTGCTGTACTATCACTCCAGTAGGAGCACAGCAAAAAAAAGTTACACAGAAACCCACTAAGCTCAATGAGCAAAAACAATAGCACAGAAGGCTCAACCAGCACAAACCAGCTCCGGATGAAATCCGGAGAGTAACTTTACTAACACTGTTGTGAGATATTTGCTTGAGCGGACCCAGTAACATTTTGAGACTTGTTACTGTGTTTGACGTATCATATACGTCACAGGTAGCTTGCCAGGCTTTGCCGTGCAGGCGAGATACTCTTGGTAGCTTGCCAGGCTCTCAGAGAGAGATGGAGATGTGGGCTGGAGTGATAGTGTAGCAGGTAGGGCATTTGCCTTGCAAGCATCTAACATGGCCGACCTGGGTTCGATTCCTCTGCCCTTTTCGGAGAGCCCGGCAAGCTACCGAGAGTATCTCGCCCGCACGGCAAAGCCTGGCAAGCTACCCGTGATGGATTCGATATTCCAAACACAGTAATAATTGTCACAGTGGAGACATTACTGGGCCCGCTCAAGCAAATTGATGAACAACAGGACAGTGACAGTGACAGTTGTGAGATATATATTGTAACAAGCAATATAAAATAAATTATTTTGTGTCTGCTAAGGAGTAGGCCTGGGGGGCGGGGGGTTGGAACTGGGGACAATAGATCACACAGGTGGTGGGATTGGTGTTGGAACACTGAATACCTGAAAATTCTTTTATGAATAACTTTGTAAATCACAGTGTTTAATCTAAAAAAACACACACGCACAAACCTCCTAACCCTAAACCTCATAGTCTTCGATCACCTCAAATCACTGTTTCATTTAATAAAATACTTCTTTTACCAAACCAGACACTTACTATTAAATAAAGTGACTCCAAAACAAAAAGTCATAGCAAAAGAATCACCAAAGACCAAAGGCCTTTGTGATGCATTAATAATTTTATCCCAGTCAATAAATAAAACATTCAGTGGATTGATGTAATGCTGAGCTCCTCCCCTCTCTATCTCCGAACTCCTGGCCTAGGGAGGTGCCGAATTTGTTGGATTTTAATTTGACAAATGCTGAGTCTATACAAGAGTTCAAAGTAGTACAATGAAAACTCTCAAAAGGTTTTACCTTGAGCAACCAGTTCTATTTTTTTTAATTTTTTAATTTTTATTAGTGAGACACCATGAGGTACAGTTGTAGACATACAAATTTTGTGCTTGGGTTTCAATTATACAATGATCAAATACCCATCCCCCACCAGTGCCCATTTCCCACCACCACGGATCCCAGTATCCCTCCCACCCCCCATCCCCCCATCCCACCCTGCCTCTGTGGCAGGACATTCCCTTTTGGAGCAGCCAGTTCTTTGTATTTTATAAAGTTTGCATTAACACTCTAATAAGAGCTGTTATGACTTTTAAAACAAACAAACAAACAAACAAACAGCTTTCATCTCTCCTGGACCAGCATTTGTTTCACCAGGGAAATGGACTGAGACGCAGAATCTCAACCGGTCTTAGACCAACCTTTGAGAGTCTGTATTTTCACAGGATGTGTTGAGTTTGATCTCATCCTGCTCTGACTTTCCCGACCCCTCTGTTTATTTCTCCCCTCCCCAGTTAGCGGGTCTTGGTCTCAGCTCTGTTGTAGTGACCACGATGTTTTTAGAAGACTCTCTGGGTCCCATGCCCCCGGGCCCCCCACCCCCAACCTTCCTGGTCTGGTTGGTGGGGTTGGAGCTGGGCTGGGAAGTGTCCCTACGCCTCCTGTTAGAGCCTCAGCTAGTTCCTCTGTTGAGGAACATTGAGTCTCTGAGAAAATCCATTCCCACCTGGGGGGGGGGGGGGGGACACGCACCCAGCTGTGCTCAGGGATCACTTCAGGCAGTGCTTGGGGACCTGGGGTGGTGCTAGGTATCCAGCTGAACTTGGCCGCATGCAAGGCAAGCGCCTTAACCGCCCGTGCTATCTCTCTGGCCTCTCTAACCTATTCTGTTTAAAAATTGACTCTGGTTATTTAAAAATTGAATCACAAGAATTTCTAACATGTAATTTAAAAATCGATTGGCATGGGGGGCTGGAGAGATAGCACAGCGGGTAGGGCGTTTGCCTTGCACGTGGCTGACCCAGTTTTGATTCCCAGCATCCCATATGGTCCCCTGAGCACCGCCAGGAGTAACTCCTGAGTGCATTGCCAGGTGTGACCCAAAAAGCAAAAAAAAAAAAAAAAAAAAAAAAAAAATTTGATTGGCATCATTGTAGTTTGACCTAATTTTTTTGTTTGTTGTTTTGTTTGGGGGCCATACCTGGCAGTGCTCAAGGGTTACTCCTGGCTCTGTGCTCAGGAATTACTGCTGGCAGTGCTGGGAGACTGTTGGTGGACCAGGGATTGAACCTCAGGCCAGCCACGTGCAAGGCAAGCTTCCTACCTGCTATGCTCCAGCCCCGAACCAGATCCTCAGCATATGTAGAGAGTTTTTACCCGGGATCCATACAGTTGGTTGGTTTGTTCAGAATGCCAACATTCCCATCAGTGTGGACCCTTTCTTAATTCCTGGGTTCATAGAGGAACGTCTTTCCTTTTCCTTCTGTTCCAGAGCTCTTCAGATGCTGCCTACCTGGCCAGGCACGTCGGGCTGCGCGTGGGGGTCCCCACAGAGACCCCCGCTCTCACCCTCAATAGGCTCTGTGGCTCGGGCTTCCAGTCCATCGTGAGCGGGTGTCAGGTAAGGACCTTCCCTCTCATCTCATCACCTCTGAAAATATGATAGCAGTTATTAGAGGACATGAACAGCCTCTTAAATAATACTGTAGCTTTAAAATATATATAATATTTATTAAGAGAGGTTCTTCTTGGAAAAACATTAACAAGAAGATTTGGTTTTGTATGGGCCACAGCCAACAGTACTTGAGGGACCATATGTGGCATCGGGGATCAAAACTGGGTTGACGTGTGCAAAACAAAGGTTGACCCCTGGACTATTGTGACAGCCCAGAAAAGCTTCTTGAAGTCAATGGTGGGCTTTGAAGAAATTTTAGTTAATGATTCATCCTCTCACAGAGAGATGTAGCTGGTTCATAGAAAGTAGAAGGAGGGTTTCTGGGTGGGATGGAGAGACAATTGGAGGAGGGGGTCGCTATTCAGTAGGTTTGGGGTTTGGTTCAGGAAGATAAAGGCTTCTGGATATGGATGATGGTACGTTGTACAGTGATATAAGGGAACTTGGCTAAAGTGGCACATTTTAAGTCACATTTTGTCACAATTTATTTTTCATTTTGGGGCCACACTCAGAGATGCTTGGGGGTTATTCCCAGTTCTGTGCTTGCGGGTAACTCCCAAGAACTCAAAGGAAGACTCTGAAATTCATTTTTGTCAGCATCTTCCTTTACTCGCCACATAAAAGACAAAGACACGTTAGAATGTGTCATGCACTGCCTTCACATCGTTTTTTAATTTTTATTTTAATTTTTATTTTTTGGTCGTGGTGTGTCTTAAATATTGGCCCTGATTTTCTTTTTTTTTTTTTTAATGCATACAGGTTTTTTTTTTTTTCAATTTAGTTTTGCTTGATGGGCCATACCTGGCGATGCTCAGGGGTTACTCCTGGCTCTGCACTCCAGGAATCACGCCTGGTGGTACTCAGGGGACCATATGGGATACTGGGAATCAAACCCGGGTCGACTGCATACAAGGCAAACTCCCTACCTACTGTGCTACTCTTCTGACCCTGATTTTCTTAGGCTTGCCATCAGTTGAAAAAACTGGGGAAAAAATGAAATGGATTGTTTTGATGGACCCTCTGAGTTAACCCAGTTCTTGCCAATGGGGTCTCCATCAGATTGCTCCATCCATATGCTAATTTTTGCCTGTTTTGGGATTGGAGAGCCCCCACCAGTGCTCAGTGATACTGGGACCTGAGATGCGGGTCAGCCTGTTGGTCCTGGGTTGTACCCAGCATCCAGCCAAACCTGATGGGGGAAGCCATACAGTCCTGGGGATCAAACTCGGGGCTTGTGCCTTTAAGGCCTCTGCTCTGCCTGCGGAGTCACCTCCCCGGTCCTTGCAGTCTCTCCTTTGGTTGTTATTTGGTGGCCGTACCCAGCAGTGCTCAGGGCTTGCCCCTGGCTCTGTGCTCAGGGAACCCTGTGCAGTCCTGGGGGTCGAATCTAGGTCTGTTGCATCCGAGCAAGTCACTTTAGTCCCCGTACTATCTCTCCAGCTCAAGCTGTACATGACTGCCAGATAGTTACACATTTCCTGTTTTTCAAGATTTGTCCTGAATTGGGAATTAACAACCCCTTCCCAGAATGAAGCTAGGATTGGCAACATTTGAAGTGCTTAGTTTTTCCCCTGGGAATCAGCAGGGGAAATTATATCAGCACTTATATCAGCTATACTTTAGCTGTAGTTACTTTCCAGACACTGTGAGCTGCAGTTGAATTTATGTTAAGTTACTGCTTCCTACACCCTTTTAGTTAGATACCTCCAGACACCTCGAAAGGATCTTGTTTTTGCTGTGATTTTCTTTTAAACAGGAAATCTGTGTTAAAGACGCGGAAGTCGTGCTGTGTGGCGGGACCGAAAGCATGAGCCAGGCCCCCTACTGTGTCAGAAACGTGCGTTTCGGAACCAAGTTTGGATCGGATCTCCAGGTTGGAACCCCTCAAGCTTGGAAAATCACTTCTCATACGATTATATACTCCTGGTCGTAATCCCATTTCGGAGAGGGATCTCTGCTTTAAAACCAGTTAGAAACGTATACACTGTCTCAGAACTCTTTCTGTGCTTGCTACTTTGGACATTTTAATTCACATAAAATTAGGCTACCTCAGCACACCCCTGGTGTGTGTGTAACTGAACGCTTCGGGGGATGGTGTAAGGGAAGAAGTGGATCTAGAAGTTAGTCAAAGGTTAAATTAGTTTCTAAGGAAGAGCTGGTTAGCTGGATGATTTGATCAGTACAGTGATTTAAATGAGGTTGTTGTTGTTGTTGTTTGCCATACCCAGTGATGCTCAGGGTTTACTCCTGACTCTGCACTCAGGAATTACTCCTGATGGTGCTCAGGCATCCTTAATGCCAGGAAGCGAACCCACATTGGCCGCATGCAAGGCAAGCACTTTACCCGCTGTACTATCTCTCTAGCTCCTTATCTGGGTTTTATTCCTATTTTCATTGAGTAGATCTGTCTCGGGCTGGAGCTATAGCACAGTGGGTGGGGCTTTGCCTTGCACGCGGCTGACCCGGGTTCGATTCCTCTGCCCCTCTCGGAGAGCCCATAAAGCGACTGAGAGTATCCCGCCTGCACGGCAGAGCCTGGCGAGCTAACGATGATGTATTGGATATGCCAAAAGACAGTAACAGCAGTCTCATAATGGAGATGTTAGCCCGCTCGAACAAATCTATGTACAACGGGAGGACAGTGCTACAGTACAAACAGATCCCTCTCAGGAAACATTCTCTTTGCAAGTAGATGATAGGCTACCTGCCAGTCAGCCGGAAAATTGCCCGCATCCCTCTAAGAAAGTCCACAAACTTCTCAAGGGAAAGGGCATACACGTGGCATGTTGTGTAAGCACGGCATTTTCCACTAGCAGGGATTGGTTTTACATGCTTCACCCAGGAGCTCACCTGGCCACTATATTCAACACTGAGAAGGATGCAATTTAGGAAATATGAGAAGGAATTCTAGGCGCCCATACATTTTTTGCAAGCCTTTGGAGAAATGGGGCACTGGCCCAAGGGCTGACCAAGTGGTCTGCACTGGGGAGCTGGAGAGTGCAGAGCACCTGCTATGCAGAGAGCCTGGTCCGGGTTCTTTTCAACCTCCCTGCAATGGGCAGGACCAGCCACTCCAGCATCCCAGCCGCCCAGGCTTGAAAGCCGCAGAGTCGCTGCCTCCCCACGGAGCAACCCCGACAAATGACACTGGAGGACACTGCACAGGATGTCACCAGGGGGATGGGGTGGGGAGCTTCAGTAGTTATCTCGGGTTCACATCTGCGTTATCACCTGCACACCAAACCCCACTGGCTCTCCTGAGAACCACCCCCCAAGCCCACTGAGAGGGGAATAAGTTCACCTTGGATTGCCATGTTGGATGCTTTTAAAAATAGGCCACAACTAAATCTCCAGGCCGCATGGTGGCAGAGGCCCCGGGCTGTCCCTCCCTGGGTCCCCACTCACCCAGCAGACTGGCTGTCACGCCCACAATTTGTCCCCCGGTTGCCATCTTAGCACACCAACAGCCCTGGCCCAGAGACTCCCAGTTGAATCCCAAAATGCATTAGTGCCATACAGAGATGTCTCTGGAACCCAACCATTTACAATCTAGAAATTTACATTTACAATTGAGGCCGTGCGAGCTCTCGTGATATTCAGAATGAGCAATGGAAAATAAATTATCTAGCGTCTGCCCCTGGCAGGTAGGCTGAAGGATGGTGGAAAGTTTCGAGCAAAACATAATGCCCAAAACTGGAGATAGAGGATTGGGGAAACTGTCTGCCATAGAGGCAGGGTGAAGATTGGAATGTGGGTGATGGAAAATGTGCACTGGAGGAGGGATGGGTGCTCCATCATTGTATGACTGAGTCTCAAACATGAAAGTTTTGTAACTGTATCTCATGGTGATACAATTTTTTTTTAAAAAAAAAGGAAAAAGATAAATAAGCCACATAGGAATCATTGTCACCAGCCTGTCGGTGCCGCTCAGAAAACCCCATCTTACTCTGGGTTCTTGGAACTGGGGTTTAGCAACGGGAGGAAGTGATAGCGCCCGACTCTCCTGGTCACACTGTGGCTGTCCCTTAACAGCTGGAGGACACCCTGTGGGCAGGCCTGACGGATCAGCATGTGAAGCTGCCCATGGGCATCACCGCCGAGAACCTGGCCGCGCAGCACAAGATCAGCCGGGAGGACTGTGACAAGTACGCCCTGCAGTCTCAGCAGCGCTGGAAGGCGGGTCAGTGTCACCGCGCACCCAGGGTCAGCGGGAAGCCTTTACCACCTAAGATGACGGTGACCACGCAGCCGTCTGAACGAGGCCTCTGGGTTTGGGGGGTTTTGTTTCGTATCTCTTTGTAACTGGAACATTCTGGAGGGGAGCCACATCCAGCGGTGCTCAGGGATCACTCCTGGTGGTGCTCAGGGGACCATTGGGGATGCCGGGGGTTGAACCCAGGTCAGCCATGTGCAAGGCAAGCGCCTTCCCCAGGGCCCTTATACATATTTTTTAATTCTACATTTTTAAAACAGCATCTTTCTTATTCTTTTGTTTTTAGATGATCAGATTGAAAAGTTATCTGAGAATTGAAATTATATTAATCAGTACTACTTCTAAAGGTTTTTTTTTTTTTTTGGTGAGGGAGAGAGGGTGGGACCACACCTGGCAGTGCTCAGAAGGTGGGACCACACCCGGCGATGCTCAGGGCTTCTGGCTCTGCACTCAGGAATTACTCCTGGCAGTACTCGGGGGACCATATGGGATGCCGGGGATAGAACCCAGGTCGGCTGTGTGTAAGGCAAACACCCTACCCACTATACTATCTCTCCAGCCCCAGGGTGTTTTTTTTAATGGACCCCCTCTGGACACCTGGAATGTGTCCCAGATGGGGCCTGTGGTCAGTGAAACCCACTGACCACAGGCTTTGGAACATTCCCTCCAGGACAGCTGGCTCGCTGGGGCCGCTGGACAGGGGGGCTGCCCTGAGGCTGGGCATAGTCCCGGGGAAGAGGTACACTCTGGAAAGACCCACAGGGAGAGGCTGACAGCAGTACAGCAGATTGGACATTTGCCTGACACACGGCTGACCCAGGTTCTATCCCTGGAACCCCAAATGGTCCCCCAAGCCCATCAAGAATAAACCCTGGGTCCAGAGTCAGGATTAAGCCCTGAGCAACACCAGATGGAGCCCAAAAACCAAAAGAGAGAAAAAAAAGAAAAATCATGGTTAAAGAAATGTTTCTGTAAGGGTGCTACACACATCTGCATAGATGCGTGCCTGTTTGAATGTCTCCACCAGGCAAAGTGGGTGATATCAGTACCAGTGGCTCGTACGAAAGTCGACCCCAAGGAAAGGCAGAACAGAAGTTCAGCCGAAGCACCCATGATATTCAAAATGAGCAATGGACAATAAATGATCTAGCAGCTGCCCCTGGCAGGCAGGCTTGAATGGTGGTGGGGAAATTCAGACAAAACATAATGCCCAAAATGAGAGAGAGAGTATTGGGGAAATTGCCTGCCACGGAGGCAGGGGTAAGGTTGGGTTGGTGGGGATGTTATACTGGAGACATTGGTGGTGGAAAGTGTGCACTGGTGGAGGGATGGGTGTTCGATCATGATATGGCTGAATCTCGAACGTGAAAGCTTTGTAACTGTATCTCATGGTGATTCAACTAAAAAAAAAGTAATGTGGAGTTCATGCCCCAATCAATCAGCTTAATCAATGACTGAATAAATAGCAATACTCCTACATTAAAAAAAAAAGTTCAACCTAAGAGGGTCGTGTTGGATTTTGTTCCTCGGTTCTCCCCGCCTGGTCCTTACGCTGCCCTTTCTCCTCAGCTAACGATGCCGGCTACTTTAATGAGGAGATGGCACCCATCGAGGTGAAGACGAGGAAGGGGAAACAGACCATGCAAGTGGACGAGCACGCACGGCCCCAGACGACCCTGGAGCAGCTCAACAAACTCCCTCCTGTCTTCAAGAAGGACGGGACGGTCACAGCGGGCAACGCCTCGGTAGGTGGCACCACACGGGAGCTCCAGATCTCCCTGGCAGCAGTGACCACTGCCCCAGGCCAGCCCTGAGTGACTGAGCCTGCCAGGGCTGTTCTCCATCCATCAACTCCGAACAAAATATTTTATCCCTTCGAGGACACACTGCCCGTTGCTTCATCTTTCCCAGACATCAGAGGGCAAACTCTCTGCTTTCTTACTTCATCTTTCGTTTCTTCCTTATGCCTCGGATTCTGCCGTCTTATTTTATGGCTCAATGCATTTTGAAAAAGATATATACAAACATTAGGGCCTAGAGCAATAATGCAGCTGGGAGGACACTTGCCATGCATACCGCCGGCCCAGGTTCAATCCCCGGCATCCCATACTTCTGAATGCAAAGCCAGGAATAACCCCTGAGCACAGCTGGGTGCTCAAAAAAAAAATCTCCTTCATGGACCAAAGAGATAGGACAGAAGGTAGGGTACTTGCACTTTTTTTTGGCATGTGGCCGATGCAGATTTAATCCCCAGCATCCCATATGGTCCCCCAAACCCACCAGGAGTGATCCCTAAGAATAAAGCCAGGCTAAGCCCTGAGCACAGTTGGGTATGGCCTCCAAATCAAAATAAACAAAATCTCCTTCAGGGAGGAGAGATAATACAGGGGTAGAGTGCATGTCTTGCACACACCTGACCCGGGATCAATCCCTGACATCCCATATGGTGCCCCTGAGCCCTGCAGGACTGAGCCCTGAGCACCATGGAGTGTGGCCCCCCCAAACAACAAACCCCTCAATTCCCCGTAGGACACCAGAGCACCACTGGTGGCGTGTGTGGTGCCCGCGCGGCTGCCTGCCCGCTCTCCCAACAGCAGGCTCGGTGCCGCGCCACCTCATGAGACCCGCTGGGTTGGGGAACCAGAGCCCTACAGCCCTGGGGAATTGTCCGGTTTTGTTCCAGGGGGTGTCGGATGGTGCTGGAGCCCTCATCATCGCTAGCGAAGATGCTGTGAAGAAGCACAACTTCACCCCGCTGGCCCGCGTGGTGGGCCACTTTGTTTCTGGCTGCGACCCCTCCATCATGGGTATTGGTGAGTTCACAGTGAAACAAGCCACTTGTGACCCAGTTCCATGGGAGAGTCTGGGCGGTTGGTTTCTGAAGCATCAGGCTCCTCGAGGCCACTCTTGGAGGAAAGGAGATGCAGTCAGCCACTGATAACTGTGACTGCACTCAGCCACTGATAACTGTGACTGCAACAGCCACTGATTCCTGTAACTGCAATCAGCCACTAATGACTATGACTGCAATCAGCCACTGATTCCTGTGACTGCAATAGCCACTGATTCCTGTGACTGCAATCAGTCACTGATAACTGTGACTGCAATCAGTCACTGGTTCCTGTGACTGCAATCAGCCACTCACTACTGTGACTATAATCAGCTGTACCTCAGTGCCAGCACAGACTACACGTGGCTCACGCTTGCATGTAGCTAAATGGACACAAACTGCAGCACCATGTCAGCGTGATAAACAGCCAGACTGTGCAAAGCACAGCGGGAAAGCCATCCTGTAAATTCCCGAGGGCCCCTTTGAGACAGCTCCAATTAACTGGCAAAAAAATAATTGCGGAGACCCAAGATTTCTTTTTCCCCACTGGAAATGGGAGAATGTGGGAGTGGGGGTGGAAGATGAATATTCCCGCTGGGTCTGCCCGTGTCTCATTTCACGTCCCCCCACCCCAGTGCGGGAGGGAGCCTCGCTTGTGAATGAGAAAACTGTGGTGGAGGGAGGCTGTGGCAGAGACCTCAGGGGAGTAAATGCGGGGCAGGGTGGGGACCTGATTCTCTGGCCGCCACTCTTGTCCCTGCTGGGTCAGGCAGTGTGTGCTCATGGTCTCCGCTGCGGGAAGGGATGGGGGTAGGGAGACCTAGCAGGAAAATGAAGCAAATACCGCGTCTCGGCGGACACAGTGCTGACCGACAGCCCCTGGTACATCCTGCAGACAGGGATCATCTTGTCTCAGGATATGCAGATTTGAAGGAAACCAAAAGTGCCTGTTAGCTGGAGGTGCTCCTGGGAACCACGGGTGCCGCTAAATTTTCATAATTCCTTTTTGCAGGGGAACCAATTAGATACCTTACCAACATAAAACTGGTACCCAGCGGCTTTGATTGATGCCACCTGTACCCCCACAGCCCCAAGGGAAAGCCTGTCCCGAATATAGATCCAGACGGGAGAGGGCTGGGATTTCCTGGTAGCTTAGCGAGGCCCCGTGTGCGGACTAACTGGTTTAGGAGGTGGCAAGGGATTGGTTGAGCAGCTGCTGAATGGCCACCTCGGGGGACTTCAGTGTCTGGGTGCCGCTCACAGGACCCCTCGCCGAATGCCCTGACACAGGAGCAGTCAGGGGTGTGCTTCATCCGTAGGGGTACGGAGGAAAGCCTTTCCTCTCTCTGCTGCAGATTATGCCATTTTATGCAGATTTTTCTGTGTCTACTCTTAGGCAGGTGTTCTTGCAGCAAAACACGCCTTCAGTGCTGGAGAGGGGCCTGACATGGAGAGTCTAACACGGCTGTGTACTGTTAGGGCCCTGATCACTCTGCTGTCCGCAGAGTGGCTCCAAGCCCCACGTGAGCATTTAAACTCACCTGGGAGCCAACAGTCCACTACAGGACTTTGTGTCAGTCAGTGGCTTCTGGGCAGGGAGTGTGGTATTTTTCAGCGTTCTCGCTTAGTTCCGACAAGCAGTCAGGTTTGTCGGAGGGAATCAAGTTTTGACGTTTCTTCCATTTCTCCTCTCTGAGTAGCTTCTGAGACCCTGGCAGGGTGAGGGGCTCATGCGGATGAAAAGTGCGACAACACAGCCAGCAATTGGCATCACCCCACACATATAGGGCTTGTAAAGTGTCCAGGGACTGAACGCTGGCGTTGTACAATGTGTCTCTGCTGGTGTCGGCCGAACTACCTTCTAGGCACCAAGTGTCCCCAGGGGCAGGCGTTTCCTTGGCCCTCGTGGCTTGTCTGTCCTTTATAGTAGGAGGTTACTCTCCGGTAAAGAGGCAGCACAAGTTCGTGCGCCCATGGTGTCCAGGCTCCTAGAAGCTGCCCCTCGGTCGTGCAGTCATCTGTGGGGAGCAATCCTTAGACCCGTCTCATTAAGGAGGAGAAACTTGGAGTCTGGGGACATGGCTTAGAGAGAACACATGCTTTCCATCAAAGCCCCTGGAATTGAGCCCTGCCCTGCACGGGTCCCTCAGCACCAGTGGGCGTGGCCCCCAAGGAGGAGGATTTGGGACCCGAGAGCTAGTTTGGCATCCAGGAAGCAGCAGCATGTGCCTGGTTCCTTTGATTGCCCAGCACTGCCGGCCCCAGTGGCTTTGCACCTGCAATCCCTCACACCCAGCCCAGGGCCGAGCATTGCCGGATGTGACTATTGGGCTCCCTCAGCACCATTTGGGAGGCCATCCACCCCGGAAGAGAAATTTATACATAAAAGATGATTTTTTTGTGTGTGTGTTCCTGCTTAGGTCCTGTCTCTGCTATCTCTGGGGCCTTGAACAAAGCAGGGCTGAGTCTTAAGGACATGGATTTGGTGGAGGTAAGAGCTCCCTGTTACCCAGCATGGAAAACTGCCAGCAGCCACGGCACACACAGCTCTTCTTGGCTGTCCTGGATTTGCACAATTCGCCTTTCTAAGCGGGTGACACCGTCCTCACCATGATCCTCATTACATTTCTTGCGTTGTTGCTTTCTCGTACCTGATTAAAATGCTTTACGTTTAAATAGTTAAAGCATACTTCTACTAAAGTACGTATAGGTTTAGAAATCCTTAAAAGCCTCTTAGGACTTTATATTTCTGACTATTGATTGTGCTTGTTGAACACTCTATAAAAGGGGGAAAATAACTTGTTTTTTTTAATAAAGTAAAAGCAGACTTAAAAATTTTCATAATGGGAGTTGGAGAGATAGTACAGCAGGTAGGGAACTTGCCTTATTTGCCTTATTTGCAGCCAACCCAGATTTGATCCCTGGCATCCCATATGGTTCCCTGCTGCACCGCCAGCAGTGATTCCTGAGTGCAGAGCCAGGAGTAACCCCTGAGCATCTCTGGGTATGCCCCCACCCCAAGAAAAAATTTAAGTAGTAGAAAACAATGTCTAGCACCAAATCTAAGAGTTTCTTGCCTTTGCCCAAGTTGAGGCACCCCTCTGCAATGCCACCTCCAAATGTATTACTTTGGGCTTTTATTCTATTGGCATGGCTTGATTTGGGATGCACCCACGATAATTGTTAGAATTGGATTCTTAAATATGTTGGTAAAGGGTTTGGGGGGCTTTTCCTAGGGGGTGCTTCCATCAGTGTTCTGGGATCTCTCCTGGCAGTGCTCAGGGTTTGGTGTGGTGCCAGGATTTGAACCTGGGTCAGCTTTGGGCCAGGCAAGCACCTTAATCTCTCCTCTGGTCTGAGTGATTGCTTTTTTTTTAAATGTTTAAAACAGGGCGGTCTTAGGGGCCAAAGTGATAGTACAGCAGGTAGAGTGTTTGCCTTGCACACGGCCGACCCGGGTTCAATCCCCAGCTTCCCATATGGTGCCCGTCCATGGCCATGTTCTTATAGTTAAGGATTATGGCACTTGGCCTGGACCATTTCGATGCCAGGGTAGCTCACAGCTTGCCCTGGGTTCATCCAGTCCCTCATTGGGATCCTGCACTGGAACTTAGGGCAACCGAGGCATAAGTCAAGTCAATATGGTTGCCCAGGAGTAAATATTATTTTGGAGTCAGTTAACTCCCATGTTATTTAGCATAGCATCAATTTTCTTCCTGTGTCTATACAAAAAGGACAGTTCTAAATAAGCCACACAAATGACATAAAGGAAAGAGAAAAGCAATATAGGATTATTAGCGATTGGTAGAATTGGGTGTCCCTCAGGGGCACTGTTGTAGGAGTGGCTCAATAAACCTTAAGCTCCCTGTGAAAGGAGCAAGGACAACCCAATGTTACCTAACAGTCTCCTAAGCACCAAGCACCTCCCGGAGTTAATTCCTGAGTGCGGAGCCAAAAGTAACCCCCGAGCATCACTGGATGTGACCCAAAAAGCAAATAAATAAATAAAACAAAACACAAAGCAATCTTAAGTATTTTGCACAATTAAAAGAAGGGATAGAGGTGAAGTTACATAAAGATGTACCATATACCATCCTGTGTTTGGGGAGGATTTTAACATCGTTGGTAATTCTGCACATCTGCATGACAGTGGGAAGTCATGGCTGCAACTGGGCCATAGACTCAGTGACTGGAGAGGCGCCTTTTCACTGCACGGGTGGGAGCCCTAGCCGGCGCATTCCCAGCCAGGCGAGCACTGACTCAGACGAGTGCTTCCCCTCGGTCTCTCTGTCCCTCCTCTGCAGGAAGCTCCCCAAAGGCCCTGGACCGTGGGTCCATCCCTGCGTTATCCAGTGGGCTCCACTAAACTCTGACTAGAGCTTGCACATTTAACGCAATTGCAATACATCAGCTGTGCAAAGCCATTCATAAACCGCTACAATACTTGAGACAAAGCTCTCCACTACCTTGGGATATTTTGACCATCACAAGGTAGTTTTTTTTCCCCCGGGGTTCATAAACCAAATTCCCACCACATCCTGGGATGTTTTGGTACCTTCTGGAGTTGGACATAATAGGAATGATCCTAAGGACAAATAAGAACCCTCTTGGGATATCACAAACCGCAGCTGGGAAGGGCAGTAGGTGGGGTGCTGACCCCAGCTCTGCAAAGGTTAAGGCTCTTCCAGCAGGCATTCTCTATAAAGTCCCCTAGCCTAGAGGATATGAAAGGCAGCCACTCAGGAGCCAGCCTTGTCTGTCACCTCAACACAATAGACCCTTAGCTGGGCTGCATCTCAGCATCTATCTCCTGGACCTTAGTTTTTTGTCACTTTCCTCTTAGAACTGTGGCCCATAGTAATAGTGGGGATGGAGGTGGCAGTCATAGCAACTCTTTATTGAATACTCACTGCGTGCCAAGTGTTAATCCCCATGATGTTCATTTCACTGTAAGTTCTTAGAGGATATGACAGTCACATTCTGGCATCAAGGGGCAAACGTGATGGTCCAGCGGGTTGGCCACTTGCCTTGCACATAGCCAACTTGGATTCAATCCCCTGGACTCCATATGGTCCCCCGAGCCCCGCCAGGAGGGATCCCTGATGGCAGAGCCAGGAGTAAGCCCTCAGCACTGCTGGGAGTGACCCCCAAACAAACAAAACCTGTGTCGCTGAGAACACGGAGAGAGCAGAGTTAGCCAGGATTTGAACTAACCATCCAGCTGAAAGCCCCCGGCCTTTCTCCGCTTCCCCTCTGCTTCATGGTGTCCACTCATGGTATCACTGAAGCTTTTTTCCCCTCAAAGGGATGTAATTAGGCTAAAGTAGCTATTTAATACGCATACCCGTTTCCAAGCTGATTTTTTAAAGGATTGCACACAAAACAACCTTGCAACATAAAATTTAAATGGGTGCCTGCACACACACACACACACACACTCTCTCTCTCTCTCTCTCTCACACACACACACACACACACACACACACACACACACACACACACAGAGTCCTTCCCCAAACCCAGCAAAGTTTGCTGTCAGCAGACCCGGATAGACGCCTCTCAGTCTTTTGTGTCTCCGTCCCTGTTTCTGTTTTCAAGGTGAATGAAGCGTTTGCTCCCCAATACTTGGCAGTGCAGAAGACGCTGGGACTTGACCCCGGTAAAACCAACGTGAATGGTGGCGCCATCGCCTTGGGCCACCCCCTGGGAGGCTCCGGATCCAGAATCATGGCACACCTGGTCCATGAGTTAAGGTACTCGCCGGCATGCGGGATGGCGTTTCCCGGGGTGCCCTTCCGCCAGCCCCGCACCGCCGCTGGCTGTGGGCAGGTTCCCAGGACGCTCCTTCTAGCCGCCCACTCTCGGCCTGGGCACTCACCATGCCCAGTGCAGCCACCCAGCTGCACCTTCGCCGAGGGGGTCCCTTTCAAAAGAAAACATGCCGAGAGGCTTCTGGTCCAGCTGCTGTCGTTGAAGACCCCACGCGCGCGGGCCCCAGGTCTGGGAGTCTCTGCAGGTACTGAGCTCCCGTGTGGGCAGCAGAGCGCCTCCTCCTGGTCCTGTCCGGGAACTGCAGGTGAAACCAAGCGCGCAGGGCCCTGGACCACACCGCCTCCAGGCCGATGCTCAGGACCCGTCTCTGGCTGATGGAGCCGAACGGTGGAACCATGCACAGGAGGGTCCCATGTGTCCCGCCCTCCTGGCACCCCCTAAGCTGCCCCCGCCCTGGGTCTCAGCCTGTTTCCTGTTAGATGATCCAGCGTTTCCCACCCCCCACCACCACTCATCTTTCCTTTTTCTGTGCTTCGAAAGCAGTGTGGAGGGTCCTGGGTGTGGGGAGACATGGAGAAGAGGAGCTGGATGAGAAAGATGGATGAGAAGGGGCATAAGCGACCGCCGGCCCCCCTCCCCCACCCGGCCCCTCCCCCTCGGCTGGCTCACCCACTACCACCCCTCGCTTGATTCCACAGGCGCCGAGGTGGCAAGTATGCAGTGGGGTCAGCCTGCATCGGAGGTGGCCAGGGCATCGCGGTCATCATCGAGCGCACGGCCTGAGGGGCACTAGCCGCAGAGTCCCCGCAGAAGACTGGGCACCTTCAGTGCACTCGGCCGGCCAGCCCTCCCCACCCCACCCCGGTCAGGCATCGAGCTTGGTGCGGAGTGGCGGGACAGACAAGCAGCATCCCCGGGTACCAGCCCTTGCCAGGGTCGCCTCCACACTTGGCACCCAAAGGGGAGGACTGTCTGCGTGTGTCCAAGTGGAGGAGGCCTGGACCTGGAGGAGGGGCCGTTTCCTGCCACCCAACCACCACTGATGCCTTAGGGAATGGAATAAACATCGCCTTAACTTGAGCTGATCTTGTCCTGTCATTTAATTGCATGTCCACCCTGATAAAATGCAGAATAAAATCGCCATCATAAACCTTTTTTTTTGAGGGGGGTGTGGGGGGCTATGCCCAGTGGTACTCTGACATGACTCCTGGTTCTGTGCTCCAGGGTCACTCCTGGCAGTGCTCAGGCATCACATGTGGTGTCTGGGAATGAAACCAGGCCCAGCTGCGTGCAGGGTGAGTGTGTGAGCCCCTCACCTACTTTCTCACCTGCATCATAACCTTTTTTTTTTTAATTGTGTCACAGAAGTGGGGCCTTGCACGTGGCCAGCCCTGCTGAGCTGGGTTTGATTCCTCCGCCCCTCTCGGAGAGCCCAGCAAGCTACCGAGAGTATCTCTCCCGCATGGCAAAGCCTGGCAAGCTCCCCATGACGTATTCGATATGCCAGACATAGTAAAAACAAGTCTCACAATGAAGACGTTACTGGGCCCGCTTGAGCAACTTGATGAACAACGGGAGGACAGTGCTACAGAGTCACAGTGAGATACACAGAAGGTTGTTCATAATTGGGTTTCAGTCATACAGTGTTCCAACACCCATCCCTTCACCAGTGTACATTTCCCACCACTGGTGCCCCCATTTTCCCTCCCGCCTCCCCACCCCCCATCATAACTCTTTTCAAAGGACCAGTTGACAGTTCCCTTGTAGTGTGTTGCCTTTGCTGTTGCTAGTGTTACCAGAACACTTTTCCCATAAAACAGAAACTCCCTCTAAATGCTTTCTCCATGCCCCCTAACTCTCTCTCTCTCTCTTCTCTCTCTCTCTCTCTCTCTCAGACACACACGCACACACCACACACCGTCTTTCCATCTCTCTAGATTTGATCCCTCTCAGGCCCTCACCTCAGTGGGATCACGTGGTACTTGCCCTGTTGTGGCCAGCTCCCTCTCTCCCCGCTCACCATGTCCTCCCCGGCTCTGCAGTTCCTGATGTTCTCTGTCAAGCTGAGTTAGACTCTGGCCTGAGCTTGATTCTGCATGTCCCTGCAACCTGCGGACACTGGCAGGTGTTCACTTCAGCAAGCATGCCTCACGCTGCTATGGACATGTGATATGGCGAGTGTATCACTACCTGGGGGCTTCAGGGGAGTGGTGATGTATCTCTGGAAGTGGGTTGCTGGGTCATGTCACAGTTCTGTTGGTGGCATTCTGAGAAGCCCCCACACTGCCAGCCACTGATTGCTGTGGAAGTAGCTACACGTCTGGCTACCTGTGCCCCCTGATGTGCCTGGGTGTTTAAGAGAAGGATCAGAAAGCAGAGGACGTTATCATGGTGTTTACAACCTGGTACTGAAAAAAAAAATCAGTACAAAGCAATAGAGTAGCTCTGGGCAATTTGCTTTGAACCTAACTAAATACGTAAGAGTTTTGAAAGTCAGAAACAGCTCCTTTCCCCTAGGATGGGCATAGAATTTGTCACACCAAACAGCTCCCTTTGGAAAGGTTAAAGGGGATTCTTAAGCACACCACCTTGGGGCTAGAGCAATAGCACAGTGGGGAGGGCATTTGCCTTATACATGACCGACCTGGATTCGATTCCCAGCATCCCACATGGTCCCCTGAGCACCGCCAGGAGTAATTCCTGAGTGCAAAAGCCAGGAGTAACCTCTGTGCATCGCAGGGTGTGACCCCAAAATGAAAAAAAAAAGCACCACCTTAGCTGGAACTATCCTCAGCAAACTGGCACATAGGGGCACCCAGTTTTTAAGGTCATGTACACTGCAATGACTCCTTAGTTCAAGAGATCAAATACTGTTGTCTGTGGATTGTGGGATTTAAAGATTAGGCAGTCACTGTTTAGTCACTGATTAGGCAGACCTCACTGGGTGCTTAACCGATAAATGCGTGCTTGGAGGAGGTGACTGTCAGCCATGCAGGTGGGAGGAGCAGGAGAAACAGCCTCAGGTGTTTGGCTCCAGGCAGGAGTACCTGGGGTGAGCTCAGAAAACTAGCAGGAGGCAGGGAGGCCCTAGTGGCTGAGGCCAGGGAGCAAGATGGAGCCAGGGGAAAGGACTTGCCCCCAAGCTCAGTGGGGAGCCAGGTAGAGGAAAGACAGTATGTCACTTCCATTTAATGGTGCCTCTGCCTGATACATGGACCAGCGCTACTGTGGGACGAAGCCAGATGCTCTCACGGCTGGAGACAGCCGTAGCGGAAGCAGATGTCGGTTTCGAACATTTCTGCACACAACACCGTGGGTTTCCTGTGGATGGGCTGTACCCGGCAGAGGAGTGCTGGGGGTTCACTTGAGCAGCTGGGCAGGGAAAGCTGCTGGTGAGGTGGGCGTAGAGGGCTTCTGTGGTTCAGACATGCCAGCAGAGATGCCAATGAACACTCAGGAAGTTTCTGCAGGTGTTTGGGATGAAGCTAGAGCTAAGAGTCAAGGACATCTGAAGGGGAGTTTGTCACAAATTAGTGGCTGATTTTGTTTGTTTGGCAATGCCGGGGATCCACGTCCACACCTGGGGCATTTGAGGCAGACCCTCTGCCACTCAGCCACATCCGTAACCTCTTAGGTATTTATGTTTGTGATTAAATAGGTTTTCTTGTGTGTGTCTCGCCCGCATGGCAAAACCTGGCAAGCTACCCGTGATGTACTCAATATGCCAAACACAGTAATAAGTCTCACAATATTACTGGACCCACTCGAGCAAAGCGATGAACAACGGGAGGATAGTGATAGTGATAGTGTGTGTCTAGAGAGGAAAAAATCGAAATGCCTGTAATACATAAAACCAAATTTACTGAGGCTGTCTTTAAGGAGAATGGCCCAATTCTTTTCTTTGCTTTTTGGATCACACCGGTAATGCTCAGGGGTTACTCCTGGCTCATGCACTCAGAAATTACTCCTGACAGTGCTCGGGAGACCAGATGGGATGCTGGGAATCGAACCTGGGTCAGCCGCATGCAAGACAAAAGCCCTACCCGCTGTACTATCACTTCAGGAATAGTACAATTCTTTTACAGGTTTTTCACTACACAAAATATCATCTTCTCTTACCTGCATGAGAGAAGTTTAGGAATTTCTTACTAAATTGAATAAAATGTGGGATGGGGCATACATTTGTAAATGGTCCCCTAAAAATGTATCTGCAAATCAATAATTTAAATAATACTCATGAAGCAAATAGTTTCCTTCTTTCCCTTTCTCATCTCAGTTTCCCATCTGTTTTTCTTTCGTGTGAATCTGACCTTTTTGTAAATTGAACCGATTCACAATGGAAAGCCAGCTTGCACGAAGCTCAGGACACGCTTTCTCCACTAGGGGGCGCCACCACCCCACGCTGTCTCAGCGCTGTTCCGGTCGCTCAAAGATGATCTTGCAGTCAAGTTGACCTGACTTCTGGTCCTCCCTTCCTGAATATAACAAAGGGACCAGAAAGAAACCTAGGATGCCAACAAAACTGCTCCTATAAAGCCCTCCGGCTGAGGAGCCTTTAACTTTGTGGTGAGGAGGGGCTAGTTATGTGGCTTTTTAGAAATTTCCAGGTGAGGGACTGGAGTCATAGTAAGGTGGGTTGGGAGTTTGCCCTTCACATGGCCCACCTGGGTCCAGTCCCCAGCATCCTATACGGTACCCTGAGCACTTCCAAGGGAGACCCCTGATCACAGAGCCAGGAGTAAATCCAGGTCTGACTCTGGGAAAGTTGGGGCTTGGGGGACCCTAGAACCTCTTGAGCTGAGGTCAGCACCTTCAAGAGGACCCTGATGGCCCCATGGCAGAGCCAGCCCCGTCACACAGGTCTACACACACTGCCCTGCTGGCAGCTCAGAGCCAGGACCCTGTCCACCCACTGACCCCCCACGGAGCCTGCATGACCGTGGACAGCTCTGAGCCCTGACCCCCCCACACACACACACCCGCCCCGCCTGGAAAATGATATTTCTCCCAGAAACCAAACTTTAAATCACAAGAGATTATGTTTTGACAGAGAATTCAAAAGCTACAGTGAAAACACTCAAGAAGGCATGTCAAGGAGCTTAGGAATGAAATTCATCAACAGAAGTTGAATTTTAGCAAATCACGTTTTGATTCTAAAGAAGAGCCCAACTGAAATTCTAGCACTAAGGAGTTCAATAAAGTAGATGAAGAACACCCAGAAAGTGCTGGGAGCAGAACGGGCCATAAGGACTGAGAGAATTGGGTCCCATGGCAGAGAGCCAGAACTAAATAGGGGGTGGGGGGGGAGGGAGAGCTGATTAAGATCTTTTTTAAAATGGGGAAACAGATGCCCGACCCCATCAGAAAGGCACACAAGAAAAATGGAACCACAGAGAAAGAAGAGAGAGAAGGGAACAGAACTAATTTCAAGAAATAATAGCTGACAACTTCCCAAACCAGAGAAAGGAACTAGATAAAAGTGAACAGAATGCCTAATTATCTCAAATAATAAAAAGGGTCTTTCCCAAGACACATTATATTAAACATGAACAAAGTTAAAATCTTTTTAAAAACCAGAGAATTGGGGTAATTGTTAGATCAGTCAGGAAAGCATGTGTTATTACCAAGATCTCCTGCACCTCGTTGGAGAAAAAGTTGTCACTGTCACTGTCACTGTCCTCCCGTTGATCATCGATTTGCTCGAGCGGGCCCAGTAACGTCTCCATTGGAGACTTTGTTGTTACTGTGTTTGGCATATCGAATACGTCACGGGGAGCTTGCCAGGCTCTGCTGTGCGGGCGAGATACTCTCGGTAGCTAGCCGGCCTCTCCGAGAGGGGCGGAGGAATCGAACTCGGGTTGGCCATGTTGGTTACGTGCAAGGCAAACGCCCTACCGCTGTGCTAAAGTTATAAAACTTTTTTTACTCTCTCTGGACTCAATCATCCTGCATGACTTACCATGATGGTTGATATCTAAAAAAATTTTTTCAGTAATATTTGAAGCCCTCCAAGTAACTTGATTTATTGATTGGTTGATTGATTGATTGCTTTTTGGGTCACACCCAGTGATGCTCAGGAG